TCAGCAATGAAGTGGCGAGATTATGGAACGACTGGGTCGAAATCTCAGTAATATTCACTCGTTATGTGCCATCATGACAACTGAGGGTTGAAAGCCCAATTTGGAGGCACATTGCTCCTTCAGGTCGCCGCAAACCAAATGACAGAGAGACGGGTGAAGCCGTAGTCACATCTTCTGGCATGATTTGCACCTTACAACCTTCGGTGCACTCGTGAAGGTTTGGTCAGAATGTAAAGACCAAAGTCCATTACCTGTTACTTTCAATTGAGCTTCTGCAGACGGCACAGCCACAAAATGTAATCACCGAAATTGGATTTCGAGAGGTGACAAATGAGCGCATCGTAATTTCCGGCCAATTATATCGCAAGGTGTGGCGAAGGCCCAGCACTGGGAAAACATTTTTGGGTGAAAATGCTCCGTCAGACATACACAGTCTGTCCTCCTTGCCTCCTGGCAGAGCAGGTGTAGAGGGGGAATCGAATGTGAAGAAAGCATCCCAGGTATAGGGCGTATTAGTGGTGCATATGTTCTATATTAGCCTACTTCTCTAATACAATGGTAACAGAGAGCGTTCTAGCTTTTTCCTCTAATGATGTTTGCGTCCGATCTGCAGCACTAATGAACCTGCTGATGCACGTCACTGTGGCATCACAGCTTGCACAATAACAATAGGAGCGCTGCAATTAGCAGACCACCAAATTGGCATGATTATAGAAGTGCGCAGTGTTTATCTCAGGGGAAATGCATGTAATTTGTTTGTCTTTGATGGTGCATTATGCAAATTCAAAAGTGCATGCAACGTTTTGTTTGATAACAGCTTTGTTTGGTGCAGAGCCCCTGCAAAAATCACTCCATAATCATTTTAATAGGTTTACCAATGCAAATGAGAGTAATGATGTAAAAAAAAAGGATAATTCCCTCTAATATCATCAAATCATATTGCAATTACACGACAAAATTAATAATAATTCCCTGTATTGCTTTTGTTGTTGCAGTCGGTGCTGAAACTATTGGTTAATTTACAGGAAATTATTCAAAAGCAATGTTCATAATTGATTCATTGCTTAAGGTGAAAGTATCTTGCAGACCTTTTAACCACGAGTAAATAGGTTGGTGGTGAGGGAGGAAAAATGTATGCGTTTGCCACTATATTATTTTCTCCAAGGTTATCCTATGTGTTTATTCATCTATGTGTAAAATGTATGCATTTACATCTATATTTTGGTTCTGAGTCTATAGTATACGTTTGCTCAGGTAATCTTTGTAATCTTACTTTTGTACTCTTTTGTATCAAACTCAGTTCAGGCCCCGGCATCGTCACACAGTCACTGACATAGGATTAGTCACAGGATTCATGTCTCTCCTGAGTCCTAAAATTAGGTAAAGTCCAGTTGGGACTGGTCGCGATATCACCCCTATACCACGCCCGAGGAAAACAGGACGCCCTTTGTGTATGGGCCCAGGGACCAGCATGTCTGGCTCTTCTTCGGTCACTGTGACTGGCTGACGGCTGTGATGATGTCTCCAGAAGTTTGGCAGGAGCATTAATAAATAAGAAGGAAGGGAGGGGGGACTGAGACAAAGCGGGGGAAAGATTCAAAGCTACCATCCAAGCAGCACATATAGGCCCATACATAGTAGATGCACAGATACTGGACATTGGACTGCATTCTGTTGAGTTAGCATGACGGGGAACAGGCATCAGTAGGATCCTCTGACAGGGGTCCCTTATGATATTGATTAATTAGTGAACCAACTGCCTAGCTCAGCGGCCCAGATGTCGCCCACTCCCTCGGGGGAAACAGGATGCAAATAACTGTTATGAATCCCTACTGTACTCATGATGAACGAAATTATTGTTTAGATGAACATTGAGGGCTGATGAGTAAAGGGGGGTCATCCTGCATGGGGTGGGGGTGTGTGTGTGGGGGGGGGGGGGAAGAGAGTATAAAGTACGTTGCATTTCTTTGTTCTAGTTCAGTTGAATCCGGACAACTCGAGTTGCTTGTATTCTGTGTAATACAAATAAATCAGCGTGAACTGAAGAAACTTCAATCTCTCTTGTATTCTGTGGGTGTTCGTCACTGAGTTCCTGTGTTAGTGAGAATCCCGTGATATCTCACCACGAGTCAGATAGCAAATAAGTGTTCGTCGTGTAACGATCGTCGACATTGAAAAAACCACAACAGTGGAAGTAAAGTGTGAACAAACGTAGCAATGCGCTAACGGAGGCAGGAAAAGAGACTGCTATGAGGTAAACATGGATGTAAACAATGTTATTTTCAAGAAAAAACACCAATCAACAATCAACTATATTAGTTTTCAGCTTTTCTGTTATCTGTATGCATTTTTTATTGTATTTTTTTTTTTACAGATAACAGTAATTAATGTGTAAATCCCCATTAATACTACATAATACCTACGATGATGTTCTCCAGTTGGTGAACGTGATCTGGCAAACAACCACCAGTAAATATATTTTGTTTTAAAACTCCTTTGTTAACACTCAGATAGAACTCACCGAGGAAAAATAGCCTTTTTTATAACTCTAAAATCAAAAGAAAGGAAAATCAGTTAAAACTAAATAAATGTATTTCTACCGTTTGCTTGATATTATTTACGATGATGCAGACCTGAGTTTAGCTGAATTTATCTCTTTGATAATTCAAAAGTACTAACTGTGTGTACATATATATATATGCACTTTTGAGATAGTATTAAATATGTGTGGCATTATTTGCTGGCTTGGCTGCAGAATCATAAGCAACTTCCTCTCCGGACTGTTTGCTAATGAGCTCAGAGGTCAGACTTCGGCTGAGCTGCTGGGTGAGTGTCTGCATTTAACATTTAACACCGCTAGTCCAGACCTCAGTAATGTATGTCTGGGGGATAACGATGCGTTAACACCGTCACTGGTCCATGGGAAGCAAACACGAGGAGGTAAACACATGCAAATCAGAACTCTAAGACAAGTAAATGTTACCACAAATGACATATTGGCCTTATTTCTGTTTGTGGCTGCCAAAAAAAATAGACCTCACAGTCAGATATATTATATTTATGTTGCATTGATTCAATATTCAAGCCTATTGATGAGCATGAAATGATGCAAGACTAAATCCACACACATTTATGATTGTTTTTGAATGGTTGATAATCATTTCTTAGATTGAAGCTACTAAGATTGGATGCATTTTACATATTGTTTGTACTGTAAATGCCAAAGTAAACATCATAAGTATCCTAGATGAAGTTACTAACTGGTACCAAGATGACGACGTGGTTTCTATGTGACAGTATCTGCAGAGCTTGTGGGTAGCCTCCAAAATGTGCCCTCAGTGGAAGGGAACATTTAACAAGTCAAATGAGACATGTTTACATGTTTAACATTTAAACAAATGACGTGTATTGTCCAGAATTACCTGATTGATCTAGGCTTGTGTCTGACTTTATTTGTGAGGGAACAGTGAAGTTAAACTAAAAAGTCACAATTAGGATTAGATTGACTGTGAAAACACACCAACCAGGAAGGTGTGGTTTATTCTGACTTCGTAGAGCCACTTTCCTTGAACAGCTGTCAAGTTCACAAAATAATATAAAAGATGGAACTAAGACAGAATTCCTTCAAAATAAAAGCACCTATTTACAAGTAAAAAGGGAGTCTCATACTGAAGTCAAGTTTAGTTGATAGCCATTTTAACATTTCTTCCAAATATCTGTTTAATATTTTTGCCACATTTTTACAAACCGGCTGCTTTATGGACATCACACTCAAAAGTAGAAGGACAGCTAATCATGGATCATCATAAACTAAACAATGTGTTTGGCTATAACTGTGCAAAGCATGTTGTTTCATAGTATTTCTCAAAGAAAAAGTTTAGAAATGCTTTACAGGAAAATAAAAGAATGGAAACAGGAATAAAAGACAATACACGGCGTGAAACACGCAGTATAAAGTATACACATAACAAGCTGTACAATCAAGAGAAAGCCAAAGGAGGCATGGTATTTAATTTAGTATTTGGGTGTCACAGGAACAAGCATTTTTCAGTTTACTCTTATCCACATATTGACGTTAACGCCAATGCTGATGAACGATTGCGAAAAACAAGAAACAGCAAAGTGTTCATGAGGGTGGATTTTATTTTGAAAGCACTGACTGGATCTTGTGTGCACCTTATTGTGTCCGATTTGACATAATTTCCCATAACGCAGCTGGTGATTTGTCTGCGGGCTGACAGCAACGGCCGTGTGTCTTATATGAACGCAATCTGACTGTCGGTGAATTTACTCGGTGTTAGGCCTCCCTGAGGCTCACAGCAGCTCCCCGCACTGTTTATTTCACACTTTACGGGCACGTGACAGCGCAGCAGGACTTCATATTGTCAAACTTTGTCTGCAACTGGTAAGAAACTGGTAAGGTAAGAATATCTCCCTGTATATGAAATTTTACCTATTCATGTTTGGGGTGAATCAGCAGTCTGCAGACAGGGTGGGTGGGTGAAATCCTGTCTGTCCCTCTGATATTTTATTATTGTTTAACTTTAGCAGGCCTGTAAATGTGTGTCAAATGTACTTAGGCTGGTGGGTTAATGGGTGACAGAATAAGCTCCAGCAATAAGTCATTACCAAGATGGTGAGATTTTATTCAATCATTTCTAGGTCAAAACTGGACATAATCAGCTTTTCTCAAAGACTATGTAAAGAAAGATGCTGCTTATCATAAATGTATCACACCCACTGTGACGTCTTATAATCTCAAGATATATCCATAACCATATTTGGATATTCATATAAACCCCTGATCTGATTCGTGTCTATTTTGTGAATCAGGGATTTGGGCGTAATTAAAGAACCTAATGTGAATATTTGCCTACTTCAAAAAAGCACTCATCTCTGTGTAAACAAGCAGCTGCGATGCAGAGGAGCTCGCAGAAAGAATTCCCCCTGTTTGAACTTTGCATCTGATGTTGGATCACCACAACAATCTCCAGTTGATTTATTCTAGTTTTTTAGCAAATTGCTCTTGTCACACTGCTGATTGCATTTATTATACATTATATGTATTTGTTTAGAGACTGTTTTCACTGTAAAGATCTTTTTTGGTTTGGTGTCATGCAGAGATTTTAGGAAATGCAAGGAAATTAATGTTATAGTTCCGTATATTATTTAGAGAGGTTAACATTTTCATTGTCATTTTTTTTTTTTTTTTTTTATTCGGAACATCCTTTATTATAGAGCAGTGAAGAATGTGACTTAACCTATCACACCGCCTTCTATGTTTAATGTTCAAGTTTAATTCATAAGTACCTGCTGTAACTGTAAAGCAGACATCTCTTGCTGTGAACCCGAGGTTTTTTTTTCTACAGCGGGGCAAACAATTCACTGAGATTTTCCACATTCTCTGGTGCTAATCAGCACTCCCACTCCCTCACTGTATATAGTAATGTATGGCTTCTTTCTGCCAAGCGGCTCTCGCATCTGTTTCCGGCTGACTTTAGGGATGCAGTGAGGTTTTAGGATGGGAAAACTACATGACCTTGGGCTTTTGTGTAAAAGGCATGCACTTCTGGCTAATGACCAAGAACAGTACTGTCACTTCAGATATTGCTTTATTTGGCTTTGGGATTTGTGTATACTTTTGGGGGACATGCTCGGTGCATGTCTGTATGTGTGCAATGCATTTAATGTATAAGCTGCATGAATGTTTGCCAACTGTATGAATATTGAGGTTGCCTGGTGTCCAATCTTCCATACCAAGCCAAAAAACGCTGTACCTACATATTTGTTAAGACCAGATTTATACATTCTTCCCTGTTTCCTGCAGTAGAACAATCCATTTTGATGCTCAAACGTCTTAATTATTGAGTTTTGTTATGCTACACGAATGAGACAGAAGCTAAATTCAATTATATCGAAATAACAAAGCAACAGTGGACAAACTGCTAAAAGCTAACTAGCACTAGCTAAGTAGCACTAATTGCCGCCTCTGCCTCTTGAGGAGTTTACGTGATTTGATGTGGTTAAGATGCCTTTAAATCACATATTTAAATGTATTTAATTAAAGGTTCCTTTTATTAAACTAGCTAATTAGTTCAAATAGACAAGAAAGTTGAAGAAGCAAGAACATATTTTGTTTGTAGATGTGTTTTTTGTGCACCCTTTAGATTGCCCCCCCTAGCGCAGTACCTAGCCTAAATGTTGCTATATGCAAGGTATGTGGCAATGGTTATAATCAGCCTGAAAAGACATACAATTTAAGTATTAACAGTTTATAATTGTTATGCACAGTTTGGCTAAAAAGCGGCAAACTTTTTTTTTGTTCCTTTTTTTTATATTGGTGCAGTTACTGCTCTGTGCCTTTTGATGCACTATAGAGAGCAGCATATACTCCTGCAAAGCAGCTGACTTGGATGCTCTGGACTACACACTATCAGACCTGTGTGTTCTGTATTATAGCCCTGTAAGGTAGTAATGGTGGAGAGACACCTTCCTCAAGACATTTAAACCTCACACCTTAAAACTTCATTTCAATAAAGCCACGGTGGTTTACTGTATATTCCTTAGCGTTTATTGTCCGTGTGAGCTGGAGGAGAGCAGAAGGTTTTCTTTCACAATTAGCTGCCAGCTGCTGGAGAGTGTGACAGTGAAGCGGTTTGAAGGGTAGGTCAAAGCTTCAAAGGAAACTCTTCCACATCTGCTTTCACCTCCAAATGGCAGATGAAGCAACCAAATGTTGCCACAGTCTCTTTTCTGTTCTCTTAAAGTGACTCATTTGTTTTAGGAGTCAGTTCATTGGCTACAAACACAAGGGCGTTGGAAACTTAGTGAAACGAAACAGCGCTTTCCTTTAAATTGCTTTCAGGAACATATGACCTGTAGATCTTTACGATAGCCTCACAAGTGTAATGACATTTTTATTTGCGTTTGCGTATTATTGATGGTAGGGCCGCATATTTTGATAAGACGGTGTATTACTTCATTTCATCAATCATTTTCCAGGATTGGAGCAGAAACAGATGACCTGGCAGGCGGCGCTAATAAACCTCAAACGCAGAATACCTCCAACTCGTTGATTTCCTGCCATCGCATCAGTCTAGAATGATTTTGGGTAAGAACTGATGAACCCAAAGGAGATGGAGGTAAAGCCATCCTCCTACCGCCAACACACTCGGTACTATCAGCCAGAAACAGATCGTTTATCATAGCAAATTTCATTTAAGAATATAATGAATTCTGTTGCCCTTGAAGCTGTTGTAACAGCTGAGAGTAATGGACTTTCGTAGTATCTGTGAAGGCTAATGTGTCTGAAACATCACAAAGTCAAAAATCATGGTGGTCGACCCAATCGCAACAATTTGAACGTGAAAACTATCCTCGTTGTTGCACCGAATTCAAAATGCATAGTGACAAGTGACTTATTCAGCATGTTAACATTTTTTGTGAAAATGCTAACGTCAGGGTTTGAATGTGAACCTAAAACAGCTGAAGACTGACGCCTCTATATGACCTACACGAGCACATAAGATCATCAGCGAGAATATTTGAAATGGTTCCGCTTTTGTCCGCAGGGACCGCCAACATCAACACACAATGAACGTCCCTTGTAACTTTGTCTAATTTACCTTATTTATTCTTACATTCACTTTTTTTTCCTTTTTAGATGCTAACCCACCTGTTATGTGTCCACACTTCTACAATGAAGCAAAGGCTTCAATAAAAAAAAGCCTCTCTTGTTTGTTGCAAAGCGTCAGTGGAAGTCCTGGATCTCTTATTCTAGACGCAACAATACGGTCGTAGACTATTGGAAGATTCTGGGAAGAATTGTTTTAATATTTGATTTAGCGTGTCATGACTTTCACATACAGCAACTCAAGAAGTAGCAGTCAGCTGGTGGTAAAAATGAAGTAGCTGGAGGGTTGTTGACAATGAAAGCAATGATCGGTACGCTTAAATGACTCCATTCCCCAAAGTGTTTCCACAGATGTAAGCGAGATTTATCCGCTGACATTTTAATGTGATGTCATAAAAATTGATATTGCCGATTTACACGGTAACAAAAATATTTAATGATCCCATGTGCTCGTTGCAACTTTGTGAGGTTAATTACCGCCAGTTTTCAGCGGTGCTCATTTTAGGGCTTACTGCACAAGACTTCAGCTACTCCTACAGATTATTGACTTTTGTTGGCAAGCAAAACCAAAAGAGTGTCTCAGCCGTATGGGAAGATTAACGGACCCTTTCTTTCTTCTGGATTAATTATGACTTCCAAAAGTCAGCTTCATGCCAGAAAGGTGGAGACAATGTGTACCAACTTCGGCTGAAGAGTCCTGCCACCCACGAATGATTAACTCGTCTGGATTAGCTTTATCTGATGTCGTAAGAGTAAACTAACATAGACTGTACTTGTGTGTGTTATATATATTGATCTACCAGCTGTCTGTCTGCAGTACAAAGTAAATCCTGATTTCCTATTTCCTCTCGTCATTTTCAGACACTGCTATTCTAAAAGAAAATCCACCTTGCAGCAATATTATTTTATTCCAACTGGAAGCTTCTACTTCTCAGACAGTGTTTGTCTTGTGTGTCTGAATAATGAACATAATCAGTTTTATTTGAAAGAAGAATCGGTGTGTGACTTCGTAGAGCAAAAATCTAAATTCGTATGACTTTTTCTGAAGGTTTTCAATCACAGACAGCCAGAAACTGTATTTTTTAAAAACATGTTTTTTTTCAACTAAGATTATTGGCTGTCTTAAATGGATTTTTTTTTTTTATACAGGCCCAATGCAAGATCTTGATTTGTCCTGCATTTTCAAAAACGTATTTATACTTTTTGTTTTACTTGACTAAAGAGCTCCACTGCTAGGAAAAATAAAATCCTAAACAGACATCACAATTAATGTTTTTGTAAAATGACAACTCAGAATTTTACGTTTATTTAGTTCATAGAAGTGTTTGTTTATGAAAGTTAGTTTCATTTAAAGAATATATATATATATATATATAAAATAAATAAATTTAAAAAAACTGGGTCAAATGTGACAAAATGTCACTATGAAAATACAATTTTACATTTTTTTGAAATGTATTTATTTAGCAAAATAAAAAACCTCTTACAATTTAAAGAAAAATATTACCTTGGGATCTATGATATAAAGACATTACTTTTGACTCTATCTCACGGCCATCTTCAGCAAATAGATCGTGCTCAGGTGTCATCACATTACTCACGTGATAAGAAGATAAGTGGTCACACCTGTTGCCTGGTACTGTCATTCACTTCTTTTTTTTTTTTTTTAAAGGAATTGGCAGACGCAGCCCCTACTGAGAACAGACTTAATGTCACAAAATTCACCATAACACTTCACAACCAGTACTTCAGCTGAAAACTACTGTTTCTCTCTTTGTCTTGCAGGTGGATAGCGCTCCATGTGCGACCACTCAATGATGTGACATGGCTGGACAGAGACTGAGCACTGAATATCTCCCCTGCTCTGGGAAGAACGGACTGTGTTCACTACCCTCTGGATATCAGTTTGATCATGTGATCCATCTTGCATTTTATGGGTGAGCAGAGTCAAGTCAGCCAAAGGAGTCATTCATCGCTCTGGGAGTCTACAATGTGAGCTCATGAGAAACATTAAACAACGCCGGCCTGTGTTGGTAGATCTGCTGGTCTTTGCTTTGGTATTTCAAAGCCAGTGAACTTGACACCAGGAGATAACTCCATCCTAGGCTCATATTCTTTGTTGATGATGCGTTAAAGCCGGGGATACGGAGACCGTCTATAGTTGCGATGGCCGCTGCCTCCTCCCTAGAAAAGGATCAGCCCCTCCTCCAGTTCCAGGAGGTGGACTCCAGTCGAATTAACTGTCGCGTCCTTCCTCCGGTCCTCAGCTCCTCCTCTCCTGGCTTTTCCCTGGAAACAAGCCAGCCCATCTGCATCCCGTCCCCCTACACCGACCTCGGCCACGACTTCACCACCATACCTTTCTACAATCCAACTATCTTCACTTATGCCAGCCCGGGCATTTCAGACTGCCCCTCCATCCATCGGTCACTAAGCCCCTCCTTATTCTGGCCCAGCCACGGCCACGTGGGGGCACCCATAACCCTGCGCCACTCCCAGACTCGGCCTCAGCACGGGCAGCCAATCCAGAGTCCATGGATGGAGCTGACGCAGCGGGACAGTGTCTTAACAACCAGGTAGGATGGCGCATCACGCCCTCACTCTGGCACACACTGTTTTACCTCTCACCCAAGCTCACCTGTCTGTCGCAGAGCGGCAGCTAATGATCATTTTAAATCATCACTTAATCTGCTGATTTATTTTTGCGATTAATTGAACTGTTTAGTTTAAAACATGTCACAACCTAGGTCATGTTTTGTCAGACCAACAATCCAAACCTTTAACTGAGAAAAGCAGCAATTACTCGCATGTGACAAGCAGTTAACTGCAACTTTTGATTTCATATATGGCTCAACTTATTAATTGATTTTCAAAATTATTGAAGAATGCTGTCAACCGACTAATTGATGAATCAACTAATTATTTCAGCCCTAGTCAGTATTCACGGTTAAATTTTTAATACAAAAAATTACTGTAAAAATATAACTGAAAATGATCATTTGTCCTGTCTCTTTCAATTATTGCCTGCTTAACGAAGGCTGCAAAAAGCCAAAAGAATCTAAAGATGGTAATGATTCATTGAAACATCCTGCTCATTAAATGACTCATTCCACGTGTGTTTTGTCTTGAAATGATGACTGAAACGTATCTGTTAGTAAGAGTGTGAGGAGGCGTTCTCAGGACAGCGAGGAAGCCGTGGTGTCATCTGGCGGGAAGGCCGACCTCCACTACTGCGCCGTGTGTCACGACTACGCCTCGGGCTACCACTACGGCGTCTGGTCATGTGAGGGGTGCAAGGCCTTCTTCAAGAGGAGCATCCAAGGTGAGACACGGAAATATACAAGATAGTCGTGATAACTTTGTTGATCCCTTAACTTTTCCTTTAGCATCATCATGAGGTCAACATTTTCATTTTAACCAATACTATAGTTTTCCAGATATTTGGTCATAAATCATTCAACTTTGGCTTTACTCTGTGTTTAGTGCTATTTAGCATATAAGATGAACATGGCTGTAGATTTGTGTTGAATTCTCAAACTGCAAAACAAGAATTTGCATCATTAACACTGAATGCTATGAGAATTTTAATACTAGCACATCATAGAACAGTTGTAATCCAGATTCATGAGCTCATACATGATTGAATTACATCACAAATGTCATCACCTTTAGCAAGTGCTCATTTTGCAGAGAGACGGTGCCTCAAAATGCATTTATTTTCTTCTACTTTTCTCATTTCATCTCTGCCACTCCCCATCCATTATTCCTCTCTAACTTATTTAGTTTTTCTTTTTGTCCTCATCTTTTCTCCTTCTTCTTGTTGTCGTCTCAGGACACACTGACTACATCTGTCCAGCAACCAATCAATGCACTATAGACAAGAACCGCCGCAAGAGCTGCCAGGCGTGTCGCCTTCGCAAATGCTGTGAAGTTGGCATGACCAAGTGTGGTAAGTTTCTTTATATTCTCTTATTTCTTATTTCTGCCCGCAAAGAACATTAAACTGTAACCAGACAACATATCATCTCTTTTTTTTTTTTAACCAAAATGCTGTTCTGGTTGTCATCTTGTCATATGAAAAGTCAGGTGATTAAAAGTTCCCCGTGGCTTTGTTTGTTCTAGAGTGCTTCCCTCCTTTTCCCAGAGCAACATGATCCCGCTCCAGCAGCCAGGAAAGGTGGTTCTTCGATCCAACGTAAACTTAATCTGTTTAACAGCTGCTAAAAAATGTGGAGAAGATTGCTGTTTGCTGTCTGGGATTTCTAGCGACCCACACTGCATTCAGTAGTTAAAGCAGCCATAATAAAGATTTTTAGCTATGTATTCTCGCAGCTTTATGAAGCTTTTTGAGGAATATCGACTTATTAAACTGTCCTTTCCAGCAAAAATCAAACAAAAAACCCTCTAAAAAATACACTGTTCACCACCTGTCCTGCCTCAAACCGCAGTCAGACAAAATCGGCAACTAGCTGGTGAACATTGTGGATCGTTTAGCAGCTTAAGAGCCAGATATTTCCCTCAGGAGACCAAAGACGGAGCTGCTGATGATGCTCCATATCTATAGGAGGTGTTAATAAGCGACTGTTTGCTAATATGTTCATCTGATTATGATGATATGTCGGTGTCGTTTTCACAGCTTTTTTTTACTGCCTCCAAGAGGCCAAAACATAAATCCTGAAAACCAAACGAGCAATTGTCATATTTCACAAACCGTATGGATGGTGAAATATGTCCAGCACAATTGTAAAACGGCTTGTTTTCGTTGTCTCAGGTATGCGAAAGGAGCGTGGAAACAAAAGGAACCCCCAGGCGAGGCGAGTGACCCGTCTGTCCTCACAGGGCAGAACCAACGGACCAAAGATGTTGGCCGGACCAGCGATCGGTTTGTTAAACGAGCCCCACCCTCCCGCACTGACCCCAGAACAGCTGATCGGGCGGATAATGGAGGCGGAGCCGCCGGAGATCTACCTCATGAAGGACATGAGGAGGCCGCTGACTGAAGCAAACGTCATGATGTCGCTCACCAACCTGGCTGATAAGGAGCTGGTTCACATGATCAGCTGGGCCAAGAAGATTCCAGGTGTGTCTGGGTATGCAGGGAACCTTTAAAGGAAAATTACAATTAATTTTAGTGACGTTACATTCGTTGAGATATGCATAATAGGATCACATTCCTCAGTGGCAGCTCAGTCAGCTGTACACCTGAGTTACCGACTGTATCTTGGCCAGCCGCTGTAAGTGTCTCGGCTTTATTCAGCATGGGAGTCGAGTCTGTGCTGATTGTGACAGACTGCTTGTCTGCACAATATGAAAGTTTTAAACCAATGGAAGGCTGTGACTTCAGGCGATTTTCAGCCATGGATTCTCTTCCATTGCTTCAGGCAGACACCATGACCCAGAAACCTTTTACCTCACCCTGAGGTGACGTGTTTGTGTGTCCCTACTAGACGGAGTCACTCACAGTTTTGCTGAAAACAGATAACAGCACAGGTCATACACTGTCAGTGGGTACATGGCCCCAAAAATGTTGTCCTTAACTTGCTTCTGACCTGATTTGGATACATTACCTAATGAATAAGGACTGCAATCAACCTAGCACTAGTTTGGACACGATGAGTGCTGCTTGTCGTCTGTGTGGAGCATCACTGGCAGCACACGGTTACATAATGTTTGATCATGTCATTTCCTCAGGGTTTGTAGAGCTCAGCCTTTTGGACCAAGTGCACCTGCTGGAGTGCTGCTGGCTGGAGGTGCTGATGATCGGACTGATGTGGAGGTCAGTGGACCATCCGGGGAAACTTATCTTCTCCCCTGACCTCAGCCTGAGCAGGTACCACCGCCGACATCTCGCATATCGACCGCACAAGCTTGATTTAAAGGGAGAGTTTGGCATCATCATCATCATCACTGTGGATGTAGTTTTACATAGTTTACTATAGTTTTATTGTTAGTGGCGGGGTCCGCCATTATCGCACGATTCAAATTTCTTTCACACGCACATTGGATTCACAGGAAACTATGCATATATCTATTACATCGTTACTGGTGTATGTCTGACAAAGCAGCTGCTCAAGGAGTGTTTGCTGTGTTAAACTTCACTTGCTGTTACCACAGTAACCACGGGTGTCACAAAATCAACCAGGACTGAAATTTTAATAATTTTGACGAGGATTCCACTTGAAGTTGTAAGTCTTTTTTGTTTATTTATGATTGGAAAAAGGAATACTGGTGTTTGTCGTTTGTTTTTTCTCCTCAATTATCAACATCGGTCTCGGTATCGGTATCGGTCTTAAAAATGCAGTGCACGATGTGCCCCAGCCTCCATTTGTTTAGAGTACAATGAACTGAAATCAAAGATCATCCATCCCACGTTCAGTGCAAGGCCGGCCACAATGCGATTTAGATCATACTGCTAATGACTAACAAAGATATAGCTTAATTTCCAATGTGGGAGTTCAAACTGCTACCTCCTCCGCAGCACTGTCTTTTAGAAACTGATGAGCATCTGTGCTTGCACTCAATGAGAAGTTTCTGCTGCTTCTAAAGCTTGAACAAAGCGTCTTGACCTCTCTGACTCACCGACACTTCCTTTGTGGTGGCCTTTATTATCATATCATACCTTCGAAATAGTGCAGTGCATGATCTGCAGCCATTGTTTGTAGGATTTATTTTGAAAAGTAACGGGTAACTAAAGCTGAATATTTCCTTCTGAAATGTAGTGGAATAGAAGTATAGAGTAGAAAATGTACTCAGCTACTTTCTACGACTGGAATCTTCTGCTATTTGTGCAACTTTCAGTCAAACTCTGTTACAGAAGTGTTAATAAAATTATCTAATAATCCAGCCGAAAATTCCTTAACGAACATATTAACTGCTAAACAAGTACCGCTCCATTGCCATCTTTTGGATGTTGGTGGGAGTTAAATCCATGCTGCATTTTTGCAAAATGTCACAAGATTTCTACCTAATTTCCCAAAAGGCAAAACAAATAAAGGGAGGTTTCTGCATGTCTTTGCATGATAGAGAAGAGGGGAACTGTGTCCAGGGGCTCTCAGAGATCTTTGATATGCTGATAGCTGCTACGTCCAGGGTGAGAGAACTCAAGCTCCAGAGAGAGGAGTACGTCTGCCTCAAGGCCATGATCCTCCTTAACTCCAGTAAGTGTGTGTGTGTGTGTGTGTGTGTGTGTGTGTGTGTTTACATACACTTATAAGGCCTTTGTGCAGCCTATGTCCTCTCTATGTGTGTAGGTGAGACAAGGAGATGCATGTTTGTGTCTGTGACGCTTCACTACGTGAAGCCACAGTTGAGTGATTGGTGTCTCAGCATGTGAGCTTGTCTGTGCGTGAGTCTGCACAGGGTTGGCAAGGGGACCAGCTAAATAACTTACCAGTGAAAAGCCTAATGGGAACACTGTGTATGCTCTCGTTGGTTCTGCTGAATGCTCGCAGCAACAAACTGTGCCCGTTTGAGAATGAACATGGTCAGAGTCTCACTGGTGAGCAGCTATTCCGTGGAGTAATTAACGTCAGACTAATGTTTCTGTTTTTCCTTTTGAATCCCGCAGCCAGCGAGTCGAACAGGGCTCATAGTTTTTGCACCAATCTCCTCAATTTTAGCTTTTCATGTGTTTGAACATTTGTGTATAAGCAGGATGTAACCTTGTAACATAATTGAAAAGTTATACAGTAGTTTGTACAGTCATGGCTTAATTCGTTTTAGATATTTAGACAATATTTATTTCAAAATAAAGGCTTTGACTAAAATGAAGGCTAAATAAAGCAACTAATTATCATAAAAGTAGTCGGAGATGAAAAAGATTGGATGTCGATTTATCCAATCGCACTAGAATTGTCATTATCATCGACGCACCACCTGTTTGTTAAAATCAAGATGTCCGCTCCTCTCCGTGTGTCACCAGACATGTGCCTCAACTCGTCGGAGGGCAGCGAGGAGCTGCAGAGTCGCTCCAAGCTGCTGCGTCTTCTGGACGCCGTGACGGACGCTCTGGTGTGGGCCATCGCCAAAACCGGCCTCAGCTTCCGCCAACAGTACACCCGCCTCGCCCACCTGCTCATGATGCTCTCACACATCCGCCATGCCAGGTAAAAGGACCCCATAGTCATGGATGTTCTCAATACAAAATTGCTAATTTATGTGTTGGAGAGAATGGTACCTTCATGACTAAGTTGCTGATTTTTGTGCACTATTATTAAACAAAGCACTTGCCTTCGGTACTCTCTTCTTCTTCTTCTTCTTCTTCTTCTTTCCAAACATGCAGCAACAAAGGCATGGACCACCTCCACTGCATGAAAATGAAGAACATGGTGCCTTTGTATGACCTGTTGCTGGAGATGTTGGACGCCCACATCATGCACGGCTCCCGTCTGCCCCGCCGGCCTTCCCAGCAGGAGCCCGGGGACCAGGCGCAGGTTGCTGCTCGGCCCCACGGCTCCAGTAGCGGACCCTCGGATACCTGGACTCCCAGCAGCACTGCGAGCGGAGGTGAACGGAAGTAGTTCGATGCAATGAGTTTTCACCGCTTTTGCACGAAAGTAATTCACGAGACTGATGAGACTTTTTGCTGGAACATTTGGCTGAATTCTGTGACAACGTGTACTCATGATAGTGAACTTTTGAATCGTAGGACGTTACTCTGCAGACAGACCAAACTCTCTGTATTCACAGCCTTATCACTACATATTGAAAAATTAGAATGGAAACCAATTCTTATTGATAATTTGGCCTGGAGCACCAGCTCTTGTTTAAACGTTGATGTAATATGTTACTGCCATGATTCTCTTGAGCTGAGAAGCTAATTTCATATTCAAATATTTATCGTCCGTGTCTGGTATTGTTCTGGAGGTCCAACAGAGAGCGCTGGGTGTAAATAATGACAAAAAGAGATATGCACAAGCCCTGTTGGATATAGATGGGTTTGGGTGATGCGATGATATATAAAAAGACAATAAAGTGAATTGTTAATCTTATTTCGAGGTAGCTGTTTATTTAATGGCTGAGTGTATATTCAATTTGCATATTTTTTTTTTTTCATCCAAATGATAAAATACCTAAAAAGGTATTTATTTCTCTGGACTAGACAAACATTCCCATCTATTCATTTAATCTATAAATTGATCAATACCACTCTCCCATCTCTGCGATAAATAGGTATCGCAGGCGGTTAGCTTAGCATAAAGACGGGGGAAAACAGCTAGCTAACGGCGCCTCTGAAACTCACTAATAATATATAATGATATGTTGGTTGTTTAATATGTACAAAAAACATAACCAATGTGACATTTTAGGGTTTTTTTTTGTACAGATTAAACAAATGAGATATGTTGGTGAGCTTTAGAGTTGCTGGTAACAACAAGTTTCTGTCATAATTGACGTACACAGACATCAATGGTTTCGATCCTCTCGTCTAACTCTTGCCGAGAAATGCAAGCAAGTGTACTCTATTCACTATTTATTTAATGCAAAATTACATATCATGTGATAGAAGACGGTATAGTTATTTAGTTAGCATTCAACAACTACAGCACCTGTAAGACTTTGAACGCATACATGTGGCTAAAATATGGGAACTGCTGCTAAATGCTAAAAATTGTTTTGTCTTGGTTAAAATGAATAGAAGTCCATTTTAGTAGTAGACGTAGATACACATCTAGCTTAGAACATTGACAGACAACATTTCAGTTTCAGGCCACTGAAAGATTGAAAAAGTATTTGAGAATTGAAACCAGCTGTTTTGTCAGAGCAGGGCCTATTCCTGCTCCTACTGACCACTAGAGGGCGCTTTACAGCTCATACTCACACCTGAGGGCCTTCTGTAGATTGGTCAATTGTCCCTGTACAGTCCTGGCTTCCTCATCAGAGATATAACATGTGTTTTCAGAGAGGAAAAAGTATCATAACCATTATTGCTCTTAAGACAACATTGCACTCGACCTGTGAAGTTTTGCTTAAAGAACAGGAAAATTATTTTTGTATCTTAGAACTGTCTACAGTAGCTCGTCATCGTGTGCACAGTCGTGCTTCGACAATCAGGATCACTGCAAGAAGGGCGCATAATATGTAAATATATGCTTTTCCTCTGGTCACACTCTTTATGCATTCTTGCAAACTGTATTTTGACTGTGTACTTAGGTTGTACTTTATGTTCCCAGACAATATTGTGATAATGTGCCTAGTTTGTTTCTGGTGAAAGGACTTCTGGGTATTCCATCAATTATCAAACGGTATCTCCAGTGTGTTCCACCATGCAGTTTGACCGAACTACGAACTATGTTGTTTTATATTTTATGTCTAAAAAGATACGTTTACACAATTATGTGTATAAAACTGCCTTAATTATGTACGGTTGGCTTCATAAAAGTAACATTGCAATTTTAACTGTTTGATGTAAAACAATGGAACGTCATAAAATGAATGGATAATGCATACATTTGAATTAAAAAACATCTGATAAAAGCTAAGCAAGGACTTGTTTACAGTCACTTTTATACTGAAATTTTGTGATTTGATTTTTTTTTTTTTTTTCTTATTTGGCTTCCAGCTGATTTTCCAATCATTGCTGGAATTTGCACGGTGGCTTCTACAGTAGCTGAAGGATATTTAAAATATCTTACCTGTTACTGCCACTGCTACAGTATGTCTTCTGCTTTACCCCTCCATATTTAGGCTGCAGATCTTTGCATTATTCAACTAACATATCAGCTTTTTTGTTAACGTGGTGTTTGTCATGATTGAAATACAGTTAAATGGGTGGTTTGTTTGTGAAAAAAATACAAAATTCTGTTCTCAGATCAAATCTTGATGAATAGAAATACAATTTCTGTGCGTTTCAGTGTGACAAAAATACAACCTGTGTTTTTCCATTATGTTCTCCGAAATGTACTTTGGTAGGAGAAAAAAAGACGATCATGTGGGCCGTTGGTGTGTAGCGTAACATGGGGTAGAAGGACCGGGCAAAGTTGTTGGCCCCAGTACAGCCGGGGTTGCTCTCTGACTGGGGAATCAGACGGAGGAGGAGGGGGAAGGGGAAGGCAGAAGGAGCCAGGTGAGACATGTCTTCTCTCTGCATGACACACAAGACACATGGATGTTTATTACAGGAAATACACACTATTGAGTGATGAGGACATACCTCAACGAAATCAGGAGAGTCTGAAAACACTCCTGCGTATCTGCAAGTAAACCTTTCTCACTAAAAGGCAAAATACGTAAGTCTTTCTGCAAACCTTTGAGTAGAGAAACCTCTCTTTGGATCTGCAGAGGCACTTTGGTGTCAGCAGGATCTTAAAAAGTCACTTTTTCCATTTTTGACCTTGTTCTTGATATGTATATCTGTCCAAAGAGGTGAAGTTGCTGAACTTTTCTTGAATTTAATCCTTGCTACATGCTATACTAAGGCTTTTTTCCCTTTTTTCGACATACTATAGCATGACTTTTTTAAGACATACCATGCCTTTTTAATGACTTAATGACATATTACACTGACTTTTTATGACTTACATAAACATATATATATATATAAAGGCCTCTTCACTGACCAAAGCATATACTGCATCCCTCTGTAAAGTGCATATTTACATTTTTATTTGTTCATCATTCTAGGCAAAACAATTACTTTGAGTAAACAGAGTTAAGAAAATGTTTACTAACAAAAGTAGGAGCATACATCAACCATTTGATGTTATAAATAACAATTGTATTTTTACGTTTTGTACATACAAGTTCTCCTGCTAAATCTACAGTGTTTCAACAGTGCACTGGGAGGCATAAACATGTCTACTTACGATCAACTCAAGACAAATAGCCTCTAAAAAATCATGTTCACACAATTATGTATGAAAGTGCTGTATTTTTCAACAGTAGGCTTCATAAAGATAACATTAACATTTTAACAAGTGTCTTTGATGTAAAAAATAAACTTTTTGAAGAGTTCATTCCCACATAAAAATAGATTATGCATGATTTTCTTTTAAGCGCCAGGTTATACAAAAATAAATGTCAACAGTTCATAAAATCTAACGGGGAGTTGTTACAGTCACTATTATGCTGTTTGGAAATTCTTTCTTTTCATCTTAATTCCAGCGTCTCGTTATCGAATGAACTCACTGGAATATGTTCGCTGTATCTCAGATATGTATCTTACCTGTTATTGTTATTACACTGTATGTTTTCTGCTTTACCCGTCTACAAGTGTCAAGATACCCCATCTACTGTGTCACTCCTTAAAGGGAGATCTCCAAGAGGCTGCAGATCTCTCCATTATTAAACTACAATATCTGCATTTTTCATCACATGTGGTGGTTTTCCAAATTCAAATGGTTAATTTTGTTTGTGAAATAAATACAATCTGTTCAAAGACCCCTTAATAACTTTTTTGGAAGACAATCACTTCATCAGCTTAACATCATTTCTACATGTTTGTTCAGGTGTGGCAAAAAGGTGGCTTGTGATTTTCATTATGTTTTCAGTCTTTATATCTTCTTCCTAAGTACATTTCTGTTAGGTTGGCGGTGGGCCGTTGGTGTAGCGTAACATGGGGTAGAAGGACCGGGCGAAGTTGTTGGCCCCAGTACAGCCGGGGTCGCTCTCTGACTGGGGAATCAGACAGGGGAGGAGCAGGAGAAACAGTAGGAGGAGGTGGAGGGGGAAGGCAGCTCGAAGGACCCGGTAGAAGAAGGAACGAGGCGGGGGCGAGCCTTTCTTCTCTCTGCATGACGCACAAGACACATGGACAAAGTTTATTACAGGAATAAAGCACATACACACACTATTGAGTGATAAGGACATATTGTAACAAAATCAGGAGAGCCTGCAAACACTTTTGAGTATCTGCAGTCTTTTGTAAGTCAACTTTTCATCAACAAATGATGGATTTCAGACATCATTAAATAGTACTGTATTAATAAATGGCAATATACTGAAGTCTTTCTGCACACCTTTGAGTAGAAGAACCTTTCTTTGGATCTGCAGATGCGCTTTGGCCTTGGACGTCTGATGCAGTTTCACAATCCTGAATGAAAGACATATTATTTCACCATCCCTAATTTCAACATACACAGGGTGTCCCGCAGGATCTTAAAGTGTATTAAAAAAGTCTTAAACATATATAGTTTTCTTGACCTCCAATTCCTTTACTTGTGACACAACACACATAAAAAAAGACAATAACATTAAGGACTGATATAAAGTAGCCTACAGTAATTCTATTCAAAAGAGTTCAAGTGTGTGTGTTAGTGTTACGGGGAACAAGATTGTTGCTCTCGAGTATTAGTGATATTACTCTTTCTAATAAACCTTGAATTGGGTTAGTCGCTCAATTCATTCCCTTGTGTTTTATTCCCACTGCATCAATCTGAATTTTGTTGCATTAGCTGTCTCTGTTTTACAATAAATGTTTAGAAAATGTTAGTTTAAGTGTGTCGCTGATGTAACTTTAGCACTCGGAAGTGGTGATGAGGTCTTAAAGTCATGGAAATGGTCTTAAAAAAGGTCTGAACAGGTATTTCATTTCAGGATCCCTGCATATACCCTGTGGTAACAATCTGGTTTTTAAATATAAGAAGTTCATAAAAATTCTTTCAGGATTGCTGTTTGACATGACAAAGAAAAGTGTATTCGTTAAACTCTCACCAGACGCTGTTGAAGAGAGCTGAGGTCGCGGGCCACTTGCCTCAGCAGACACTTCAGTTTGCTGCTCGTCACATGGAGCTTCTCCTTGGCCTCGTCGGTCTCCTCGGCCTCGTCCTCAGGCTGCAGCTGAGACCACAGAGCCTGGAGGGAGGCCTGCTGAGTCTGCCTGCCCTGCAGCTCCTTCTGCAGCTCCTTCAAACCACAAACGTAAGAGATGGTGACAGGGCAGCCTCAGCAGGACAGTGAATCTTTGACAACAACATGATTATCCGCTTACTGTGAGCGTGCTGAGATGTAGTTGCAGGGCTCGAACAGGTGTGGCTGGTTCACTGATGTCCACTGCATAGCGTCTGCTCTCTGCGTGGGCCAGCCACAGCAGCAGGGAATGGAGGGTTTCATGGAACTCCTGTGTGGAGAACAATAAAATAAGTGGTATTTAGAAGCAATTGGATCTTTGACTTAATGCAATACTGTGCAAAAATGTATTGCTTAGAGATTTGGCACAACCTACATTTTTTTACTACAAAGTTTTGGATAATATACAGGATTTTACACAAATACTCTTCGTAGATTTATTTTTTGTGACATTGGGGATGAACACTCAAATAGCAATAAGTATAACACAAAACGCACTTCTACATGATGCAAGTTTGGGATGCGGAGCGGGAACGAAAGAGACACCATTCTCCCCATTACAAGTCAGTGTACCATCAAATAATGAAGCTGTTATTTTTATATAGAAAGTTGCATCATTTTGCTTTAAGTAAACTACAGTGTAGAAATACTCAGTTACAAGTAATTATGTATATGTACAACGGTGTTAGCATCCAAATACACATAAAGTACTCAAAGTTAAAGTACTCATCATGCAGATTTTTGCTAATCTTTGCTAAAATGAGCACCGACTTTGAAGCTCTTTATTCTGTATGCGATTATAAGAGTCCAAAGAACGCAAACTAACGCACTACGTTACCTTGAAACGCTTAGAAATATGTTGTTTGTGGACAGCTACATACGTAGTGGAAGCGTTTATTTTATAATGGGCAAATAAAAAATGTCTACAAGCTGTGTGAATGGCATTAAAATACAAAAGAAAAGAAGAAAGGGAAAGTCTGATAAACTCAATAGAACAATCCACCTTAAGTAACACTTCAAATTAAAAAAACATACAGAACAACAGTAATGGCATAGAGCAAATAGTCATTCATATTTTAAGACACCACAAGACTATAATAGTTTATTATGAATACTTTCTTCTCACCTGGCAGCGCATCAGTGTTTTCCTCAGACTGGTGTCCCACTGCTGGAGGCCTGTACACGCTCGGCCCCAGCCTTGGTTCATGCCAGCCACTCTCTCCTGTAGTTCTGCTGCTTCCCGAGCTCGCAGGTTGACAGACAGCATGATGGACTTGTAGCGAGTAAACGCCCTCTGCATCTCCTGCAAGAGAACATCCATGAATATGAACACAAAAGCTGAATACTTAGCATCAGATCTGTTGCGTTTGGTCTTAAATGTCACCTTTAGTTCTGTGGCTCTGGCTGCCATGTCCTCAATACTGGCTGCTGGGTCGGACTGCTGGAGGTGCTCTAGCTCCGGAGTCACCTTGTCCAACCAGGAAGTGATGTCGTCGAGGTCAGATGTGAGATGACGGGCCTCCTGTGGGCTCCTGGACTGAGCCTGGATCAGCTCCCAGCGTTCAATCACACCTGAGAGAGCAAAAACATTCACTGATGTTGAAGTTTGTGCTGTTTTTTGTCACAAGATGCTATGAGAAGCTTACCATCATTAAATATGGATGAATAGACATTCGCACCAGCCATGTATCCTGTGGATGCCAATGCTTACAACTTGTCACACAGACATGAAGAAACAGCAGCACATGGGGCCAGTTTACAGACGATTTTTAAAACACAACACTCAAAGGAATACATCCCTATATCTGTTGCATGGCTCTGCTCTCAAAATGTTTATTGTGTTGTAAAACATTTTCGTGGACTGGCCTCAGATGCTCTTTTATTTATCTGTCTGACAAGCTGGAACTTCTTTTAAACATTAAAAGCATTTTTCTACCGTTTCAGGCATCCATTGGTTTCTAATCTTTCAACCCGCTTGGTTGAGTTGAGCCGAGTTGAGTATTGAGCTGTACAATCCAATACAGTGAATATCAAGTCATACGTCGCAGCGTCTCCCACCTGACTGTTTGTCTGGGGCAGTCAGTCCCCTCAGACCGAGGTCTTCCAGCTGCTCCTCATCATCCAGGATCAGCGAGACTCTTTTAATGTCCTCAATGCTGCCGCTGCACTCAGACATGAGACGCAACTGCAGACACAAGAAAGACGCTGTTAGTAGAGCACACACTGTGAGAAGCATCTACTCATATTTATACAGTAATTGTTTTCTCTCCATGTCCTCCCCAGTTAACTGGTACTGGTTTACTTGTCTCCAGTAGAGCGGTAGCTTTGAAACGTACATAGCCCTGCTTTAGAGGGGTGCTGGTGAGGGTGGGAGGAGCCTCAGTGTGGCCCTCTGAGTCCAGCTGTGTTTCTGTGTCTCCCTGTGATCGCCATCTTGGACACTCGTGTACAGCCATGGACCTGCTTGAAACTGAAACACAAAAAAATAAAAGTTATTTACACCAGCATTAATATGAAACACCCTCATCTTTGACAAATCTAATAGTATTTCCTACTAAAAACCTCTAATTTGGGTATACTGTATTTCTCAAATTTGCTGACCTATAACAACACCGGTTATTATTGGTCGGGGAGGCAAATTGTGAGATGCAGGTTTTTTGTTTTGGTGAGAGATATTATACTTTCTTAACTGTAGCTCTCTATTTGGGAGATAAAAACATACTCTCCCTGTATGCCAGGAAATGTCATTTGGAACAATTTACTATTGTCAACTCACTTAATGCCACTGAAGGAAATGTCACTGGAAGAACATTTACAGCTATCAGTGATGGGAACTCTTAAGTTACAAAACTTCATTTTACAAAACTGCATCCAAAGAGCTACTGGCAGCTATGGGCGTGGCTTAGGTGTGATGAGACGGAGAGGCGACTTTCTTTCTAAAAAAAACAATGGCGGCTTCTGAAGAGGTTTGCGTAGATGTCGCAATAACATTACTTTTACCTGAACTGCAGAGTAGTTTTTCATTGAGAGAAGAGCAAAGTACTGAAGAATTTTCTTTGCTTTTCTCCCGACTGGCTTTGGTAAGAGTTTGATTGACAGATGGCTCATCCAATATTTTTTTTGAAAGTGACTGCCCTTTTCTAAACTGTTTCCAATTATGGCATCTCAGACGGTTCTGTACAACAAACCATCTGGTGGGTCAGATTAACATTAGATACCTTATTTTAAATTACTGTGAGAAATGATGGTGAAGAAACAGGCCATTTTAAGACAGTGTAAAACTCAGTGAAGGAGGCTGATCAATGGGCTATTCAAGGGTTTTTATAGATGTGTCTAGAAATTATTGGATTAGTAAAGTAGATGAACAAAAATATGGTAAAACAAAGTGAGGAAGGTCTCAAGGAAAATAAAAAAAAAAAAAAAAGTTATGGGATTACATGATGAGGAAAGTGCCGAAAGAAAAAGGGGGGAAGATAAAAGACAGGATGTTGGGGGACAAAAGGATGAAAGGGACTAAAATTAACACAACAAAACAGATTGGACTGGTAAAAAAAATGAAAGGAAGGTTGGTGTGGAAAGACACATGAAAAGAAAGCAAATTCAGTATACGTGAAAAAATAAATGAAAGAGATCTATCCTCGCAAAGGCTAAACAAAAGTCATGGTCACCCGAAAAGGAAAAATAGTCAATGACATAATTCATGCAGCTAGTGACAAGCTTGACCAAAATTAGACCCGCGTTATTAGTACAGAGCCAATAAAATTCCTATTTGGCAAGAAAACATAATAAATCAAACTACTAAAATAAAATGTCTGCTTTATTTATATCCTACTTATTAGCCAGTTAGTGCTTTTTTTATTTTTATAATTTAGACCACAGTGCGTCTAAAATGAAGAACACCAGCTTAAAAAAAGGTGTCAGAGAAAGAAAAAGGTACAAAGCGTTTGTGTACGCACTGAAAGATTTTCCAAACCACAGCTACAGGAAGCAAAGTATCAGAGCAGCAGCAATATCACGACATGCAAATAGATGCAAAGTGATACATGAGCTGCTCGAAGATATTTGTTGGAAACCCATTTCACCATGAAGATTCAAGGAGTGGACTATTAAAGCAGAAGTTGAAGATGTTCTTTTTTTTATCCTACCCAGTGAGGAGGCTCGTAGGGCCTCCGGGGCTTCGACAAATTCCTCCTGGCTCTCAGTCAACTCCACCTCTGAGAGGAGAGAGGGGTCAGAGTGGAGACGTATGGATGTTTATGATTGTGTGTGTGTATTTGTGTGTGTGTGTGTGTGTGTGTGAAATGGATGTTACATTTTGTCTTTTTTTTTAAAGGGGTAGTTTGTATTTTTTTGAAGTGGGGTTGTATGAGGTACCAAAGTAGATGGTGGTCGGCACGCCCCCCAATTCAAAGAAATACACAGAAGTACCAGCACAGGAGCAAAGCGCTGTACTGTTGTGGACGGGGTAGCCACCTAAAAGACAGGCTCATCCAAAAACTGCCATAATCTAAAACTCCTGTCTGCTTCTCCAAACTCTGGGCGTGTGGACCGCCATCTACTGTACACTGACTATGGATAAGTACCTCATAAAACCCCATTTGAAAAAATCAGAACTATCACTTCAACATCTTAGAAATCCAATTAAATCAGATGTTTATCATATCATTTTTCAGCAAAACTGAAGTAATCCTCTTCCACCACAGGAGCTTTTTCAGTAATCCAGGATGATATTTAGGGACTCAAAAGCTTTCCTTGCATTTTGACTGGAGAAACTAAATCTAAATTTAAAGCCAAGGTTCCTGGGTGTCAAACAGTCTTTCAGGCTTTCAGGTGTTTCTAGTCTCCTTTCATCTGCTTGTCTCTTTTGCAACAACCATTCAAACACCAGTCACATAAGGGATAATGCCCTATGACCCTGTGACATTTAAAACCCTTACAGCAATAAAAACTAGGAAACCTGAAACTGGATGAACCGTTAATCAATATGTTTTTACCTGATAGTGCACTGAAGTAAGTTCTGCCATCCTCATGATCTTCCTCCTCCTCGTCATCCTCATGGGACGACGACGACCCTCCTACGTCTCCAGTGTGGTCCCACTCCAATGGCAGGGAGTCCACGCTCACCGGTGTCTCCCGCCCCGAGCGCTCCAGCGAAGAGGCCAGCAGGCGGGTGGGCGTCGCCGGGAGGCTTCCATGGCTCCGCCCAAGCCACGGTCGGCCAATCAGCTCCAAGCTCGACTCCAAGGAAAAGGTAGTACCAGAGAGCACCGGTTCTTCTCTGATCAACTACGGTGAAGAAATAGAAGGTATTCAGCTCGTCACTTGCGGACCAGACCTTTTTGGTTTGTGCCCCTGAAATTCAAAATTGAACCCCCTGTCTGAGCATCTCAGGGGTCAATTTCACCATGTTTAAAACATATAAGCTGCGATTTACAACATGGGATCATTTGTTCTCTAGTATATTTGGAGACGTTTCACCATGAAGACTCCCGAGCCCTCTAGGACTCAAAAATGCTAGAATTTCACCATCATCGTCATTTACTTAGGCATGAATAAAGTTCTGAATAGAAGAATGGATGTAGTTTATGTGTGTGTGCTCCATCCAGCTCACCGGGGGCTGGCTGAGACGCTGGTGAAAGCGGACCAGTCTGCTGAAAACCTCCTGGCAGTAGGAGTGCAGCTCCTCCAGCTCTTCTTCTATCAGCGCTGCATCCTGCAGTGAGCTCTTCTGGATTAGACCCTCTCCAAACACTATCAGCCCGTCAATGCGCTCTGTGTTCAGGGTGATCTCCTTCTGGAAGCTCTGCAGGAAAGAGGATTGAACGGTTGGATGAACAAACGGAGTCAGTAATATGAGGAGTTTCAGAAAACCAAAGGGAACCAAACACAACTGCTAATAGTATTTGTTACAGGCCTCTGGTCAACGAGCTGAAACAGAAATCTTCCAAAAAAATGACTCACGGTTTAAAAATGAAGCCAGTTCCCTAAACATCTTAACATGCATTGCTTTTAATGGCTGCAACATGTAAGCACCAAGAGAACTGGCTGAAATAGTTTCTAACTCTAAGATAATTTCTCCTCTAAAAGATATAAAGGCTTAAAGTCAGACAAATTAAAAATAAAAAAACAAACTGAGCAGAGCTTTTTTCCTAACAGTGAGCGTGACTTGCAGTTCGAGCCTCGTCCGGTCGCTATAAAACAAGTGTCTGTAGGTGTTCCAGTGTGTCCTCACATTGAGCTGTTGGATCTTGTGATGGACGTCGCTCTCTGAAAAGTGTTCGACGTTGGTGAGCTGCAGGTCCAGCTCGGTCAGCCACACCAGCATGCTCTCCCTGGTGCCTTCAAATTCCTCCCTTTGGCCGGTGAAATACTGAGAGAAAGGTGAAGCAGTATATGATATATATACATTTTTAACACTACTGTTTGCTATGAATTAAAGCCATAAAATGCCCCCAGAAATCATAGCGTGATGACAGGGAATAAGGGGAAAGGGAAAGAACAAAAATTGTGGACGCTGCGGGTCATGGTCATCGCCTTTCATGCCCTCTGTCCTGTGCTGTACCTTGAGTCTGCGGAGGATGGCAGCCACCCTGCGGTGCAGGTTGTCCCAGCGGCGGTTGCCTTCATGGACCATGGCTTTGAGCTGGCTGGCGCGGTCAGTGCGGTTCTCTCTGGCCAGGCGGCGGTACTGGTTATTGACTAGTTCCAGCTGGGTCAGCCGCTCATGAACTTGCCTTTGGAAACCCTAAAAAGTACAGGGCAAGATGGGATGAGTTATAGAGTAACAGAAAGGAATTATGGCTTTAAATATTCTAACAAGTCTTGTGAACACATTGAACTTATTTATACCATTACATGTTTTCTTTTACTTTTGTGTGACTCACCATCCTCCTTCTTGTCCAAAATTATTTGGTGTCAATTATGAAAATCAATTAATCATTTAAGTAATTTTTTAAAAATCGCAAATATTTGCTGGTCTTCTACAAAGTTTAGTGACATCTTTGGGTTTTTACTGACAAAAAAAAAAGCAATTTAATATGTCAACTCTTGGTAACCATGACAGATTAATTGATAATGAAATGATATTTTGATTTACTTCACATGTGTATCTTTATTTTCTTGCTGCAAGAAAAATGGTAAACGAGTAGTATTTTTGTATTTATCTAACAGACACCAGAAAGAACACCTACTCTGTCAGGCAACAATTCAAGGATGGATTTATGGATTTAGTCACATCCAATTTAATACAGAACAATGTATTTCCCTTTGAGAAAACAAATAAGCATTCAAAAACAGAGCTACTTCAAGTCTGTTCTGTCTGCCGACGTCCCAACTGACCTCGAACTTCTTGAGCTCCTCCTTGGCGACGGTATAAAGGACGTCTGCAGAGTTGGGATTGGCAGCGGTGCGCTCGGCCATCTTGAGCCAATCCTCAAACCGCGAGTAGTCATCGAGGAACTTGCACCAGAGTCTCCAGGTCTCCTCGATCCTACAAGGACACACCGTACTGGAGTTAGAGTTATTCTATGACGCTGATGAAGGCTTTTCTAACCAACGAGTGGACCTTTCTTTTGAAATTTAAAACTCAAGCTTTAAATTATTCATTTGATTAGAAATTAACTAATTCTAATGTAATAATTGGTGTTGCGTGGTTTCTGTGATCTGACTGATTTATATCTGGGGAAAAGTGTGAGGACACCATACAGTATGTACGTGTGTGTGTGTGTGTGTTTGTGTATTTTAGCGCCTACCTGAGCCTCCTGTCCAGAGCCATGGCACAGATGGCCCTCCAACGCTGGTCCAGACTGTGGCTGGTTTCCTGCACGGAGTCACTCTCCGCCTCGGTGCCGCCAGCAGCATCTTCGTCCCGCAGCAAAACGTCGCACAGACTGAGTACTGACACGACGCCCTGCGTATGCTGCTCAATGTCCCTCTGCAGCTCCTGGACAGGCACATGGACGGACACAAAGTCAGACATGGCATCAGACCATACCCAGTGAAACCATGTGTTAAACATCAGTCAACAGACGTACAGATGGAGGACAGGAGCTCACTGCATGAGACCACCCACTCCCAAAATTAAACAAAGAACAGTTATAAATGATTAATCATAAACAGAGACAAAGACTAAGTGGGAGTGACAGTGAAGCAGAACAACAAAGTGTGAGAAGAAATATTCAATTAAAGTGTAACAATACTAACAATACTATAAAGACAACGAGACGACACAACAACACAAATCTAACGAAATAGAAAACAGAGTGAAAACACGAAAAATTAAGACAATAAAAGAAAATACGAATAAAAAAAGAAAATTTGAGTTTCAAGACAAAACTCCTCACTCAGTTTAAACCACTGGTGGACTGGCTTATCGATAACAGAGTGTGTGTTTCTGTGTACCTGCTGCTCGGCCAGCCTCCTCTGGATCTCCTGGTGGTGACAGACGCTGTAGGTGATCGGTCGGGACAGTTCGGCCTCGATGCGAGAAAGCCACGAGCGGAGATTACTCATGTTCTTATCCAGCTGCTGCACCGCCACCAGAGTCTCCTTCAGCTTCTTCACCCTAAACACACACACACACTGCTTTATTAACTTTATCTTCCAATTTTCAAATGAAGTAATCCATATTTAAGTAAGCAATCATGACTGCATCTCGTCCCTTTGTATGAAATACATATTTTTGTACATAACCTTGAAAGTATATATAAAAAGGACAAAATGAAAAAACAGATACAAACACAGGAAAAAGGCAAACAGAGAGAAAATTAAAGAAGCTCTCTTCTAACCTACAACATTCTCATCTTATTATGTAGTACAACTTCCAAAATCACCATGGTAACTGACCCCGTCATGAAGACACGCACACACACACAGGTGTCATAGCAACCCTTGGGACAATAAGAGCTCTCTTCTGAAGCTTGAAAGCCTGAAGTGTGATCCCCATTGGGAGTTTGATCCCCATTTGATCCTTCCTCTCCTGTCGAGGTCCAGTAGGGAGACGCTCTTCACCAAAATATTAGGCATTGAAAACCGCTGAGTGTCAGCGGCAGGCTGAAGAATTCATGAAAGGGTCCCAACAGATGCCGGACATTTGCACTGTGCACAAGTACATACGTTGAGAGTCTGAATAGATCTGGTCTCATGAGATCCAATTTTCTTTTTGGGTGGTTCTTACTTCTTCAAGTGGCTCGTTTAGATTTGAGATTACAATTACGACCAGCATAAAGTTCATAGACGGTCTTGGAAAAGGTTATGTTAATGGTAATTAATTATGATTTTTTATTTTTATTTTTAGACACAGTTCTTATAAAACTGCTTGTACCAAGATAACTTTAAACAATCATGGACCGAAATTTGCAATGTTTTGCTAAATGAAAATAAAAATCCTTCGAACTAATGGACCTAAAAAACAATATATTTTACTCTGTTGTTGGAAATGTCAACTGATTTCTAGCCCTAGTTACAGTTCAGGAATAATGTACATTATATTCAGTGTGTGTAGTTAATGTGCCTTTATGTTTATGGCCGTGTAATTAAGACATAATAGAGTCAGTGTAAATTCTGTCCTGAAAATACTCTTCCCCTCTGCAGATACAACCATCCGTGTCAACTAAATTGTCCGTCTTTCTTTCACTCCCGCTCTACCTCTGACAGCCTAACAAAGGTTGTGTCTTTGTTTTGTGCCCAACAAAGACACAAAACCCGGTCAGGGGTCCTCGCAGAGGAAAAAGAGACCTGAGGAGAAGGAACGGAGCAGAAAAGAGCTGGAGGATAAGTGAGGATATAAGGTTGGAGTTCAAGTTACTCAGAGACGTAACTCTCTTCACCTTACTGTGCATGTGCTTCTTTAGTGGTTATTGAATTCTATCGTTTCACTTTTACATACATAATGATGCTTAGACTACTTGATTATTGCATTGCATCAAATTAGTTGTTGCCAGCAGCTGAATTAAAGGCATGAAGACCACTAAGAAAAGTGTGGTAAAATATAATGTAAAAAATGTCCAGCTTCTTATTTGTTCCTAATGTTTAAAGCAACTTTTCATAAAAATACCAGGGAAATTTAACCGGTCAATAATTTAGTATTACACTATTCAGCATCTTAGCTGCATGGGATCAAGCCCTCTGAACTTTGAGAATCAGTGATTAATGCATGCCGACAGACACGGCCCCTCCCATACTAACCCACCCTCCCTCATGTCATCCCACTCTGAGTCAGTGGGGACATATGGTACTGTCTGAGACGTAAACACAGCTTTTTTTTTTCTTGATGGTGTGGGGGTAGCTTGTATGTGAAGGTCTGTATCTTCAGCTCTTACGCAGGACTGTCCATCTGTCTGAGGGGAGGGGTCGGGCCAGTAACAGTTTACCATCACAGCTTAACCTACAGTCTGTACATTAGAAGCCATGTATTCCTGACAGCTGCAGAGCACGACGAACATAACAGCAGGTGGACGGATCCGCATTAGAGCTATTGTTCAATTACAGGCTCCCAGTTAAAGCCCTTCTGTCCATAATGATGCTTTTTAATGTGGAGTGGCTTTGCTGTGAAAGGTGTCTGTGCGGAAGGCTAATAATGTGCCATTTATTGTGTTGTACTGAAAAAACATCCACACAGATTTTTTTATCTAAAAAACCTTTTAGCAATTGCCATTGAAAAGTCAAATAATTGTTTGCTTTCTGAAAAGTGATTAAATTGCAAAAAAAAACAAACACACACATACATGTAAGTGGGCGAGTAAGTTTCTACTTCTGTGGCTGTACTCACCTGGCTTCGATCTGGTGGAAGAGGTTGTGCCACCGGTGGTTGACCTCCTGCAGCGAGCCGTGGACCTGCGTCTGCTTGGCCTCGTCACTGGCTAACAACAGCTGCTCACCCAGCTGCTTCAGGTGGCTTTTATTCTCACTGAACAAGTTGATTTCCTCCATGCAGTCCTGTGGAAACATGACATTATAACATTGTGCATGCTTTATGAATGTCATGCCCCGAAAGAAAAAAGAGAAGGAGAACTCTCACAAACTGTGTCTATCCAATGCAGGTTACATCTAAAATCTCTTTGGATTGTTTTATTTATTTGTGTTTTACAGTAGGCTGATGGAGATTTTTTCAGTAGTGTTATCATGTACGATACATGATTTTATATTATGGATGTAAATTTCAACCGGAGTAGAAATTATTTATGCCCAATGCTCATGAAGCACAACTAAACTGCATGTTTTATGCTCATTTGGTCAATCTGTTATTGCTTTAGGACACCAAAAGGATGAGAGGTAAGCATCTTTGTTATGACATAATCTTGTCTATTACAGAACAGCTTTAAATGACCAGCAAAACACAAAGATGGATTTCAGTTCAATGTCAAGTAAAGAGGAATGCTTTTAAGCACTTCCCCTGTTCAGTGCTCCGTTCATTCAACCTGCCAAACAGCTGTTTCCGTGCCCTGGAGCAGTCCGTTATCAATGGGGAGTGCCATCTTTAGCTATCCAAATAACAAAGAGGGACTATCAAGTGCCACTCATTTTCTCATCTCATCGAACAACTCAAAACAACGATCTTGCAGCGATCAAACCAATTATTATCTTGTTGAGTAAATGAGCATGCTTCACGATGAGACAGGAAGGCACAAAAGGCTTTCAGTCACTGAAAGGACAACGATTGTGTATGAACAAGGGAAGTGCAGCCATCCCATTCCAGGCCACCATCTGTTATAAACAGCATAATTCATGTTGCTCATGTATGGATTTTAACCTACATGTAATCCCTCCATGATTGTGGGAATTACAGAATGTGTTATTTATGAAAAATAGTGTGCAAGAAGCATCCAGTAAATTTATTTTATAATGTGCCTAATAATACCTGCAATATACAGTAAGCTCTAATCCAGTAGTCATATCTGGAAGAGTCCAATTTCATCCAAATTTCAGAATACTGGTCACTCTGAACAATGTTATGTCCTGATGTAGTCTTGTGTGGACAGTTGAAAAAGAGTTTTCAAGTGAAAACACCTGTTCTTCCATGTGTTTAGATGGGAAGATATTAATATTCATAAGATCTTGTACCTTCTTCAGTTTCTCCACCATTTCCTGGATGCTCAGCTCTCCGCTGTGGCACACCTTGTTCTCCATCTGAGTCAGCCAATCACAAAACTCTTTGTTCTTCTCGTTGAAGATGGTCCAGGCATTGAGACGGTCTGCAATTTCTTGTCGGCGCAAGGATACCTAGGAAGAGTGATACGAGTGTCATTTAGCGACTCTGCACACGTTATGGTAGAGAGACAAATGTCTAAGTATCAGGTGATAACCCTTTTATGATTTCACATTGAACACACAAGTTACATATTGCATGGAAACTGAAGCTGTACATGACCGACAGCAGATAAGTATTGGTTTTATATCTGCATTACCAACTTTTTATGCAACTATCAGGCTAGTTTAGGGTAACCAGATGACTGTTTTTCAGGGACAAACCAGGGATTATGGCGCATTGACCACACCAAGCACTAAACATTAATAATAACATTTAAACAAACCATAAATCTGACGACATTTACACCAGCAAAATAAATGGGTTTCAGTTACTAAACAGACTTGCTGGGAACAACTGCACGCAAACATCTTTTAACTGTCTGACGTGCACAAACGAAATTTGACAAATGTCAATCCAATCTGAAACTGGGTTATTTCTTATGATACTTATTACTTATGATATCTAAGATACTCTGACCTAATTCTACTGTTGAACAGTACATTTTGTAGATTAGAGCTTGGTGCAAAGGGACAAATAACCTGGTAAAGTACTAAAGAAAAGTACTGTTCCATACAGCAGATTACATGGTACTGATGTCAATAAAAAAACAGCCAAATGAACTGAATATTAATGGTTTTCTTTTAATACCAGTGCCATTTAATCTCTATCAGAATCAGTAATCAACTGAAATCCCTAAGGGACTCTGGCTGTTTGATAAAACTAACAAGGTCCATTTTCCTAATGACAGCTTAATACCATGAGAACACCCCATTACATAGCTGAGGAGGGGGGCCGATGCTCTTTTGGAGGTTAAAGGGCTTAGCGAGCCCACAAGGCATGATTGAACCAGCTATATTTTACTGCTCCGTGGCATTTATTTGATTCAAATGAGCCCTGCTTTGGTTTTAATGTACCAACACTGCTGCGCCTTTTGGACTCTGGAGAATTTAGGGAGCATTGTGAGCTGCCGTCACCCCCGTGAGGACTGGAACAAAAGAGCCTGTCCCCTGAATCCCTTCAGCCCAGCCAGGCCATCTGCTCAGCGGACCCATTCCAGTGGCTTCCCCCACCTACAACCTGTTAACTATGCAGAGGAAACGGTTGTGGCTCAGATCCATGCCCTGTCAGCCATGTCAGGAATGAATAGGGATGAAACATCTTGTGTGTAATCTAAAAGATGAAATTAGTTGTGTTTCCTCAAAAAACCTTTTTTTGTTACATGAAACAAGAACGATTCAACCTGTGTACAAGCATGTATGCTTTAACATTTGATATGCAGTAACTGGTAGGGCTTTCCTTGAAGACATCCAATGGTCTTCGGAAAATTATGTGTTTTGTGTATGAGGTTTTTTTTGGGGACGAATTTAAGAATTATGTAGTAAGGATGAGCAGCTACTGTACCATACATGTACAGATAAAAAAGAGACATACAGAACACCACACAACAGAAAACATCCTGGCGTCTATGGCAGCATCTGTGAATCCCAATAGCTCCTGCCAAGACAGGAGCAGGTGGAAGCAGCCAGCTCTGAGTGGGGACCCAATTAGCATGACTGCAACGAACCCATAATAACGGACCCAGGCATGTCATAACCGTTGCTTTCTCAAGAACAAGTGCGTGTTTGTGTTTAAGCCAAAAGACTTAACTGTAGGAATTTGAGGCCATGTCTATACAGTAGAGCTGCTTTCACAAATAATGCAGTTACAGAATTAGCGGCCTGTTTCTGTAAGAGAGTTGATTGTTCTGTTAACGCAGTGCGTCCGGGCGAGGAGCTAATTACAACCTGAAAAGCTGTCAAGTGACTGCATAAAGCTACGCTTTTCTTTATATGCTGATACAAGCAGAAGAGGCTCCAAATCCAGAACTATCCCATACAACACACATCTAGTATAAACAATAAGCTTACATTTTTGCACTTTTGCAGTACAAATGTTAAGAAAACAAATTAATTTGACCTGTATGGGGACAAGTTGCAAGTAGTGTTAACAAGAGGACAGGAAATGTTCCCTCCATGAACCGGCACATGTTGCTCTTTTCTCAAACAAATGAGTGTGTGTATGTGTGTGTGTGTGGGTGTATGTGTGTGTGTGTTCAGCCCCAGTGGTGCAGAGGCTTTGTGCTGCTGGTCAGCGCCAAGACACTTCGGCAACCTTTTCCTCCTTCTCCCCCACTCTTTCCCCCAATCCTTCCTCTCCACCTGCACCATCTACAATCTCTCACTTACTCTGATTCAGTTTTTGGTCTCTCCTCTCTCCCTCCATTTTTTTTGTCAGTTCTCACCTTCATACACAGCTCTTCCCATTGACCGTGGAGTTGCTCCAGCTGCTGCTCCAGCAGAGCCGAGTCACCGGCCGCTACGTACTGGGACAGGTCCGTCTTCATGGTGGCCAATTCCCTAAATCCACCGGTCACACGCTGCAGTAAGAGTTCTGTCTCCTGCATAACACACGCATACACATACAGCCAGTCAGACAGCCGTCTACAAACTGAGTGGACACACTTCTATACCTCTTTCTCGCTCTGACCGTCCAGATTAAAGGGCTGTGGACGGGACAGGGGGAGGGGATAGAAAGGGGGAGGGGAGTGAAAGCATGGGGGTATGGAATAAAAGAAAGGGGGGTAAACCTCAGAGGCGCTCTGGTGGGATGGGCGGTGGCTACTGATGGAGTTGAGGGGTGGAGGAACTTTGGCCAGTTTGCAGACCAGCTGACAGATTCGTGCTGCTGATGTATTAGAAGTTATATGTCAACTGGTGCTTTAATGTATTACACAGTACGAAATGATTACTCATTTTGATTGAGACGAAAACATTATTTGTAATTGTTTGGGGGCAATTTCCGTCCATCAAGTCGTTATCCTTGCAGGTTACGCAATGAACGCTGTCAGTCACAATCAGTGCTTGTTTTCCTGCAAATTCAAACGTGGATACTGAGAAGTAATTTGGGCATTACGTGACAATTTGTGGACTTTTGGGAGACTGCCTCTTCGGGGTCCTGCTAAAGGATTTGCTGCGGGGATATGGACTTATATTTTAGCCACAGGGATGTAGCTAGGATTTTAGATACACTAAGGTTACAAGTCCAAGAGTCCCTAACGGCCAACAGTTGAGTCCTTAGAATGAATTGAATAAGTTAACAGTGACTGTGAAAAGAATACAGTTTTGAACCACTTTCCTTGTTTTCAATAGTAAGGCAAAGTTGGTAAAAATCTGTAAAATAAAATCATGAATTATCATCAGATTTCTGATATTGTTAGGTAATGCTTGTGCTCTTCTATCATTCAACAAATGTATGCTATAATGTACGCTATTGTTTATGCTATGTATGCTATAAACAACTTCCTTCCATTATGAGTAAGTGATGGTACAAGTACTGGGCTGTGATTCATTTCAATACTATTCCAGTAGAATACAGTCAAGGGAACACACAGACTAGCTGTTTTGTAATTACCTGAACATGTTTCTCGCCCTCAGAGTCCTGCGGTGTCTCAGGCAGCGGCTGTTTCAGCATGGCGTTCAGCTCATCCAGTTCAGATGCGATATTGGTTTTCATGTCCTGACACTGAGACCACTTCTTAATAAACAGCAGCAAAGAGAGGAGAGAGATCTCCGGAGTCAGTTCAACAAATATCTGACACGTTATGATCAGTAACCTGTAATGTTTAACCACAAAGGCCTGGGCCGCTATGAAAACCTGCACAGTGTATTTTGGGGGAACTATCTATTGAGAAACATCAATCACGGCAGAGGTAACCTGCTTTTAGATATAACAAAAAAATAAATCATAAAAAATACTGTCTTTGGCTATGTTGCCTTTGCAGTAAAGTGATGAGAAAGTATGCTTAGAATTGTACAATGATATCTGTGTTCTTACTTCCTAATTCTCTAAATATTTCCACAAACAAACCTTTCATATGCTGAAAAGAATGCTTAATGAACCTAAAACATTCATGTCAAATGCTGAAAGGACCAGGACTGCTCAACTTAAAAGTTTTAGGAACTGAAGTCCAAGTATAAACTCAATAAATCCAAAAGAGAGCAGTTCTACTGAATGCTGCTCTCTGTGTGATCTTTGACATGTTGCTCAGAGGGATTTCCCTTTCCTTTATTTAACACAGCTCATGAGTCTCGGCAGCACTTCTGTAATTCAGACAACAGTGATCAGTCAAAGCTCGGAGTTATCCTTAAACTAAAATATCAAATGTAAATTAAAGTATCAACCAATCTGAATTTACCTGACATTTTTTCCTCACTGCTTTGCTCATTTTACGATATTTATATAATATTTTATAAGATTGTAAGTATGTCTGTGATATATGTATAATGCCTGTATGATTTACGAGCCCTGCTCTGTACATTGATGGAATGAAAGGGATCATCACTGGTAACCAGACATCTCCGGATCTGGATCATGGATAGATTTGAGCTTCTCTTTGATCCCTCTTGGCTGGAGGTCTATGCCAGGGCAACACACCAGATTGTGTGTCTGTGTGTGTGTGTGTGTGTGTGTGTGTGTGTGTGTGTGTGTGCGTGTAGGGGTAGGATCAGGTCCTGGATATGGGTCATGTAAAGCTGACCCCTCCTACTCTGTTAATACTGTAAAACATGCTCTTCTCTTGGATTTTTTTAAGTCCAAAGCTGCTCGATATCTGCAAGTTTATCTGGATTCTGAAATATTAAAAAACTATTTCTGAATATTTGTTTTGGCATCAGGCAAAGCAAAAGAAGAACCAGTTAAATTTAGGAGCGGATTCAATTCCTGGGGCGGATACATACATTATTTTTTACTTTCATTAACATTGCGAGAAAGGGCATGGCCTTGGTGGAGGTCTGCGCTTTACGACTGTGGTTCTAGTTTTTGTTTTGAATGTTGAAAATAATAGATAAGAGTGTTAGTATTTAATGAAAATATGGCTGTTACCTGAACAGCTGTGCTGACCAGGTCTCTTCTCCTCTCCAGCAGTGAGGTGGTTCGTTCCCAGGCCTCCTGTATGGCCTGAAGCTCTGACTGCAGTTGGCTCTGACACTCGGACTCTGTCATGGTTTCACATAACTGTCTGCCAGCCCCCAGCGTCTGGGAGTACACGGTGGAGTGCAGACCCAGAGCGTCTCTAACACACTTGGAAAGGGAATGTGGGGAGATACAGTATTTATTGTTTATCATTTTAAACAAATTTAAATATTACATTTCGCACAATTTTACTATTCCGCCACTATAAAGGAAGATTTTTTTTCATCAATGCAAGAAGCTGACTGTACATTCTCACTGGCATCCAAACATACTAACCTGGTAATCATCCGCGCAGCTTTGTAGCCGATGCAGTGTACACACAGCAGGTCCAGCAGGGGGCAGCAAAGGGTCGACGTCCCTCAACAGCCTCCACAAAAGTTTCGAGCCGCGATGGTAGACTCTCCACAAGCCCATTTGTTCTTTTAACAAGGACCTGAGCTGGCCAGCCAAAGCCAACGAGTTGAACCAGCTGTCCCTCACACGGCTAACTTGTGCCATGAGCTCAGATCTGTGAAGGAGAAGAGGTTCCACTTAGTTATATTTTGGAGAAAAACAATCGTACTTGCTGTTAACATCTGTTGGCAAACACGTTGACATCCATCCAGTGAGTGAAAGCTATCAGTGCTCCCTATGGGCATATTACGTTTTGTAAAAAATAAATCAACACATAAAATGGTAGAAGAAAAGTTACAAATAGGTCTGTGATAGTTGCTACATCAACACAAAATCATCAGGATTTTAGGACAGCCTTAAGAAGTTATCGCAGCACGGGCAAGAGAAGAAACTTTCCTTTAGCTCCTTCAAACGAAAACAAAAAAAGAAAGAGCTTTCCAAAGAAATGATTTAGGGACGCTTTGGTGAAAGAGACAGGAAACACCTGCACACACAGCATTTTGTTGTGTGTCTGCAGCTTAAACCCAATGTGTGTGATTCTTGCAAGCGAAGTAAGGAATCAGAGGCAGACAAAGCTATAACCTTGATGACAAGTGGGCGGAAGAAATCACAACTCACATTAAAAGCACAGCTTCTTCACAGTGCACTTATTAAACTGTGTAATATATGTAATGACTATGCACTATTCAACTATGGGTGTCATTTCGGTGCCAATATGGTGCAAAACACCTGCTATTCTAAAGAATTAGACTGACCAATCAAAGCAAGGAGTGTGCTGAACTAAGCACCTCGTGAAACTGAGGAATGCTGCAGTATTATTAACTTCATTCTCGTCCTGAAAGGAGACATAGATGAAAGGAAGAACCAGGGGAAATCGCGGCTTAAAAACTGCCATTTAATGTCTTCCAAGACTTTTCCATCACGTACTTTGTCTGTCCTGTCTCGGTTTCAATGGACTCGACTGCGTGGCAGAGAAGCGCCTGCACAAGCTGATGTCCAATAATGATTTCAGCCTCAAGCCTCTGTGGGAGTGAGAAAGAAAGAAAACACACCATTTGTAGAGTAGTAAAGACACATTTTGCAAAATAACATTCATTATTTAAAACAAATGTTCTGCCTTTATCACAGTGATGCATTAACCCATTACGAGTGGATGCAAAATATGCCTCTGTGATGATGATTGCTTATTAATTCAGCTCCATCAAGCCTTTATTACTAAATATATCTTTGTCAAGATGTTTCTCATTTAATAGCATGTGGGCAGAATACAGATGAGTGGTTAATCTAGAGTTCAGACTAATCTCCAGATGTAGGGGAGAGAAAGCCTTCATCAACAAACAATTCACCAACAGAGAATGTAACACTAGTTATCCCATTAACAAGTAGATTTGCTTTAAATTTAAATATATTTTTAATTTCTGTGCGCCAAGAAGCAAACAACTTGAAGTCCATAATTCCCAGAAAATGTTTGTCCTAAAGCCATTTAAACACTGGTCCCAGCTGGTCAGATACAAATCTAATCAATGTCTAGGAAATGAAAGAAATGCAGAGAATCTAAAAGTGTGACGTATTAAGTGATCAAGACCTTATGGACAGTCAGCATTTCTCGGAGGCTGGAGAAACTTTGAGGTTTTTTAGACATTGATTCCTCCTCAAGCTCCTTCTGGATCGACGTCAGGCGCTTGCACTTCTCCTGGAAGTTCTGGGAACGCTGACGGTCAGCCTGCAGCTCTCTGGGATAAAAGGACAATTGGAGTTCAACTGAAAGCTACTTTCAAAATGGACTCGCATCCACTGTATTCCATCAGAAAAATAAACAAGTCATTACAGCCTTGCACATCTTGTAAAACCGACAATGTTATACATCTCATCTGCCAGGATAACTTTTTTGAGCGAACTGTTTTGTGAACCTTCAAATAGCAACAATGAGAAAACCCAAATGCACACTTAAAGGCTTTTATTTGTGCATCATCTTTTAACTGAATTCTCTTACCTGTTCATGTCACATGTGCGAGTCATGTTTTCAACCCATTGCCTGCCGAGCTCGTGCAATCTCTCCGTCTCATGGTTGTTAAGGGTCACATAACAACTCTTCTCCCTGACGTCAACCAGTGACGGAAACAGATCACAGAGTTCCAAGAGAACCTGCTACACGACCAAGGAATTAAAAAAACAAAAAGCACATTTATAATTCACCGTGGGCCCCCTTCATACAAAACTGAGACATCCACACCGAGTCAGAAAAGTGAAGCCAATGCAGATAATATTGTCGGGAAGTGTAAGTCACGCTGAATCTAAAAAGATGTGCTTATTGCAGCTCTCCCATCCTCGAACTCTCCTCCACAGTTCAAAAGCATCTCCTTCGATTTAAAGAGGAGGCATAGAAGTATTTCATTTATGGGCAATAATAAAGTTTCTGACCAACCTTCATTGAGTCTGCGTCGTTGAACCTGGTCAACAGTGTATGTTGTGTGCTCTGTGCCTGCTTTTCAAGGGCCTCCAGTCCAGTATGAAACAGTTCCTGTTGCTCCAAATCTTCCTGCACACAGAAAGAAGTGATGGTGATGATACTAATCTGGATTTGTGAAATTTGAACATTAAGCAAACAGTCTCACATTTAATGTCAGGGAAACTGTTCTCCATTCATTAGACACTTGAGGAATTAGATGTCACAATTATAGATAGCTTTTTTATATTGTGTTAGTCACTGTACACATACGACCTTTTATCAGTCCTTGAACTGTGACGGAAACTGCACAGTAAAAACCAATAATTATACTGTTGTTGTAAAATGAAGGTGATGTTTCGACTTATTTCCTCACCTGAAGACTTTTCTTTTTTGCTGACATTGCCTTGCTCAGCAGCAGGACTTCACGGGACAGCAGCCTGGTCTCTGATTGGACTACATTTGTGGCCAGTGGTTCTAGTCGTTCAATGAGAGGCTTGCAAGCCACAAGCACATCTCCCACACTGCTTTGCAAATCCTCAGCAGCATTCTGCCACGTCTGGTGATAGAGTGTGAAAAAACACACAGTTAGATGGAGAAATGAGAAGAAAAGCGCTGTTTTTTAATCCCTTTGTATATTTACTGTTTTTACTTTGACCTTTCATTGGATTTAATTACTTAGTATTTCCTGCATTTCATCATCTTTCCAACTATTTTCATCAATGTCCATTAAAATACTCAAGATCATAATGTCATGGCTGCTTTTTATCTTCTTGAAAAATGGTAATGGAAATTTCATGAACGGATGCTTGTTTTTGTTGCACGAATGTGCAAAACAACACATAATGCAGCATCTGAACTACGAGGTTCGGTGAACGAACGCGGAGCAGATCGACCCTCGCTGATATCTCTAAGTGCATGCTGTCTGTTTCATTCCAAGAAGAGAATAGGAGACCAGTCATTGAGAAACACTTGGAATGAAATTCTGAAATGCAAGTGATAGAGTACAGCATGAGTCAGTTCGAAGTAAAACTATTTGAAAAACAAGCAGTCTAATAAGCACGTTATAAGACTAGTTCTGTCTGCTCTCAGTGGATTTAAACAATGCCAGAAATCAATTCAACTAATTCAAATATACATAAATAAACAAGTCAGTGTTTCCGACATGAATGTACAAAGATTTGGCAAATTTTCATCATCACATCATCGGAGGAATACGTTTTTACTTTTTCAGGAGAGGTTAGCGTGTATATATTTGATCTTATGCACCACAAACTTATAAAAAGCTTTGCATTCCATTTTCTTTTAAACTTTTTTGTGGCACTTTTTTGTTTGTGGCACCGTAGCGTGAGTCTCCGCAGACGGTGCCGAGCTACGAAGCATGCACAAACTCCATAAAACCAAACTCAACAATGCCGAGGAGGAATTGTAATTAACTGTTAACTTATACCTCATATTCGAGGATTACTTTCTTGCCTTTATACAAGCCTCATAAAATAGTTGACTGATAAGTACATACTGTAAAATGTCTCACTCAGTACATATCTCTATATATAGTTCTTTCCTGAACAAAAATGTGATGTACATATGTTATATACTAATATAAAGAAATGATTGTCATCCAATACAGCAGACTTAAATATTGAAACTGTTTTTGGACTCAAAAGTCAAAAATCGGTCGAGGCTCTAATCCTCCATGTTGCAAGGCAGCACTGTAGCAGTACATCAGGGATAAGGGGGCCAATCATTTCAAATCAACAATCCCTGGATTCCGTTGTAAACACTTACACTTTGACAACAGCTTCAAACTCACCTCCACTGAGTGAACCGCGGCCTTTGTTTCCTGCAGATGTGGAGATCTCGGCAGCTCCTCCCACAGATGCCACAGGGTTTGCGTGTTAAGAGAGCATTGATCCGACAGCCGAGTGTACTCCTGCCAGAGAGAAATTGTCTCTCCAGTCCTCATGTGCTCATTCTTTAACTCCTGCACCACGTCCTTCCACCTGAACACAATAAATGAATACTCTAGAATGAGAATGTGCTTTCAGAAAGGCTACAGTTATGTGATGGAGCCGTGGTACACCAATGAAAATGTGCACTGTGAATACATGTTAGGATTATGTGTACTACTGATGCACTGATTTCTGTTCTGGTCATTTCAGGCCACTGACCGTTTTCGCTCTCCACTCATTTGATCGTCCAGCGCCTGTGCTGTTCCACGATGAAGGGTCTTCACAAGACTCTGATAGGATTGGTCCACGGACGCCCACAGCTTTTCTCCTTTTATGGCCTTCTCCTGGAGTTGCTGTGCACAGAATTCACCTTTTGTATTTTCACTTCAGAGGTGCACTTACTTCTCCTAAACCTAAGTATGACGGGGGTCTTGACATCCAGGAATGCCCACACCTTTACTAAATCTGTCAAAACTAGATGGAAGGGCTTTTAAGGCCATGCAGTTACAACTGGCTGTGTCAAACTAAAAAAAACATGTTTTTTCTTCCTGCATCTGTGTAGTCTTTATGTGATATCATAGTCATGACTTCTGCTCACCTCAAGGAGGTCCACGTGTCCTTCTGCCTGCTTCAGTGAGAACAGAGGCTGATGCTGAAGAGCACAGCGCACCCTGGTGGTGTGCGTAGAAACCTCCTTCAGATCGCTCTCAAAACAACTCCACTCCTCCACATTCTGTCGTAGAGCTGGTCGCAGAGCTTCCATCTGTAAATTACCACAAAGGAAGACAAGAAGAGGTTTGGTGATGCAGCATCCCTGACAGTTGGGAGGATTTACTTAATATTGTTGAGGACCAGGGTCCCTGTTTTTAAAAAAAAGCCATTGTTCATGTGTGTATGCTATACAAGCATGAAGCAACAGATCTTATCATTTGCAAGAGACAAGCGCTTGGTTCTGGATTTTCTCAATTTAAAAGGAGGATCAGAAAAGGCATCTTAAATATGTTGGCCAATAACTATTTCACTTTCTTCTGGCACTCATTGTTCTATGTCACTGATTGCCATAACAGATTTATTTTTTACCTGTTGACTAAGATCCACGCAAGCATGACAAACACTCTCTGTCCGAACGGAGAAGGCGATATCACAAGGGTGATCCTCTTCCTTTTCAACATGCACACTTGTGGGTTTCAACTCCTGCAAAGCTGCAGACGCCTCCTTCACTCTGCTCACAACAGCCTAAGAGAAAAAAACAGGAGCAGTCTCAAGATCAGAGGACATCAGCAGGAGTCGACGGATCAAATATACACCTGCTTACATCGCGTTACTGTACCTCCAACTCCAGCAGAGCCTCACGAGCCAGAGTTTGACTGCTGGGCTGTTTCCACTGATTCAACTGCTTTTTCTGCTGTTCTATCCAGCTGTGAAGACGCTGTAAACGCCTCTCTCTGTCTGCACACGTGTAATGCATCTCTTCAGCTTCACGAGTCTGAGTGGACGAAGCCAAACAGTGGTCGATTATCAAAGTGTTAAATTCAAAAAAATATATATATTTTTAGTCACTTTGAAGAGACACAAAATAGAAGCTTTTTCCATTGATGTTGGCATAATTTGAGTTATGTCTCTGGTTTGACTGATGGGTTTCAGTTTATAATATAAACCATTAGCCAACTATTTGAGCTTTTAATGACAAGAAATACAACTTTGTATTCTTTGATTTGGTTGTATGGAAACATGCACCCAGATCAAGATCTGAGCCACCCAACTCTACTGCTTTTTGCGCTCTGCATACAAATATTATTAGACCAGAAAATAAAAGAGAAGGTCACAGTTGCATCATTCAATTTCAGATTCTACAGGTCCACGTGTTTTACTGTAAATCACTCGCTGAAGAACGGACCTGGATCTCCAGCTCTCTCTGAAGATGCAGCCACTGCAGTCCGAGGGCTCCAAGTTTCTCTGCAAACGCTGTACGTTCTGAGCGGAGAGTCCGGACGTCCGGTCCCACCGGCTGAGGCCCAGACTGACACAGGAAATCAAGAAGGAGCAGCCCATTGACCATGCCTGTCTTTAGCTCCTGAGAAAGCACATTACGTAGAAAGAAATCAATACAAATATGCATATAAATAAAACCAGAAGAGGTTGCTATTTAAAAAAATAAAGAAGTCAGTATGCTTCAACTTTCTCAGATATCTTGCAGGTTCCTCTGCTGTGCAACTGAATTTGATTCTAATTTCAGGTGTCTGACCAGAAACACATTTCTAACGTAATATACGTATTTTATTCATTTTTTTAGCGTTGTAAAACATTTGTAGTGCTTTTATTGCATTAATAAATATTGGATTTTTCATTTTTCTTTGCCTTTCAAAGTATATATGTATTTTGTATGTATTAAGAAAAGAGAGCTTTAATTTATGTTTCGTTGTACAGAAAATGGTTATCTTGTTGCCATAACGTCAATGCAGAAAGGAAGGGCTGTTGAAACACAGTAGTGTATTTTAAGGATGAACACATGGAATTTTGAGATGCTTCTTCACTAAATGTAAATCAAATGTATCTAATATTGAAATAATCATTCAAAATGAAATGCTCTTGAAAGAAATGCACAAAATAAAGTCAAAGTGGACACTGGAGGTATAAGTACCTGGTAGTGTTGCAGAATTCCAGTGATCTGAGCAGCATCTTTGGCCTTGATGACGGTTTCTTTCTCCTGGTTCAGCCGAGCCTCAAGCTTCTTCAGCCAGTCCTCCAGGTCAGACAGCAGCTTTACCGGTGGCCACGCTGCCAGCAGCCTCTAATGGACAGCAGACAACAGAGGAGACTTTACATTAACTTCAGTCAAACAATAAAAAAAACAGTTTTATTTCAATCGGACTTTTGTGTCTAAAGTATTTTGTTTGGTCTCCTGTGGGTATTGCCAAAAGAGTAAGACATCAAAGTTAATCTTAAAAAGGACTGGTGGAATATTTATTATATTTCAGAACTATCTGGTTTCATTCACTGGTGGTAAATAGCAAGGAGGTGAAGGACATTTTAAATTTTTCCTCACTAAGTCCTCCCAAACTCCCGGTCATTAATCACCCCAAAACAGATTTCAACAGGGTTTACACTCCCCTTCACTGGAGGGGATTTCTCAATGCCTAATTATTTTTGAAAACCAACAGCACTTCCATTGAATCTAGACCGCCACACTTTAATGGAGATAGTAATATTTAAAGTGTATAGGACATTTGATGCAATAAAGGCTGGAGGTCACCCTGACCATTGCATCATTTATTTAAGGTAATGTATAAATACACCACAGTATCACTATTCATCTTTCAGCTATGGTGCAACTACCTCTGAAACCACCTTTTTCTTCAGCTCAGGTGACTACTCTTTGTATGTACTGTACCTCCTGCAGGCGGTCTTGTATCGCGGACAGGTCAGAGGTCAGCTGGGTCCAGCTGCCCTCCAGCTGGGCAAGCTGAGCTCTCAGCCCGGGACAATCAGCTTCCCTCAGGTGGAGCAGCTTAGCGGCTTCCCTGGATGCAGACGCCCTCTGGACTGACATGGCTTCAGTCTCCATGGAGAAGTCCTGGAGGATGAGAACACAACCAGTGTCACAGAAAAATGCCTATCGTGTGTGAATTATTCATTTTAAACTGCGGGCAGAGTTCATCAACCAGTGAATCCTTAGGTGGATCGAATTAGAAGATGACAGTTTCTATTTCCACTGCTTTTGTTATCGATACTGTTATCTGGGGCTCAATACTATAGAACCAACCTTAAAATGTTGTGGGTTTTTTGACCACTTTCCCATGTTTCACTTGTAGATTAATGCTGCTTTAAAGAATTAAAATCACCAAAAGGACTGAGAAAACAATAGTTGTTCTCTGTCTATTTTTTAGAAACGTGAAGAGTAGACGAGATAGCCATACCAGCAGCTTAATCAGATTGTTGCAAATGCACTCCTGGTTTGTGTCAGCCAGCTTTGACCAAATCTTCTGGTGTTCGTTGGCACCAACCAGCCATTCACTGACCGAGGCAAAGTCAGTCTGGAATCTGTGGGGAGGATGAGAAAAACAGATAGCTCATCCAGTGGGGCGGAACATGACCGCTCCTTAACAAAGAGTGAGTTAAGGACTTGGGCTTGGGTCCAATACTGCTTAACAAGAATTTACACACTTTTCAAGTGGCACATTTCAGGTGGAAACAAAGTCTGTGTCCCACTTAAATTCTTTGACTAAATCCAAGAGAATATGCTCAGAAATATCTAAAACCGTATGTAGTAGTATCCTCAAGAAGCTGTATTAAGCCTGTAGATATGAACTCATATCTTATGAGTTTTCACACTATGATGGATTTGAGTTTAAAGTGGCTCTTTTTTTAAATGGATTTCACTGCAGCAGAATTTGACTCAAAATGCTATCACAGCCTCTCAATAATACTCTCCACTGCAGCCTCCATCATTGTCTACAGAGAAATAAGCATTCAATTTATTAGATTATTTAGATTTAAATTCTGACCGGACCTTTATTTATGCAGTTATTACAAATCACATAAGGTTTCATGATCATACATACTGGACCTGTAAAAAGATGCCTGTTGTTGCTTATTTTAACATGGGTACAAATCAATACAAGACTCAGTACATCTTCACATGGCAAACCCTAAACAAGTATCTATGAATAAACTAACTGACGTGGTTTTACAGACAATACAATACTCAGACTGCTTGGTCTGCATTGATAGATAATAAAGTTCTTTACTGTAAAGATGCCAATAATCTGTCTTCTTATTCTTGTGACATAAATTGGATGTTGGTATTTTTGAGACTGTCCCACCTGTCCTGGCTGTCCCGGATATCGGTGCAGCGTCGACTCTCCTGCTCTGTCCGCCTGTAGGCACCGAGCCATCGCAGCTCCAGAGCGCCTCCTGCGTGACCAACTCTGGCAGCAAACTCTGGATCTGTCTGCAGCGCCTTCCTCTGATCCAGGAGCAGTCCTAAAGCAGCTCTGCTGTCATCCAGCTGGACCAGTGTTTGCTGAGGGAAAAGGAGAACCAACAGTGCTTATGTTGAGTTTACATCAGACTCTGTCAGATTCTCCTGACAAGCCAACACCACATTAACATTTGAAGAAAGAGCATGGACTGACTGGTGGAGAGAAAATGGTGCTTGAGGGCAAAAAGGAGAAAAGAAGAGAGAGGGAATAAGAAACATGAACACAAGAAAAGCAAACCAACTAAACTATCATCACAATATCATTGATCCATGCCACTCCAACTAACTCCAGCCACGGCTATGCATCAGATCTTTTTGTCTCTACGCATGTCTTTGTCTCATCCAATCTGACATTGCCATTTCAAAAACTATGAATACGTTATCAGTCGCTGGACTTTGGTAAGGACACAGTATCCTTACTGTCTTTACCAATGTCCATGTCATTGTCTGGAGGTGACAGAGAAATGAAAAATCGTGACGACGTAAATTCCTGACTGGGCCAATCTGAGAAGAAATGGAAGAAAACTGTAGGAAGAAAAATCCACATTTGTTCATCCTAAAACTGGTTATTGGCCATGTTGGTGTTTGATGTTTGGTTCTTTTAATTAAAGTAAATAACTGGCCGATGACTCAATTATGTTGCAGTATCTCAACCATCAATAGTTAAGCTCAAATGTGTCCCTCAAATACCAAAGAATGCTCAGGAACTCTTCTCACACAAATGTTAAAAATCAGCTCATCATGTTTCAAGGAGAGACATCAACACAAAAGACCCCATATCATGTTGAGTTTCAAAAAAAAGTATTGAAAAAAGTTTCCTCTCTTGCCCTCACTCAACACCTTCCCATGAAATTAACCATATATACAGTAGTTCATGTTGTCTAGAGGCTGTTCGAGGCATGCTGGGAAATGTTGGAAATCAGTAGCAGAAGTCTGATGAGACAGCAAAAAAATTCAATATGTTTGTGTGACAGGGTTTACCTGGCAGGCGGCTTGTCGGTGCTGAGCTAACATCATGTTGTCTCCCTCTGGTTCCCCGCTGCTGATGAAGGCTTCAAAACCATCCAACAGCCTGCCAAGTCGACCAAAATGATCCTCCCAGCGGGTCCACTCCTACAGCAGGTCCAACCATAAACCCACACATTCGTTTTAACATTTGAGCACCAAATACAAGATTTTCAACAGTTTTCCAAGTATTCTACATTAAAAAAGCTGATTTTTTTATGTATGAATTCATATGGCCCTCAGCAAATGTGTACTACAAACCTGGATCCTCCTTTGAGAAGCCACTTTCTGTTCCAGAGCCTGTTGCTGCAAAACTTTGGCTCTGACTTCCAGCTGTACCCGCTCATCCTCTTGACACTCGAGTGCTTCTGGCTCACGTTGGAACAGATGCTGCACAAAAGCCAACTGAGACCCGAGGACCCGCAGGAGCTTCTGGATCACCAAGAAACCAGATTTATGACAGTAGTGAAGTGAAATAATTGCACAGTAGGCCTGATATAAATAAAGACGGACAGGGCAATGAAAACAGACACCAACTGTGACTGAGGTCTGAATATTGTTGGGTGAAGTCTAATCATTAATTGTTTTACTGGCCGTCTCTTTGAAAACCATCAAGAGGCTTCTACGCACTCTTGGGAAAGTGCCTGGTTTAAATCAAGTCTTTGCTTGCTTGTTGAAGAACTTGCTGAAAGAGCAGTGAGATACCTGGTGTCTGCAGAGAACGGCTTGAAGTTGGCTGCAGTTATCAACATGGCTCATCTGCCCTTCTGTTATGCATTCTTCACCCAGTTCCAGGAGGCGAGTTATCCCCTGAAGTAAGGACCGGGAAGCTTGCTGTAGCTTGGCTTTTACCCCTGGACTCTCCCGCCGATGTCGGCCCAGCACACACTGCTGAGAGATACAGAAAAGCATAAAGTTGAAGGAAAATACGATTGACTTTTGAAACTCAGATCCTACATCTCTCCTACTTTGACATTAGTCTGTAATTAGGGCTGGTATAATGCAGTTTTTTCAGCTATGGGTTATTTTTCCATGTGTAATTAAAAGCAGAAATGATAATGTAGCAGATATAGCTTTTAACAGCTCTCCAATTATCCGTGTTTGTAATGTAATATTGTTGTTATGAGAGTTAATTAGAATGTTTTAGACAGGTATTTACTTGGCATGTTATAGTAGTGTACATATACAAAGGCAAACGTGCATAAAAACACACAAAGAAAGCTGCAAAGCACTGGTTACCTCCAAACTGGGAGCATTCTTAATGCTGGGGAACATCTCACTTCGTCCTCCTTCAAACTCGTCCAAGTTAAACAGCTGGTTGGAGGCATGCTCCTGTGTGACAAAAAGTAGTGGTGTTTCACAACAGTGGTATATTATTATTCATTATTATTGGATTATCATTATTGATGCATTGGTGTCTCAGCAGCATTTTAAATGTGGTTTCTGGTTGTGAGGGAGACAATTGAATGATGTTAATGAAATATGATGCATGTTTTATGTGTAAAATAACTAGTTGCTGTATCTGTGAAATAATTGTAGTAAAAACTATACAATTTCCCTCTGAATTGTAGTGATGTATAAGTATGAATTAGCAAAAAATGGAAATACAAAGTACAAATACGGTACCACAAAATTGTGTATTTGAAGTTATAAAACTCTCTACTACTGGTTCAGACGATGTACACATACACATAATTAGAAATAGATGGCATCCAAATGATTGCATTGCCTATTAGAATTCCAATTAAATACATTACAGCCATTACGCATAATACAATTCCAAAGCTATAAAAGCCAAATTTTAGCCAACAAACATTTCAAATGGTTATTATTGCTGTGAGAAAAGACATAATATATGAATGGAATTTATCAAATTCTGGGAATGATTTGAATTTCAAACCTGATGTTGGTATGTGTGTCCCAGATGTTCAATGAGCTGGTTGTGGGATGAGGTGGAGACCAGCTGGACCATCTGTAAACAATCCTGAAGGGAAGTCAAACAGCGGAGAGCTTCTGGTCTTTCCCTCAAAAGTGCAGGTTTGGTCCCCGACTCCACTTTACTCAACATCTCACACAGAGTCACCAGCTCAGCTGATACACACTACGCAGGTGTTTAGTCAGAAACACAAAAACAGAGCTTTTAGAATCAGAGGTGGAAAAAATACCATCCTTTTTTTTGGGTAGTATTTGCATAATACAAAGACACGTTAATGTGCAGTTGTGTTGGTTGTACTACATTTGTGTGCTTGAGAAGCATTATGGTCGGTCACCTCCTGCTGTAGCAGCCTCAGCTGGGGGTCGTCTTCACCGGGAGTTAACAGGAGGTCGGTCAAAGCATCCAGACAGAGGAGGACCTTCCGTGCAGCCTCATACAACTCCTCATTTACACCTGGAGAGCTCACCTGGGAAATGATCAAACGCATGGCGATCACTATCACTCTGCGTCTACAAACAAGTCATTTTGAATAAGTATACACATGTATGCTCATATTTAACATCATCTACTATGGTACGTACTATTTGTCTCATCATGACGATGGACTCATGTGTCCGCTGGAGAAAAGCAGAAGCAGACCCGGTTGATATCGGCTCCCTTTCTGGTTCCTAAACAAAAACAGGAATTTTTGGTTTCATTTTCACAGTGAGTGGAGGAAAAAAGAAAAGATGCATTGGAGGGAATAACTGAACAGGATGCAAGGAGTTAACATCCAAGGAGGACCTTCTAAAGCTTCAACGATTCATTCATAACATTGACATTCAAATTCTTAATTAACATTTGAATGCTGCAAAACCTGGCATTCATGCACAGTTGCAGATAAAGATTAGGCTACACTAATAATATTAGTATTATACAGTTACATTCCAGTGGTGGCTGCGTAGGACTGACTCTGACTTATGTGATCAAGGGTTGTAAAATCAGAAATGTCAAAATGTATGGAAAATATGTAATAATTTCCAAAGTTCACAGAATGTTTTTTTATTTAATAAAATACTCTGCTTCAATCTATATTTGTTGAAGGTGTTAAGCCTTTCAAAAACAACATTCATATCGCACTCAAAAAGCTGTTTGCTCTCCCGCTCGCCGCACACAAAGAGAGGCACGCACTGAAGAGTTACGTATGTTCATTAAAGAAAAATGATTTAATAATAATAGACTAACTCATTAAATCTGATGAATCAATTTATTTTTTGATTTTCTCTTTTTTTCCTAGGGTGATGACGTCGTAATATATGACGACAGACATTCAAAGCTTCATTTGAAAACCTCAACAGAAGCTTTGAAAAAACAATCCCATACGGTATAGCCCTGATCATTTCCCTTCAATTCCAACCAATGATATTGTACACTTTGCAAGGGTCTTGCTATTGGTCCCTCACATTATACAATACAATAATACAATATATAAGACTAGGAACTTTATAACTCTTAAAGTCAAAGGAGTGTCAGCACAGAGGACACAATCTTCTCCTCCTCATCCTTTACAACAGTATCTGCTTTAACAATGTTTAGCCCACTGGTGCCCTGGAAACAGATGTGACTGTGGCATACACCTCTTTGAAATTATTTTCCTTCTATCTATTCTGGTCCCATCTCATCCGCATCACGTCTCCTCCTTTCATCCTAAAATCTGGAACAATCTTTTTCTTAATCTTCTGTTTTGTTTTTACCTTTTCATGGGTCCCTCCATCCTCTGAGCCGATTTGATTCCCCTCCTTCATTCTTTTCAAAGCGGTCAGTTTTTGGGAGATCTGGATATTAAGCCGACTCCACCTTAGCTGCTCCTTGTCATCTTCCTCGTGTCCAGCCAAGCTAGGGAACAAAGGGAACACACAGTGTTTCTGAGTCTAGGGTCTCCTATGTGAGTTGTAAAACATCAATTCCAATGACTGACACTCGCTTACCTGATCGGCTCCTCAGACGACTCCTGAGCTTGATGAGATTCTTCCAGCAAATCACTTTGATGACTGGTGCTGACTTCTCTCCGCTCCTTCAGCACATTAAGAGTATCCTGGACATCGAGGAGAATCAAGAGATAATGAAAAGAGAAGAATTCGCAATTTTCTTACCATTTCTATTGTGTATTATTTGAATGCCACTTTTAGGAAACATCACATTAGACATAATTCACATTCAGGGTTATAATCAGTGTTGACTCATCGCTACACACGTAAACAATTTATCATTCTCCTCATTTCAAAGCTGGATGTCACTGACAGGTTTGTACATTGTAGGAAAAGTTGGAAAGTGATTTTAAAGGGCGTCTCTTTTCTTACCAGATCTTGATGTGGAGCTGTTGATGAAGACAGATGTTCATCTGCTTCCTCTATGAACCCATCAGATCCTCTTGTGGCAGTAAATGGAGTTTTAGGTCTTGCAGGAATCCGTCTTGTGTCTTCCGCTGCAGCTGCCGCCTGGAGGGACTTTGCATGAGGGTCGGTGACGAGAGTTTCGTGTTTTGGTGATCCAGGTGAGTCCCGTTTGGCAGCGCCAGCAGTAAACTCGTCTTCAACTGCTCGACTGGCTGCAGCGATGAGTGGCTCAATTGTCACAGTTTCATGACTCAATGTTTCGCCAACTATGGAATCCATTTTCATCAATCCAGTTTCAACATTTTCTGATTCAGACTCTGTTGTATGAAGCCTTGGGTTCTCAGACAAAAGCCCGGTGGTTTCAGCACTTTTAGAGCTCGTCTTCACTTCAGAGGAAAACAGACCAGCCGAACTCTCCAGTGCCTGAATGACAATGAAGCTTGATTAAGATTTTACAGAAAATCACCAGTCTCTGTAATAGTGAATAAAGACAAGGGCGGAAAAATCTCACTGTCATTGTTGCTGTCATATTAATGTAGTAAGTGTGTACTTATTCAGATAATAACAAAGGGTTTTTGGAAACACAGCAATAAAAATCAAAGTGATAAATGACCAAAGTGCTCATCAAACAAGTCCAGCCTCTGAAACAAAGAATTGTATTTACCTTAACTTCTGATAGTAGCTTAATTTCTGCAATGTCCTCATTTTGCACATCTGAAGCGCTGAGTGTTTCCTCTGGGTCCTAACACATGAACCATATCAATATACAAATGGAATCCATGAACACACAGACATACATGCCATTTTCAGTGTGTGTGAAGAGAGAGTTTCTGAGGAGCACCATATTTCAAGCAGCTGCTTCTGACAGCGTCAGAGTGCATTCATCGGGTAACAGGACAGCCTGCCGGACACAGCTTCAAATAAACATGCACAGATCTGCTAAAACCCCCCACACCACAGGAGAGAGAGGCAGTATGAAAGCTGCATATTATTAAGTGAATCTAAACACAAATAAAGAGGGAAATATAAGAGAAAAAGGAGCCCAAGAAATGTTTAGTTTCATTCCAAAGCACATAGAATTAGCACTGTGTGTATGTTTGAAATATTTGATAAGTCAAATCTAGTGATTTATAATAATAAAGTGTGACATTTTGAAATGAACCTAAAATCAAGGAGGTACCCAGAAACATGCTCTCCTGGGCTTCAGTTATATTTTAGATTTACCTCTGGAATACTGCTAGTTAGTGTGTCGGAGGACGATGAGTGACAACTCCTGTTTTCCTCATCCTCCTCTTCCTCTGAATTAGACAACTCAAAAGCCTCCTGCTTTTAGTGACGAGCGTGAATGATATGATGAAAAAGTATGATTAAAAAGGAAATGGGCTGATAAGTTTTCTTTCCAATGATGAATGAATATTATCTGATATAAAACTTTTCCTGAATGTAATGTTCAATCAATAATAGTTGCTTTTCAGGATGCATACCAGCACGACTCCATTAGCAGTCATACACTCATTTTTGCTCTCTCATCTTTTCATTTTATATGGTACGTGACAAATGTGATTTTAAAGTACTTTTCATAGAGTAATTACCTTACAGGGGCAGTTCAGCCCAAAATCAAAAATACATATTTTTCCATTTACCTGTAGTGCTATCTATCAATCTAGATTGATTTGGTGTGAGGTGACTTTTTTTTGGAGACATCTGCGAATAGTCCACAGAGTCCCACATCTGTCTTTCAAATGATCTTTTGTGTATTTAAACTCTTTTATGCCTATAAGTTTTAATTCAATAAAACGTCAATTTTGTAATTGCACTTAAAATGTGAGTTAAAAAAACATGCTCTGTAAAAGGAAGGTTTTCCGTTTTACTTTTTTTTTCAAATGTCCAGCACTTTGAGCTACAGAGTCTGTATGAAATGTGCTGTATAAATTAAGATTAATATGGTTATTATGGCTGTCTGCCTTCTCTTGAATATAATGGGATGGGACCTGGTTACTCAAGATAATACACAGACCTCGGTGTGAGCGGTTTAATGCAGGAACTATGATTGAAAGAAAATAGTTTCTACATGAAAGAGCTCACAACAAGGTCTGTGGACAAACATGAATTTTAGATTTTGGGGTCAACTGTCCATTTAATAGGTAAAACCCTAATATTGTACATCAAAAAAAAAACTTGACTTGTAGACTCTGATGAAAGGATGCAAGTTCATTTAGTGAACACATGTTTAATTAAAAGGATTGTTCATTTTTTGGGGGAAGTTTCAAAATAAACAAATCAATAAATTACTGATCTTCTCACCCAGGAAGAAACTTTTATTTTTTAAATTGCTAACGCAGTCTTAAAGTGATCTGAATGTGATTCCACAGACATCCAAAAGCTACTGAGCTAAACTGACTCCAGATGATTGTTATGTATAGCCTGCAAAATATACAATATGCAGTTTGCCACTCATTGGGTATGTACAGTAAGACAATAATGGCATACTTCCCCAAAAACTAATAAGGGATTTTAGTTGAGCCTGCCCAGTAGAACATTAACAGGACATTACCAGGCAGCATCAATCAATTTCAGATAACAGAGGGAATTAATCAAAGTCACCAAACCTGACTTCCTTGAAGAATTCACAAATTTGACTTGATGTTCCTTCTAAATACCGGTGGGAATCCTTGACTTGGTAACTGTTGTTTTTATTTCCCAAAACAGTTGAATTAAAAAGTGGGGGACAGTCGCTAATTGTCAGCATAAAACGATTAAAGAGGACATGAATGTAAAACAAATTCAAACGTCACACTAGTGTTATAGGTTTAGTTGGTGTTGATGATGATTCTACCTTATTATGATTGTGATATTTGTATTACCTGGACTGAGTATCTTTGTGGAGATCTGTCGAGCTGATGTACTTCTTCAGGAATATGAGAGACTGCGGTGATGCCAAGATCCTTAAATGTTTCTTTCTCCTCCTTAATCTTGTTCTATGTCAGTGAGAGAGACAAGAGAAACAGAGAGACAATGTGACAAGTGACACATTTCGATGGGAAAACATAAGATCAGCACACTTGTTCCACTAACAACCTGGAGTTTGTTTTGTAAAGAAACATTAAGATACACACTTTTGGCTTTAGTTCCGTGTTGCCAACAACAAACATCCTTGATTGCTTTATTTCAGTCACAGTCATGAAATACTTTTTATCTCACCCCCTTACTGTTCTACAGTAACAGATCAAATCAATCAGTTTGTCTAGGTGCAGGTGCGTTCGGACTTCATGCAGTACCTCCAGCTGCGCTGCTTGTTGGTTGGTGAGTTGTTCCAGCTCCTCGAGCGTCTGCAGGAGCAGTCTGGCTCTGGAGAAGACCAGCAGGCTCTCCTTTGCTCCCCGTGGGACGTGAAGCTCTCCTTTGCATCTCTCCATCTCCTCCAATGTCCTCCGCATTGACTGCACGTTGGCCAGGATCACCTTCAAGTTGAAACAGAACAAGCTGATTGAGACAACATTTTTTGTCAGATAAATAACTAACTCTGATGACAGTCATGTTGGCGCTGAATGGATGGCAAAAGAAATGCAAATTGTTACTTTTATACTTTATAAAAACAGAAGAAATGTTAAGTGTTATTGTTCTGTACATCTGTGCTAGATGCCTCCGCTGTAGTTTAATCCTTTTACACAAAAAAATGTTTTTTATTTTATTCCAGCTATGTGACACTTTTATAAAAATTAGAAGCGTTCATATTTGGTAGAACACTGTCAACGACTGCTATATTTTAGTGGATATAGGGAGGGAGGTTGTGGGATGTAATGTTATGGATAATAAAGAACTGTATGCTTCCTTCCTCAATCAGACAATAGATCTCAGTATCACAGTTAATGCACAACCTACTTACCATTTACATAAAGATGATTCTTTTAGACAGAGTAATTTCGAACCTTGTTTCCATGTTCTATGTGCGCGGTGCTATTAAAACAATTCGCAATAAGTAGTATTGTAAGTTTTACAAGTATTATAAATGCATGCAATGAATCACCTGTCGGTTGTGAAGATACTCCATCATAGTTATGTGCGAGTCGTCCGTGGAGGATAAAATCGCTCTGATCTTCGGGACATTCTTCTCCATGGTCTTCAGCTCCCCTTCTATTTCCTCCACTACCTGAAATAATCAAGACGGTTTCACATGCTCCACCTATATGGAGCTTTCTTTCTATCTCTATTCCTTTTAGTGTGGTCTTCAGTTTGATTTCACTTCAGATTCTGTAAGGCTTTCCCTCAAAACCTCACTTGGGTCCAGACCACGAGTTGACAATTCTGTCTGATATCAGGCAACTCACAACCCTGTCCTCACTCTCAAATGGCCCCTGCTTGCACTTGGATTACTGCTCAAACTGAGATATGTCATTGCTAACGTAGTTAACGTTAGTGGTATTCCTGTTGACTGTTGTGGTAGCATGTTGCTGCGGTCATGGACCACATGCAACGGCAAGACTGGCGCCACTCCAGACCGGCATAAAGTGATTCTCAGTGGCATATCTCAGTGAAATATCCGGCTACCTGTGCCACTAACTGACACTTGCTCCACTGAACGGCACCACTGTTCGTTCCCTTCTAGCACACCAACAGGAGGCTAGTGTAGCTATTATGGTAAAAGAAAAAAGTAAGGGCGGCACGCTGGTATACAAATGAACTGTCCGTTTATGACAAAAGTGGCAAAGACGTCAATATAATAGAGTTTTGGCGGCGGATGTAGATAAACCAGTTTAAAGAGTAACCACCCATCAGGGACGCTGTAGTGATGCGAGCGCACCTGCAATGAGGCAGGGCTCATTTCATTGGTCTACACTACACCTGGCATTCTATTGGTTGGATAAATTAAACAGTGTTACTGCACAGTCTATGATTATTGCACAAAAACAATCTGAGAGCAGACGTTTCTCAGGCAAACAGAAGCAGCTTGTGAGAGTGAGGAGAAGGGCTGCAGCTGGAGCACAGGAGATCTGCAAGCAACAATATATCTGCTTGCAAGCATACAATTTGAGTAGAAGCACAGCAAATCCAAGCGCAAACAGAGGCTATCTAAGTGCGAGGACAGAAAGCATCACACAATCTGAACATGAAATCAACAAGTCATGCTCTCAATTTGGAAAACCAACTTCTTGATTAAAGATAGGAGAAAAGCTCCGTCCACCTACAAGAATGTAACTGCCCACAACACTGTCTTGTCGATCAAAGGCAAGGCATTTTCAAGATGATACTGGTTGCATTTCTCTTGAATCTATTCATGGAAAAATGCATTTTGGAGTCTCTGCCATGCACACCGTGTAGCCACAATATCCCTGGTTCTGACTGGAGACTTTCGTTGCACAGTCTCTCCTGTTTGCGATCCTACCATCTACTGATACATGTTTTACTAGCCCTGAATCTCAAAATGTGGTCACACTACAGAGGAACATTTGCCCATACGATGTTAGATCTGAGTGGCAGGAACCAATATGTAGAAGAAAAAACAGCAGTTTACTCTCACAGCCATTTGGGGTCACGAAAAACCTGAAACTCCTCTCTTTAAAAAGTCTTACCCCAACAGCCTGCAGGAGCTGCTCCAGCAGTTCTAGGATCTTGCATTGCATTTTCTGGACTTGTTGGTCATTCTGGTTCACCCTCTCCTTGTGGGTGCTGATGTCACACACACCAGAGATCTCATCCAGCACTGGCCTGAAGTCCTGCAGGGTATGTCTGATCCTCCGAGAGTCGTCCAGGACCAGCTGTCGTCCAAGATTTAGAATTAAATTCATCATTAACATGAGAATGCTTGTGGATACTATCATCAATATTGAATCATGTCAAACAGGGTGACTATCAGAAGTGTTTTTGTGTTTGTTTGCTTGTTACTTGGTATCACTGACCTGCAGGGATTTTGCATGATTCTGGAGGCCTCTGGCTGTTGGGAAGGAGCACGGCGCACTGAGCCATGACTGGGCCTCGTCTAACCAGCAGGTGCCTCCATACAGAATGTCTTCAAACTCCTGAAGACAGGCGGGGATCTGACAATAGAAAATACAAGGAAGCAGAATGGCAGTTTTATAAACAGATTTTTAGAAGCCACTTTCCTCATTGATGTACATGTGATGTCATGCATTTTCAAGATACACAAGTCAACCGATGGTTCCTGTTCCCTGATCTCTCATCACCACTTTTCCTGCATCCAATACATTGTGAATATAACGCAGCATGCCTGACCTTGCTGAGGAAGGCGGTGCGTTGCTCGGTCATCTGCGCTGCGTTTTGGTAAAGCTGCAGTGGTTGGTTGAGTTGGTCCATAAGTAGGTGGGCTTGATCAGGATGCTCCTCTGCAAGATCCTGCACCTCGCTTTCCAGCAGCATCAAGCGGCTGTGCCCGGCATCCAGCTCATCCCACACGTGCTGGAGGACAACAAAATGTAAAGTATGTAAGGGCATTGAAGCGACAATGTAATCCTGGATTGTCATCAGCTCTTAGGAAGCAGTGGCTGTTTCACTTGATTTGTTCCCGGTTTAGTCGTGTTCTACTTTTTAATGGAAAGTGATATTTTAGACACTGATAATCTGACCTTTTGTGTTATTACTCAGTTTTTCACAAGCTTGCTACACTTTAGTTTTTTCTTATAGCCTGCACACATTTGCATATTAGCTAACATAGCTAGTAAAGGGTAATATTAGTGGCTGGCAGCTGTGAACAAACATCAGAGTTTTACCTCAAACTCAGTTGTGCTAATTGTTAAAAGTAAACATGAAACACAAAAGTGGTAAAAAAAACAAAAACAAAAAAACAAGTGATATATTTTATCAATTGGTGCCTGATTTAAAAGATAAATACATTCAGATAAAAACAAACGAGCAAGACATTCAAGTAAGAATACGGAAACAAGTTTAAATTTACAACTCCTGCATACCAGCAGGTTTATGGATCATTCACACACAGACAGACACACAAGCAAACATGAACTCCCACCTTGAGCACATTTTGAGCTTCATTGATCGTCGGACTCCTTCGCTCCAGTAACACTTTCACTTTCTCCAGGCCAGCACCCAACTCTGCCACTTGACTAGCCAGCTGCCGAACTGGGTTGCTCTTCTCCGTGAGCTGTAGAATGACCACACACACACACATTTAGAAAAATACAAGAGGTTTTAATAGGTAATAGGTCATGAGACATTAAGGATGGATTCCTGTTTGCAATTAACCTTCTCCTCTTCTCTTTGTAGAGACAGCTGAACTTCTTGTAACCGTCTGCTGACATCAGCTGGTATCTCAGGGTACCGGCTCTGCACGCCGTCCATGATACACTTGAGTTTGGCTTTCTGGGAGGACAACAAATCCTTCCTGAGCTCCTGTCAGTGTAGAAATCCACAAAAATAAAATCAGGACAGGAAATATGAAAGAGAGAGAGACTGCAAGATCGGGTCAAAAGTTTAACTCTAAATTAATTCTTTACAAATTAGTTTAACTTATTTTCTAATTAAAGGTTGAATGTAAGCTTGCAGCAGTGCCTCACACGTTTAGTCTGCTCTGAGACAGGGTGACAGGCAGTAAACCATTTTCTGTACTGCTGACTTCTCACATATTAGACAGTTTAGAGCGACGTTGACCTGAAAAGACCATTTACAGTCTTTAGTCTAATTATTGAAGCTACACGTGGTCTGCAGCTGCAACTGAGAATGCAATTTATATTTCTCACTGACGCTGTGAAGGACTTCTAAGCAGATCCTGACATTAAAAGAAACATATCTTATACATAATATTATTTTTATTATTATACCTTAAGACGCTCTTGAGTTTTTGTCTGTTGTTATTTTGTTCAAGTATAAATGTCATATGCTTTTCTTTTCTAAATGTCGCTTCAAATGCCTTCTTGCACAATTTTCATGCTTGGACTATTAGACATAAAAAAGGAGCATGACCTGTTGTTTGCGTGGATTTGAACAGGCTTCCAGTGAGGGAAGAAGGGTGAACATGTGTTCCTCCAACTCTGCTATCTCCACTTGGACTTGCTGTCTGTCTTTCTCCTCTGCCTGCGCTGCAGCTACCACCAGCAGGTTTCTCTCTTTCAAGCTGTGGAGAACAGTATCACCTCAGCATCTCTGACATTAATGAGTAATCACTTCGCACAAGTATATCAAACAAACCCCACCTCCTGACATTCTCTTGGATCTTCACTAGTGTTTTGGCAACAGGTCCAGGGCTCATGGGCTCCTGGGAACTAGATAAGCTCAGGGCGTGCTCCAGTCGATGCTCCAGGGAGGCTAAGACCTGCTGCTCCTGCTCCAGCCAAGCCTGGTGCATCTCAGCCTGAGCCAGAAGCTCCAGCGGTTCCTCTTGAGTGAAGCTCACAGTGGAGGAGTTGGGAACCTCAGACTGAAGACTGACCAAAAAGCTGCAACACTGCTCCATCTAAAGAGAACGGAGTTTAATACTCAATATATCTCTATATTACTTTTTAACGCATCAGTTCTGTAAGCTTGCACACATTTGCAAGCCAGACAACAATACTACAGAAACACATATGTTAATTTTGCATTAATTTATACATGTTATTGTACATTAGGTCATGTTAAGATGCAAAAGCTGCAAAAGGATGTGTTGTTGGTAAAACTCACACTTATAGTGATGTCCTTCCATTCCTCTCCTCTCTGATCTGTGTGTGCCATAAGAAGGCAGAGAGCTCGGCGTAATGATACCCAGCGCCTCCAGAGGGCGCCCAGCTCCCCGTCCTTCCCAACCCCACAGCCCTGCACCGGACATCCAGCTCTCAGTTCTTCTAGCTTACCCGCAAGGCTGCGAAGACCTTCCATCAGGAGCTTTATGCAGTGATGAAACGAAGCTCAGATTAAAGTTTGAATCAGGCAGTATTCCTTTTACAACACTGCCAGTGCATTCGTGTGATGTAATGGTATAGGTGGTGTTCTGCAAAAAGGCAAAAACAAGACTAAAAGTCTACAGCCATGCTAGCGGCTCTGTGAGGCTGTACTAGGGGGTGCTTTGATAGGTAAATACTAATGGCAGCACATAACACACCGGAAATGAAAATGCTAACATGCCATTTTTTTTAGAAGGTAATGTTTACCATGCTAACATTTGCTAATTACATTATAAGTGTGGCTTATGCTGATGGAAATGTAATTTGTTTTGCTCGTCATGAAAAGTACTGTATTGGGCAAATTGATGTTTTGACTTGATGATGACACCAAATGAAAAGTGAAGGAATCACCAATCTTATTACAATCCATCTTGAGAGGGACATGAACATCAAATCACTTTGTAATCCATCCAATAATTAAAGAGACAATTCACTCAAAACCAATTAATGTCATGGTGGCACCAAAATCTTTAGGATTCATCATCTGAGCACCACGGCTCTCTGCATCAAATATCATGGTAATCCATCTAAAAGTTGTTGAGATATTTCACTCATGACCAAAGACCAACAGACATTGCCATTCATAGAGCCATGTCGTTAGCATCACTCAAAAGCTGACATTTGTAAATTGTCAAAATCTGTGACATACAAGGTTCAAGTAGATCCAATACTGCTGCATCAAACCTACCTTAGCTCTATTTTGTTGGGCAATACATTTGTCAAACGACGTCACTTGCTCTGTCATACATTCTGAAAGCTTGGCTTCAAACCCTGAGAGACGCTGACGTATGTCTTCATGGCACTTCCCGTGGCTCTGTTGTCTTACTTCACACCTGTGAGAAACAAGTCTTTTAGGTGTTTTACTAAACAGAGAAACATACAGAAGCACTTCAATGAGGTAAGAACAGCCAGTACCTCTGCAAGGACTCCAGCCTGAGCTGGGCTTGGGCCTCCAGTATGGCTCTTCCCACCAACAACTGACTGAGGATGCTGATGTGCAGCTGCTCAGTCTTTGGGCGGGACAGGCATGGTTGTTGGGGCACCAGATCCCGAAGGTGGCAGATGTGAGCCTGAAATCCATTTTCAAGAGCTTCTAGAGCCTGCTGAGTCTGTCTTTGTTCCTCAGTACAGTCCAAAAACCCTCCAGGAGCTGATAAGAAGGTGGCTTCAGCATTATGTAGGAAGCCTATTGCTCCCTGAGCAGCCCACTCGTAATCTTTCAGGGATTCTCTCGCCTGGCATAAACCCTCCTGTTGGATACATGTTACATGATCGAGCACAGTTTAGAGAAACAACACACAAAAGTATGAATGGCAAAGTTTTAACAAATCGCGAAATTAGGCTGGATTAATCCAAACGTTAAAGCTTACCATTCGTAAATGGCACTCTTGCATGGTTGCATCCCTGAGAGAGTACAGTTCCTTGTAGTTCTTCAGGTTCATTTTTTCTTTCCGTCCCAGACCTTCCAGCACCCGCATCCCAGACTCCATATGTCTCCAAATAATCCAATTCCTTGTTAGTGCAATATCTATGGCTTTTTCATCTGGATTTACTGGTTCCACTCCCTCCAGCTCCACTCTTGTTCTTTGTAAAAGCTCTATTAAGGCAAGACGCTCGGAGGAAAAATGCAGGCCTAGTAGAAGCTTGGCCTCTAGGTTTTTGATATCATCTGTGACAGAATGCTCCCAGGAGACTAATGTTTCCACAGTGCGGTGAATCTTCTGCTTCTCCGGGTTTAGCTCAGGTGGTTCCAACTCCGGAGCTATGATTTCCAACTGGTCTGCCACTTCTTGACACTGTGTCTTCACCAAAGGAAGTTCAACCAAGAGTGATTGGCATAGCAAGACCCTCTCACCCACGCTGATTGTTTTATCTTTGGCACGCTGGATTTGCTCTTTAGTAAGGTGCCTAGATTCCTCCAGTTGTCTCCCCAGGTGCAGATATTTGTCTTGCTCAACGGCATTAATACTAAGAGCTTTGCACTGGTCTTGCAGTTCCCCAATAGTGGACAGCAGGGAGCTTCGCTTTGCCTCCTGGCAGTGCTTAAGCCCTTGTACTTGACACTGATGTTCCATTAGCATGTGCTTCAAATGTGCAATTGTTGACAGGGTTTCCTGTGTTAAAGGGAACCTTTGCTGCACCAAATCAGTGGAAATTTGTTTTAAGCTAGCCTCAATGGTCGATAACTCCTCATCGGAAGTGGTTAGCTCATGAATCAGCTCTTCCAATTCCCAGCTGGATGCTTTCTCATGAGCTAGCAACCCGACTAATTCTGTCCAAAGGCCTGACAGTCTGTTGACAAGGTAGCGGCTCTCTCCTGGACTGGACCTTACAGCTATTTCCCCGCAACTGTCAGCCATTGCATCCACCCGATTTAGTTGACCCTCTATCTCGACTGCGGCTAATTTGTGACTTTTTAGCTCGCTCTCCAGCATTCTGACATCAGCTTTTGAAACATCGTCAACATGAGCGCAGGGGTCTCTTTCAGCACGCGTTTCTGCTAGCCAGGCATCAATGCTAGCAAGCTGGCATAACAGTTTCTCCCTCTCCTGCAGATTTTTCTTCATGGTGTCAAGGACCTGATCCAAGCTGTCAGAAATGGCTTCATACAGGTCTTGTATTGTGTTTAATATTTGGTCACTTTCCTCATTTTCCATATCAGAGACTCCAGCTTTCATTTGCTCAACTTCTACTTGCATCTTGGATCTTCTAAACCAAATATCTGTCTGAAATTTCCTCATCTCAACAATCTGAATACGGGCCTCCTCTGGGAAAAGGGCTGATTTGTTGCCAATAGAAATGTGGATTTCTGCCTGCTTGGCCCATATGATCAGGTCTTGTAATTGCTTGTTGATCTTAGCTGAAGGAATGCCGCCACAGCTGTATGTGGAAGTGTCAAGCTTGCTCTTGGTGACATTTAGCAAGGACCTAAGTTCCTTAAGACTACGATTGAGCTCATCCTTTTCTTTCTGACCCAGAGAGAAATGGACAAGTGCATCTGTCTGGGACTGTAAGTGCAGATAAAGCTGGTTGTACAGTTTTAGGTCTGTGGTCAGGCAAACAAGTTCTAAAGCGCCTTTGCTGTCATGCCTTTGAAAGTTGGATTGCCGAAGAGCGTCAAGCTTGGCTTTAAGCTGTTCGGCCTCTTTTATCAGAAGAGAGGATTGAGAGGCGGAGCTTGAGGCGTGTTGCAGAGCTCTTTTGATGCCTCCTTCTAAAAGCCTCCATTCCTCCTGGACATCTCCGAGCTGGGCAAGAAGAGCACCTGAACTCTCAGCGTCGCTCAAGTGGACCGAGAATTGGCTACTTATCTGGAGGAGGTCTTCCATCATGTCTTTTTTCTGTACCATAGTTTGCAGCAGGGGGCGGAGTTTGTCCGCTTGAAGAGCACTGCTTCTCAAAGTACTTCTAGAAAGAAAAGAAAAGAAAAGAATATGAGTTTATTGTTTATCAGGTACACAAATAAAGACTATTAGGTTGTTCTTAACTGGAGTACAACCTCACTTTTAAATGAAAGATTTACTCACAAGCTCATCTTGTCCTTCTCCTCTGCTACAACCTCCAGGAAAGCTCTGGTGATCTTCATCTGTTTGTGATACTCTTTGGCCTGATCCAGCTGTGCTGCTTTGACCTGCACTGTGGCAGAGGCATCCAGCAGTGCAGCACTCCACTGTCCTTCAAATCTTTTCAAGGCATCCGGATCACGAATCCTGGCACCACTCATGCTTTTCAAAGTAGCCACTTGCTCCTGCACACAGAGCCGGTGGTCCTACAGTAGACAGAACAGACATCAGATAAAAGGATTTGCCATTTCTGTACATTTATGTATATTTTACTTCCTTTAGAGAAAAGGTCAGTTACATCAAAAATGTAATTCTCAGCCAAGTACATTTTATATTCAAGGAAAAGCAAAGTAAACAGAAGTGTATACCTCTGCCTCCTGCAGTTGTTTGGCCATTGCAGTGACATCGAGTTGTGCTGGTTGATAACGACATGCCAGAACTTTTTGGACAGTTCGTACCAATCGAATCTGTGATTCACCAGGAGAGGACTTCAGGTACCAATTCAAATCAATGTGTGGTGTCCGCTATGATAACAAACACAAGAATGAAATAAGAAGCTGTTAAAATGAAAAAAAATGGCTGTTGCAATTTACTACAGCCCGAGCTGACGTCTGACCAACAGTCCAACACCTTAAAAGTATTGATTTAATATCACATAAGAGAAAGAAAAAGAGTAAATCCTCACATTTGAGAGTATGGGATTAGGGGATGCTTGGTATTATTGATAAAAAAATATTGAAATGATTGTTTACTAAAGTTGTGTCAATTTCTTTCAAGCCTAGTTGGCTTGGTTTACATCCTCTAATGTTCTTCTTTCTTTGGCTTTTACATGTCGACATGAAATTACACAATATCATACTTGGCATAAAAATAAGAGTCAAACTGTGTCAGTGTAAGTCACAGACTGTATACTGAGAGTAATTAGACCCACTAATGAACCTGCAGGAAATCTTTACATCTCAAAGGTCCATCCTGTGTACCTTCCTGTCAGCAGCATCATGGGAATATACACAAACATCAATCACAACGCTGCTGCTCTTATTCCTCTGTTGAATGCCATTAGAATTGACTTCCTCCCCTTTTTGGACACTTGTTTAACATATTGTGTGCAATTACAGGAAACAGTGTCACGAACAATAAATACCCTCTAGTAAAAAAAAAAACAACAACATAAAAACCTTTATTAATCATCATATATATGAAATTTGACCTCTGCTTATAACACATCTTAAGCATTTAAGGAGTAGTGCAGCAACTTTGGGTTCCAGAGTTTCACTCAAGCACACTTTGACATGCGGACAGGAGGAGCCGGGGATTAAAACGCCTTTCTTGTGATTACAGGAAGACCCGCTCTACTCCTTGAGCCACAGCCGCTCCCCTCAAATCCTAAGATTAGTTCAGAATGTGACCTTTTGTACAAACTCTGAAGTTCAGACTTTTATAAATCAGTGTTTTAACCCACAGACACATGTTTTTCAACAAAGCAAGTCTACAGTAGATCTAACAGAGATGCGCAAAGTCATTTAAAAAAAATCAAAACCAGTTGATACTCACATTTATAATGTTACTGCTTTCCACCAAGCTCTGGATCTCAGACAAAACATCCTGCATGGTGGACTTGTGTTCGTAGTACTCCGGTGATCCACCTATCGCCTCCCCAACCGGCAGATCAGGTGCCAAACTCGGCGCTGTCCTCTCAGGCTCCATGCTTTCTTGGGTCTGACGCTACATACACAGGAGACAAGGGTGGTGTCACAGTTTAGCCTCCTTTTCTCCTGTTTGTCCACAGATAATAACAGTTTCCTGTTCTTTTCCTGCTCCACAGTGGTAAAAATTACTATGTTGCCTGTGGCCCGGCGAGTCAGTACAGTGAACACAGGAATGTGCCTGAGTGGGGAGCAGTCTGCCCTGAGGGAGAAGGACTTAGTCTATTCATCTATGAAGTGCTTCCTCCCTTGCTTCTCTAAAAAAATAAGTGATCTGTTATAACACGGTTAGACAAGACAAACACCAAAACACGACATTAACTGCTAGGTTACAGGGGAGTTCCCTTGGGAAATAGTTCGGCCATGACCAAGGTGTGTCTTAGAGCAGAGTGCAGGTAGAGCGGGAAGAGGATTTGAAAAGGCACAGCAGGTTTCTGATTTTCTTTGGGGGAAAAAATATATATATATTTTCAGTCAAATATCTCTGTCTCAAAAGTGGTGTCAACATTTAAGTGCATAACCACACCACAAATATCTGTAATTTTTATTTATATTCTAAATTGTACTGTAACCATCTCCTGGATTATGATCACTCTAATCTGTTGTTTGTACACACTTGTTTACACAACTTTTTGACTTCCCCCAGTGCAGCACACTTCAATAAATTGAATCAGCAGTCACATTAGGGTCAGGACATTTACAGTATACAAACATTTTGGTACATTTTAGGACACTCCTTGGAAACAAATGTCGGCCGTTTACAATGAGAAGGAGCGCTGTAATAACTCACAAAAAATTACAAGTTGTCTTTGTGAGAAATTCCTAAAATTATTTTCAGCACTGTGGCTAGTACTTATCAAAGACACATCTAATGACTGAATACATTCTGGCAAATTTACTTTGTTACAAGCATCCTAAGCGTATAGTGGTCCCCTGATGAAAGAAATGCCAAAGAAAAGGACTCAGGTGATAATGACCAAATTAGCAGGAGGCTACTTACTTAAGTATTAACATTAATAATGTACTAATTAGTGTTTCTTTTCTCTGTTTCAGGCAACTATCTCGTACTGTTTTTTCCCCTCCCTGTCAGAGAACGTAGGTACTTGTCAGCTGCCCATATTCCTGCCTCATCATCTTTATTCTTTATTCAAGATCTGTCACGGGAGCTCCTGCAGACTGAGCAGAAGGATCCTTTCTGAATTGGTGTAATTTTCCATTTTTGGTAGACATGCCTGGATGCGACGGAGGGTTTAACGGAGTATATTACTTAGTCCTGTTTTCACTTTTTAACATGCAATTTTGTGTTTTGTTGCATACTGTGTTGCATCATTTTGTTTTGCAATTTCTAATTCATTCTGTGCAATAAACAAGGCAATATGCAACATAGATTTCATCTATCTGTTACTAGAAAAATATGTTTCTTTCCACTGCATGAACAACAGGAAAAAGATGAATGCCAAAACTGTATGAAGAGACTTTGGCCAAAGTACGACATTGAAATGCCAAATGGTGGGAGGAATAAAAGCAACTACGTTTTAGATACATTTAGGACTGCATTTTGAATGAAACACTTACAAAATGTTAGCAATACACTTTCACTGAACAGTCCCTTTCTGACATGAAGGGAAGAGAAGGAAAGAAGAGTGGTTTGCAAATGTCACAGAAGACCCAGTTACATATATGAGGTTTTGGAAAGCAAGGACATCTGCCAGCTGGGCTAACAAACATTGGTCTGGAGAGCAGCCACCAATTATATCGCTTTTCAAAATGCACGTCTTTTTATCATGTTATATTTCAGGATCTCCATTGTTTGAGTCCAGCTTGGACCTTTGTTGCACGTCCTCCTACTCTCTCTCTGCCTTCTCATTTCCGGTTAGGTCTCCACTATGTACTTCTAATGCAGTAGGACATAATGGCATCCCGTTAGGATCAAGTTAATTTGAGCTACACTTTGAATCTTATGTTGTTTTTGTGATCTACTGCATAATTTGAAGTCTTCAGGCCACTAGGAACAAGTGGAAATATCACTTTTTGGTAGTGGTGGACAAAAGCAACAGGTGACAAAGGGCACAAGAAGACATGGCATTGTTTTGAGGGGTCACAATCCAAAAAGGTGTGGAACCACTGCATTAAACGACATTAAAGCAAAATTCTTAGAAAAATAATGAGAAAAAAAGGTTAATGCAGGGATGATGGATAGAAAATCTACCTGTCTCTTTTTCACCTCAGTGTCCTCCAGCGATGCAGGCACCTTCCATTCCCTCTCTTCAAACAGCGGCGTAGCTTTGACTCGTCTTTTTGGCACTTTGGAAAGTTTGGACTCCAGGCTTTCAGGGTCACTTCCTTCTCCCGTGTTTTCTCCCTCTGCCTTCTGCAACTGTCCGGCACTCTGTGCAGTGTCAGCAACAGTGAGCTGTTTATTGCCACCAGCAGGTGTTTGTGTTGCAGTTAAGGCATCTACCTCCACAGTGCACAAGACTGAGCTCATTGTTTGCTCTTCAGCGTGACAGAAATCTGTCGTCTCCTCTTGTTTGACATCCGGAAATGTTGTTTCTGCTGCATGTGCACCAGTGAGCTGACATCCAGCAACAGGGCCACACGATTTGGAGGAAGTCAACACCTCATTATGCATGAATTCATGGCTTTCTGACTTTTCTTTGCACAAAAATGTGGCACTTGTAGACTTTATCTTCTCCAATTCTGTACGTACTAATTCACGTACTGATTCAGGACTCGATAATGTTGTAAAGACTCCACATTTCTTCTCAGGAATACTTGAAAATTCTGTGAGCTGTGCATCGCAAACCTTTGCCCCCTGTGAACATCTGAGTACATCTGGACTGCTGGCTCCAACATTGTGCTGTAGCTGGAACTCGGGCGTCTCCATGTCCAACACTATTGTGAACACTTTCTTTGGCCTCACACTGATGTCCTCACAGTATTTCTCCTTTTCTTGAGCATCAGAAACAGTTTTAGATGTCTCCGATTGGGCTGCTAGACGTCGAGACATAATTTCAGTGGTAGAAATGGGGACATCATCAGGCTTTGTTGCTGGGGATCTAACCAGAAGTGTGACACATTGTGCTGAATTGATTTCTTTCATATTGTCTGTGTCTTTAAGTGACAGTTTTGAGTCCTGGGTTGAGGCAGCGTCTTCCTGCAATGGTTCAGTGTTCTCTCGCTGAGCTATTAAACTCTTGTTGAGAGTAGGAAGTGAGTCTGACATTAAAGTGTTATTTCCAGTTGGTGTCCTAAGCCCACTGCTTAAAGGATTGCTATCAGTGTCCAATGTGCCAGTATCATCTCGGATTTCTGCGCAGGAGAATTGATTAGTGACATCTTCTTTGGTTGTTTCCAAAGTGTCTTTGGTTTTAGGTTTGTTGTCACTCTGATCGTTTTCCTTGCTGTTTATTGCAGAAGAAGAAGCAGGAGGACACGCGGCCAGAGTTTTATCAGGTGAAGCATCACTTTCACTTCTAAAAGTTTCCTCAACAACTCTGCCTGGCAAATCTTTGTCCAACTCCACTTCACAACGATATGGATTGATTTGTGAAACCTGTTAAATTGAACAAAACAATTAACCACAGAATCTCTTCATCATCATCATTATAAAAGTGTATGTTACAATTCTGAAACTCACCAGGCATTTAGATAAGGTTTCGAGTACAGATGTGCTTTCATTTAGAGCATCGGAAGCACTTCTCTCCAGTTTCTTTGTTAATTTTGTTCCCAGACAGTCAAGAAGAAGATCTCGTTCAGTGAGCACTTCACGAAGCCCTTGTTGAAGCCACAACCCCTCATCAAGAGCTGCCTACGAGAGCAGAGACAGATGTTTTAACTCCAAAAAAGACCTTTTTACAGATAATCTATATTTCAAAATTTAATTCAACAATATTACATCATTTGTCCTGTGAGCAACATGAATGTATACCCAAAATCATTAGGATTCATCCTCTGGGCACCACGAATGTCTGCACAAAATGTCATTGTAATCAATCCTAAAGTTCTTGAGATATTTCCCTTAAGAATGAAGCCCAAACCTTATCATACAATGGTTAGATAAAAGCTGAAAATGTACGTATTTTTTTTAATTTTGCCATAACTAAATGGTTGTCATAATATTTCATAGACATCAGTAAAATTACTGTACATTAACATACTAAGACCATCACTAAAAAGACTGGCAAAACAGGAATTGGAGTTAAGCCTTCAGTTGTTTTGGCAGCAGCAGACGGTGAAGCTCATGTAAAAATGAGTCACAACATGTTTATGATCTTTAGTAAAGCCAAAGCTGGACAAAATGAGCCCCATCCTCCCAGTGAGCACTGTTTATTATGTTCACCATGTCCTAGACAGAAGAGACGGTGTTCCGCTTGTAATTTTATTTTGGATTAAAGATGGACCTGTGACATTTTAAGGAAAGCTCTTCAAAAGACATGAAAGTCCTAATGGGTAAGAAATTATTGTTTTTTTTGTCTAAAGCCAGGTACAGCAAAATGTACTAGTTTTGGTATTAACACAAAGTGCAGGCTAAGATGGGTTTGGATGGCTTGTTCTTTTTGCATTTGTGGATATTATCCACTTGAACTTGTTGTTCGCCAGGTTTGAAACAACAGACAACAGCATGATGGGCTGACCTAAATTGAGCATACTTAGAGTTTTTATTTTATTTCTCTATGACCCCCAGGCTACACTGTTGTATGTCATGTGGAACATAAAAGTAATAATATTGAGAACCAATCTTATTTTACCATATTTATAGAATATGAATGTGGTTTATAGGGATAAGGGATAAAGGATAAGGCTGGCCATATCCTACATTTTTCTTATTGACAACAAATCCCATGAAATGGCCAAACTGTCCCCAAAGAATTCCCCAATTATTTGCTATCTAAAGATATAGTGGTAATGACGACATGCGCAGAGAATGAAGTCGCTCTCCCTGTGTGTTGTAATCCGACCTTCTCCGTGTTTTATTGACATAGCAGGCCCAGCCATCCCGTTCAGCCATCAGTTTATTGCAAATAATATAACTGAAGATTTATAAAAAGGCACGGAAGAAAGTGTTCTTAAGGTTGTTAGATGAATGTGCATATTTGTTAATATGCTGGGTTTTAATAAATGGATTGATAGAACAATGTATGAACATTTCTACCTGGCTGGGTGATGATAGTTCAGCTTGTGCTGTTTGTCTCCAATGCTGCAGCTGGTTGATGACCTGTCCCACTCTGTTAGCTGTGTTTTCTGCACACGCCTGCTTCTTTTTTAGAAAAATGGACTTGAGGCTGCACAGAGAGAGAGAGAGAGAGAGAGAGTGAGAGTGAGAGTGAGAGAGAGAGAGACATCATTTTTTAGATAATTCCATTCAAAATTACTTTTCCATCAACTTCTCATTACCCAAATAATCCCGCAGAAGAGGACTGCCTTCTTACTGTGGCATACTTTTTTTTATTATTTTGAAATGAGGAATGAGGTACAATACCTGTCAAGGTCTTTAGCAACTGCATCAACAGTCAAAGTGACATCTGCAGGAGGAATTTCTTGTGTACTGCTGGACTCTCCAGTCTTCTGCAGGTCGTAAACTCTTGCACCCAACTCTGTCAGCCTGGTATCACAGTCCTGAGGGAGAAAAATACTTTTTTGATGCTTCTATATTTCCCCGTTAACTTGCTATACACTGTTATTCGGGGGGGAAGCATCATCTTAAAAAGGATCTTTCAAAAATACCTGTATTGTATACCACTGCTGTTTGAGCTGACTGATATCAGGCAACACTTCAGAGTTCCCACACAGATTTTCAACCAGGTCTTTCAGAGCCGTTTGTACACAGGTGACCTCTCCCTTCACTCGTTGAAGTCTCTGGTTGCTGTTTTCTGTGAGCAGTGCCAGAATTCCTCTGATGCTACTGTCTAGTGCCCTCTTCTGGTTTTGGAGGTTGCTGACTTGCTGGGAGAGGCTGGCCTGGGCCTCGGCTGTGGAGCTGGCTGTGATGGAGTCCTTGAGTGTTACAATTTGTAAAAGCTCTTTTTCTATGTCGGTTACTTCTTGTAGCAAAGCCTGGAAAGTGGAGAGAGGGACAGATGAAAATAAATACAAATACAATAATGGTGGCTTAGTGTTGGGAAAGTCTCCATCCTCTTCATAAAAATGTCCATTTCAATGCAGAAGAAATGTGAAATAAAAATAATGTATCAGAAGCTTGTTCCTGATTCATTGGGTCAGTTTACTTAATAATGGACCTCACCTCCAGAGCTGGTGCATCAGTGATGAGTCCAGCTGAGCTTTCTTTCTGGGCTTGACAGGCTGACATCCTTTCCTGCAGGGATGTCAATTTATGGCGGCAGCCCTGCAGTGACTGGCCAAAATGTTCCTCATTACAAACACCTTCCTCCAGGCTGGAACACACTCCCTGTGGACATTTCAAGCACACCAAGGCACAGTCAGACGGCTCATAAATCATTTCACAGACTTATTGTGATTATATGAATCCGGCGGTTCCTTCATCCCATCGGATCAGCCAGAGCATCCGTTCATCCACCCAACCTGTCATGTTCATATGTGATTCGACGGTCCATTTAGCCTTTGCAACTGCAGAAGTACGCCCTGGTGTCTGAGTACCCCTGGTAGGGAATAACTGTACTATATGAAAAGTTTTACCTTCAGCTCATCCATGAGTGATGAACAGCAGGTCTCCAGCTCAGCCAAGGACGGATCTTTCCAGATGGCGTCGCTGGTTCCTTCAGCCATCTCCCTCCTTTGTTCAGCCAGGCTGGTAAGAGTTAATTTCAAGGATTCAGCCTCATCCTGCAGTTGACGGGCTAGATGGCAGATTTGTCTGCGCTCGGACGAGCCGGGCCAGGGGAATGAAGTAGGGAGCTGAGCAGTTCTCTGTTGCAGCTCCTCCACTCTGCAGCTGGCCTGCTGTCTTCGGTCCAGGTAGGAGGAGGTGAGGTCTGGATCAGCTTGTGGAACCCTGAAGCATCAAGAAAAACAAAGAGACCACTCAGAATTCATGCAATACTAAAACAGAGGCTTCAGAGGGGGCAGCGCTTACCACCCATAAGGGCTTACATGGATGACATGACAAACATCACAACAGCAGCATCATGTACCAAAAGGCTGTCAAGTTGAACACAAACTAAGTGGGCTGGGATGAAGGTTATGCCAGAGAAATCAAGGTGTATTCTGTTATAAAGGGAGTGCTTTCAAGTAGGAGTTGTTTTTTATGGACATAGAACAGTGTACAGAAGGTTTAGGCAGGTGATATGATGCAACTCTTGATATGCAAGTCATACTAAAATGACAGTATTAAAGTATCACATGTATGAAATGGCCAAAATGATCACTTAAAATGTGCAGCCTAGACAAATTATTTGGACAGCGCATGGTTATTATAGGATTTGTGGTTTTGGGTCGTGACGACAGGTCGGGTTCGGTGGCGAAACTGATTGGTCATACAGTATGTGCGGGTGGCGTGGCGCAATGCTGGAGCGTGTGAAGGTCTTGACAATCAGACCTGTGCAGAACTCTGCCCTGTATGGAAAAGGTATCTTGGAGCTCCCAACCTCGCCAGCTTGAGAGAGTTTAAATGTGCAAAAGCAAGAGACTGTGAGTGTCTAGAGATATAGCATAAGGAGAACAGAGGCAACAGTCTCAGCAGGGAGGAAGTGGAACCCTAGGGAGGCAGTTTTACAGGCTCCGGCAGCACTTAGACACAGGGATTTTGTAAGGCAGGTAAAGCATGGGTGTCAGGGGTTTTGGATTAATCATACCACAGCCTACTGTACGTGGAATAAAGCATCAGCGGTTGACAGGAGGAGACTGGTAGAAGAATTTCAGAGGTAAAAAGAGAGCAAAAGCTGTCTCTCAGGCAAAGCAGAACTAGTGGATGAGTTGGGAAAGTGTCGAAAAGAAAAACTTAGCTGAAGGGATGTGTGCATTATGTGCTTCCATTTCCCTCGAAATCTTAGTAAACGGATAGGTGAGGACTCAACAAGTCCTTCATGTCCAGGCACAGCTTCACTTCAGCACAATACGTCAGGGTGTAAAACATGCCTGTCTCAAAAAAGGTTTTATCTGGCTCCACTCACCTGTGATAAGACTGGGCCGACTGGAGAAAGTCCCTCCACTGCTCCTCTGTTTTCTGAATGCTTCCCTGAATGTCCTGTTTCAGGCCGTCGCCATCACACAGTCTGTGGCTCAGACGATTTCCAGTAACTCTGAGCTCTTCGAGGCGAGCCTCCCCCTCTGCCGCCATATTTGCTACAGCCTGAAATCGTTTTTTTTCCACAAATTAGTTATTTAACACTCTACACTGCCATCGCACCAGTCTCTCACTGCAGGGACTGAAGAGCGTGTTGTTGAACAATGGACACCCCATATTATACAAGTAGAAACATGTAGATTAAAGAAACAAGAGATCCCTGTGGCCACACCCTTGTATGACATAAAACACATCTGTCATTTTAATACTGCATGAGAACCCAGTACAAAAAATACTTTTTATTTAAAATGCTATTATAATTATTATAACATATGAGTCTATTATAACATATATACATTTTGCTTATTGTAGAATGCCCACACAGGTGAGGCAGACTTAAGGAGTTAAGGAGATATGGAGGGTGATGCTTTCTTACTCGAGCATGGTGAAGCCGCTGCTCTGCGGGACTCTGGATGCCGAGGTTTTCCCCAAGTGGAGAGTCAAGAGTTTGTCTCAGATCTCCAACCCAGGATCGAGTGGACTTTGAAAGGGTCTGAAACACCTCGACGTCCCTGCTCAGAGAGCTCTGCTTCTCCGCGGAGCCACGCAGCACGTTGGTTTGAAAGTTATGGTATCGTTTCAACAGTTTGCTGCTCTCCTCCAGCAGAGCAGACTGCTTAAATGTGCTGCTTCGTAAGGATGACACGAGCTGATCCAGGGCTTCTGTTCTTACACTGCAGGGGGAAAAAAAAATGGGCAACGTTGATGCTCAGACACACAAAAAAAGATTAACAATCTGCATGTTAAATAAGTAAAGAGAGAAAAGAAGGTGCATAACATGCAGCTGTTTCACGGTGTACAAGAAGAAAACAAGATAAGAAATTCACAGACTAATAATGAACAAAGTTTCGTAATAAAATAATGTGTTAAGGATGAGGGAGTCTCTGCAACAGCCAACTTTTAAGTAGACACTTAAAGCTGTACTGCCGCTTATCTCTCCAAACAATGTGTTTAATCAGGGTTACATGATTATGCTAAATTAAAAAAGTGGGATCAATTATAAGTTGTGTCATTAATTATACCCTCGATCGACAAACTTTACAGTCTTTTGTGTGACAATAAACAGTCATGTAGTTATGGATGAGTCAGTCGTCTACATGGAATAACAGGCTTTACAACTTCCATCAATCCTGACTCATCATAAAACCCAACACTGAACTACAGCAGGCTGTTTAAGTGTGCTACGTTACATTTTAGTTTCTGCTACTTTCTTCGACCTTCTGGGTCTAACTGATCATATTTGCATCTACATCCTGTCCTTTTATTTTTGCGATCTTTTGGAAGATGTTACTATCGCTTAGTGATAATATCAACTGTAGCCCACTACAAACTAAATATATACAATATAAGAGTGCACACAGCCTGATAAGAGTTTAGACCTCCAGACCTTTGGACAAGACTTGCTAAATTCCACACAGAGCTAGAAGGCATAGATCTGAAATCAGAAAACAGTTTACCTTTGTTGAAGTGCTTCCTCTTGCAGGAGACTAAGATCATCCTCCTTTGCTGCTTTTCCCTCAACGCCTTGCAACCATTGTTCCAAGTGCTCACCTTCGCTTTGCAGCCTACAAAACACATTCAGTATAAATGCAGGCACGACACAGACTCATATGTACTGTGAGCACTCTACACTGTAGCTTAAAGTGACATGGTGATAAAAGGGGTCAGAAAAACAAGTTGAACTCGTCCCGCTGTCTTATTTTCATATCTTATTCCTCTGTGCCTTAGTCCTTCATTGTTATCCATAAACTTAAAAACACAAAAATGAGCCACACCTTCGCATTGAGTGACATGTTCCTTAATTACAAATAACATGAGCACCGCAGTTTATTTTGAGTCAATCTCTCATACGCCATCCAGCTACCGCAAATATTCAGTAACACAGATTACACGTTCTCGTTAACTTTTACAGAGAAGCAGTAGAGAGCATCATACTGGACACATTACAAAAAGGCATGGGATGTGATCTCATACAATATAGTTTTTTTTTGTATGCAACCCTGTTGTACAATGACAATAAACCATGAAACATGGGACTTAAAATAACTTGCGAGGCTATTAGATGAAAAAACACAGAGTAAGCATCTGAACAAGCTCCAGAAATACCTGCCCAGCAACGCTCTAATGCTCGTTATGTTAAATATTTGTATGCATGCTACATGGTTAAGAAGAGACATTAATCAATATTTTGGTGCATATAACGTGACTGTTGAATTGACACATGATCCACTTGAACTTGTTACCTGTCGAGAGCCTGGATATTCCTCTGAGTCTGTTCTTCCACCTCAGAGAAGAGCTGGTGGGTGTTTCTGACTTTATCCTGCAGCCGAATCCCATCCGCAGACAAACTCTGCAGGCTGTCTGGCCTCGCTATGGAGGCCATAACACGCAGATCCTCCAGCAGACTCTCTGCCTGCTCATCCTGCGTCTTGAGCTCAAAAAGTAGATCCTTTAGAGAAACATAAGTTACGGTTAGTGTTTAGCATTTTAAAGCTTCAGCAATCAATGTCTACTCAAACACTAGCTTCGTTGTCAGATTTTAGAGCCACTATGTGTTGAAATTTAAAATCATATCAATTATAGCTTCTCTCAGATTATTTTGATAGTACACTAAGTGAGCATTTAAAGATTAATATCAAAATAAAAGTTTCTCAGAACATTGTACAAGTGTGTAGTACATGTTGTGACACATAACAACTAAATACATTTTTACCTTAAGTTTTGCAAGAACTGTTGTAATATCTGAAGCACTGAGAGTGAGAAGGGAGTCCTGAATCTTCTGAAGGGAGTTGAAGCATTCCGCCATCCTGGCAGTAATTTGTCCTTTAGCAGCCACCATCTGCCTGTAAACGTCCTCAGCTTCAGAAACAAGCTCCTTCAGCTGCTTCATCTTCTTCCTTATCTGGGTTTCCGCAACCTAGACAAAACAAAAATCAATCAAGAGAACAGTCAGATCAACTGCATCTGTCAGCAACATTTCAGCCTGATACACTCGCATCCTCAACACAAAAGCTTCACACCGTACCTGCAGCTCCAGAGGGGGCTCTTTGCTTTGAAGCAGGGCCTGAATCTCAGCGACTCTTCGGTGGAAACACTCCATATTCTCTTCTTGGGTCACAATCTCATTCTGGAGGCATGTACAGGGAGATGATCATTGTTCAAAGCAACTTTAGAAATTTAGAGAACATTAAACTTCCAATGAGACAAATACATTTCAGAATGAAACGGGAAGGCAGTTTTACCTGCAAGGCCCTGATGTCTTCCTCTGTCTGGAAGGACGGAGACTGAGCAAATACTGCTAGTTTATTAGCGGTCCAGCTCTCTACCTCTGCTCCCAGCTGGATGATGCCATCCCACAGAGTCAGGCCAAGGTGTAGGTTTTCTAGGTGGGAATCTGTTCTTTCTGATATCTGCAAGGATTTGAGTTGCAATGAATGCTGGCAATCATCTTACAACGTACAACCAAACTCAGAGTAAAACCTTAGAAAATAGACATTTTCAATAGTAATGATCTACTATGCGATGCTTTAGTTTACATATGGGAGCAGCAACACATGAAACACACGGGTAAATACTATTTGCCTAGCAAATCCTGCTTTGATAACAGTATGTAAGACTCTGTATAATCTGCAAGAAAAGCAGAAAGATATCAACTAAAAAACTATTCTTCTAAAACTGAATTACAATGAGAGGTTTGACAAACATGTTTCTTCCCTGATAGACGTTTTTAAAAGCCCATACGTAAACAGCAGAGCAAGGATGGCAGTATGTATGCAATTTAGCGAAGAAAAAATAAGATTTTTTTTTTACAAAAAGGAAAAAATAACAAAGCAAAACTAAAATATTCTGTGATGCAAAAAGAAAAAAATAGAAATGTTGTATTTGCTCATTGTAAAAGCAAACAAAAAAAGAATTTACCGACATAGGAACCAATAATAGTAAGTAGTAAATAATAAGCAAATGTATAAAGTTTTGTGAAAAATGGCGAGTTGGAACTTTAAAGTGACTCACGTCCAGCCAGCGGTCCATGAGAGCATCCGCTTCGTCCTCAAATGGGATGGTGACGCATTCTGGGATCTGACACAGATGCGTGTGAAGCTTCCTGCACACACTGCGGACCTCCTCTATGCGGTCCCCGAGACCATTCAGCTCTGCTTTTGTTTCCTGGACCTGTGTAACCAAACACACACACACACACACACACACACACACACACACACACACACAATTTATATAAAACACACCAAACAGACGAAGAACCAGAGCCAATGATTTACCAGTGACACACAAATGATTTGGTCTATGTTGACTGACCTTCATTAGGAAGTATACTTAAAAAACAAATCTCTTCCTTAATCACCTCAATTAAACAGTGATGTAGACGGTACCTTGGTGTGCAGTCTCTGCAGGTTGTCTTTCCCCATGTAGGAGGCTTGTTCACGGATGGTGCTTTCTGCCCTCTGCAGTGTCCCACTCAACTCCCCACGAATGCTCTGAAACCTCTTCAGCAGCTCTGTTAGGGCGTAACACTGCTCCAGCCTGCATGTCATCCATAACACAACACGCACATGCGCCAAACTCAATAAAGCACTCAAATTCAACATAGAAGTAAATCGTAAAAAGGACTCAAACTGCTCCCTTTACCGTTCAGTTACAGCTTTTGTTGCCTCCTCCCAGGCGTCCTCGCCCTCTCTGGTTTGACTCACATCAGGGATTCCTGATTGTGAGGATTCATCTCGTATGTGCTGCAGCTCAGCGAGGTGGCCGGCAAGATGACTCTCCAGCTCTGTCAATGCACGTGTCCTGCAGGAGAGGAAACTATCATCAGTGTACTTGTGTTTGACCTTTTTTACCATTAGTATTGTTTTTGCATATCAGTCAGAAAGTGCTGGAAAAATAAAATAATATACAATACAAAAATAGTATTTAATATAATAATGATAATTATAATAATAATTCTATGTTGTGGTGCAGCTTTAAAAAAAACAGGGCATCTTTACGCATCTTGCAACAAGCAGATACAGAAATATATCTGTTGTATATATGAGATCTACAAAACTTTTCTTCTACACAGCTGTTAAGTTAAGAGAGAAATCAAGATTCACAGCGTTAATACGATGGACTGAAGTCTAATAAACACTAAGGCTTATTTGTTTTTGGGCCCAGATCAGTGTTGTACCTGTGCTGCAGAGCAGGCAGGGTGGGCTCCTGTAACCTCAGCAGCTCAGCTGCTTCCCTTATCTCCTTCAGAGTGCCTAACAAGGCAACTCTCCTCTGGACAAAACTCTCCTTCTCTTCTTCCTCTTTCTTAACCTGGCTGCTTCTTCTTCTTCTCTGGTCCTCAGCTTTTAAGACATCCCCGTCAGATGTCCGTGTTTGAGCCTTGTGCTCTTCCTCCCTTTGTGACGTCATAACATCATCATCTCCTTCCAGCCTACTCCTTTTGGCCACCAACCCTACCTCCTCTTCCGTCCTACTTGGAGTGGGATACTCATGCTCCTGTGCTGCCCCCTGATGTGTTGAATCATCCCCGGTGTTTGTCTGACGTATCTCTGACGTATGCTCCCTTCCCACTGGAAATAACTCCTCTTTACTCTCCCTCTTCTTGGCTCTCATCACTTCTTTCTCTACGTTCACGGCTTGCTGTGACAGTGATGTCACCACATCCTGGCACATCACTGCTGCTCCATCCATGGTCAGAGTCATCCCCACTGCCTTTAAAGTGCTGTCAACACTATCAGATTGTTTTGCGGCAGTCTGCAACCTCTGCTGCATTGCTGCCTGCCAAGAGTGTGTCTCTTGCTCCCAATCTGCCTCATTTGGCTGTCTGCTGGGGTCCTGGTTTGCAAGCAGGGTTGGGATCTCAGCCCTGACATCCCTCACTGTGGTCAGGAAGTGATCCAGAGCCTGGGCAGCTGACTGAACTTGCGCCAGCCGCTGTCTGAGCTGCTCAAGATGATGGACACTGTTGTGGAAAGCCTGGCAGAGGGATGAAGGGGATGTGGCTTCAGGCCCCTGTATTTTTTCGTCAGTGCCTCGCTCTGTTGACTTTCTCATTTCAGACCGCAGTCTGTCATCCATCTCCTGGGTAATTCAAGAGGGATTGATAATTAAGTTTCCATATATGACTCTCTAAATTGAAGTGTTAATTATTTGAAAAAAAAAAACGCATATGTGTACCTTTAAATCAGATACCAGTCTGGGATCAGCCAAGGTGAAGGAGGAGATGTCCACGGACTCTCGGATGATCCGGTCCAGCTTTTCTGTGATCAGTGCCATCAGATCAGCAGTATTCTCCAGAGATGTCATCCTGACAAAAAGTAAAAAATAAGTGGTTATTATCTACAGTACTCAAATATAAACTATTAGTTAACTCCATCTGCTGATAAAGATCATATAATATAATTGAAAGCTCCAGAACTAGTAAATGGACATTGAGGTGAGAAAAGGGTGTTTTCAAAGTCAAGAATAGACTTTGAAACCAATAATCCTGTTATCATTATCATTATGATCATCATCATCATCATCATCATCATTATTGATCTGAGAGGTGCACAGTACCTGCTCTGGAGGCACATTTGTTGTCCTCTCCACTGCTGAGTCAGCTGCTCCCAGTCTCCTTCCACGTCACCCTTATCTTCCCTGGTCATCAGATGGGAGAACTGGGGTTGCTGGGTATACTGGCGCTCATACTCAAACCATAGAGCCTCTGTCTCCTGTTTTAAAGTCTGTTGAGGAGAAACGTATTAACAAAGCACTCAAAGTTACAATTTTCATATGGTGCAGTTTGACCTTGTGAGAACAAAACAAACTGCTCAGCAGTTTTAGATCGTAGAAAAGCACCAAGAGGCAGAGAAGCACACGTGAAAAACAGCTTTATGAGTATAATTTGAAAATGTGAAATTATAATGGTATCAAACAATTGCTGAATATGATTATAAAGTGGTGCTTTAACTTGCCTGCAGTTGCTTCTTTTGGTTCTGCAGGGTGGAGATGGTAACAGGGTCTGAAATAAACTCCTCCAAATGTTGCTTGTTCTTCTGGAGATGAAACTGAAATATCAAGCAGGACTTTCTGTACCTGCAGGGAAAGATTTACACATTGTTTCAATATGACATTCTCTGACACTGAAAGGCTGCATGGGAACAAAATCTGTGACATCAACTTCCTCTCACTTGTGTCTATGTTGTTGGTAACTATGTTGTTACATTTAGTTGATACAGGCAATAAAACATAAATTGTAAACATTTGTTGAAAAGATTTAGAAATGATAGATTTAAATTTCGGATTATGTTCTATTGCGCTTATCGGTCAGGTCTAACTCTACTCCACATGCTGAATGTCCTCCAAACAACACAAATGTAAGAACTGAGAAATCAACACAGACCTTTCCAGTACTTCCTGTTCGGAGGAGTGCTCTTCCTGTGGGGGGGCGGCTGACCCTGGGATGACGGTCCACTCTGCCTCCTGCTTGGTCTCCACAGTGTTACCCCGGACAACCACCTGTGAGATGGTAGAGTTGCATAGAAACAGTCCAGTGAAGACAAGAGGAAGAGATGGAACAGCCAGCAAAGCTATCCAATTACTGGGATTAGTGCCCTGCAGCTGGTGCTGTGTCTTGCACAGATCAGTCACAGCCAATGATACGGCTGAGCTTTTTTCTGACCAGGAAGACTTAAGGAAAGGCAACTTTAAATGCAATGTATAAAGTAAATAAGATTAATTCAGGGTAGTTTTTTTTAACTTTGTGTTGACATTTTGCTGGAATGGTTACAGAAAAACATCATATCAAATTCAAATATCAAAGCTCCACAGGCACGATTTTGATAATAATAATAAACTGAAGGAAAATGCACACTTTTTCTAGTGAGGTTCTGGTTTGCAAATATGGACCAAAGCAAGAGGTGAAAAGTAACATATTCATTCATTTAAAAGGCAGAATGAGTAGGATTATTCCTTAAAAACATAGACGCATACGAAAAGAATCCCCTTCAATCACTTATGTAGTGATCAGGTGCCAGATTGTAAGAGCGCATCCAAGAGGACGCTATGAAAATGGTTGACACATGCTCCTAAATAACGCAAATATAACACAGCAAAACGCCAAGCGGACAAAGCTCATTCCAAAACCAGAGCCAATCTGGGGTTGGCTTTCACCCGCTGACAAGCACATTAAACATAGCCGGCGGTCAGGGATCGTACACTTCTGGTGTCATTGAGCCGGGGAGGAGGGGCCTACTTCGAATGTTGAATATAAAAAACCGCAAACAGCAAATCCTACTCTCCCTGTCTTCAACTCTTCTATTTCTCTTGCATTCTTCAGTGACAGCACCCCGAAGAAGACAAAATGTGAAGGAACACGGAGGTCTAGGATCTCAAATAAAGAGTGATGAGTGTTATTTCTATGATGGAAAGCATACATGTCATGTGAGTTTGTTTTCAACAGGGAGCATTTTAGCCACATTACCGCCTGACTGGCCCAAATTATGATCTGTGAGCTGTCCAGTACGGAAACTGGTGGAAAATGATAATCACATATGAAATATTTACAATATTGAAGTGGCAACTAAAACTCAGAATCCAAACATCTTCTAAATCAAAGTGAGTGTGTACTACGTCGAAAGAAAAGTGGACTGAAAGCACCTCCATTAAGACAAGACACTCCAAACAAGCTATTTATATTACTGTTACTTCACTTTGCAACTAAATATGAGTTGAAAAATACAAATAGTTGTTTCTGGGAGCCCACAAAGCTGAGAAGATGGCATCCATGTAAAAGCCCTCATGAGCTCCTCCTACCTGTATGTGGGCTTGGGTTTGCTGGTTGCTCTGTGTGATGTGCGGTAGACGAGCTTTCGGCAGCTGCTCTTTGGTCAGAAGTGAGGGCTTTAGTTTTTTCGCCGACCCGCAGCCTGTACGTTGTGTCGGGTCATCCTCGTTCTCTGTCGGGACATCCTGAGATTGCAGATGGATGACCTCACCACACACAGGTGAGAGGTCTTGTTGTGGTCTGTCCACGCTTTGTTTCTGTGGGAGATCGTTGCTCTGCTGTGTGTCGGCCGACACGCCGGTCGCTCTCAGCGGGGTGTTTCCCCGGAGCTGCCGTCCCCTGCTGAGTTAAAAAAAAAGGTTTATCGGGGGGGAGGTCGGGGCCAGTCAGTCAGAAAGAATCAGTCCAGGAATCTCATTAAGATTAATAGACTTGAAGGATTACAGAGGGACAATTGTTAATAAATAAGCTGTCTGCTTCAATTCAACAATGCAGTTCAACTTAAATTAAATTCACAGTTTATAGACACTATAAACTGAATTCAATTCAAATGAAATTTTCTTAAACTAAAACCTGACTTACTTCCTAATGTTTTATGTGCTACCTACCAATACGTACATTGGCCAAATACTTACATCATTAAGGATGAACTTTATGAGAGCAAATTCAAAAGACTTTTCAATGATTACAAGGCCCTGTTTGGTGAAAATCAAGCACTGAAACTTGACTTGAGGTGCCACATGATATCAGGAAAAATATGATCTTCTCAAGTGTAGAAAGGTTTGTAAAATTGTTTATTTTCTTCACCAACACAAATGTCTATCATGTGGTTTTCTTCAGGGTGTGTAAGGTTACTTTTTATACTTGCTGTGGATCCAGAGAATTGTGGTAAGTTGACAAATGTGGGTGCTATGCAAAATAAATACTTTTTCAGGGTATTTTCTTTTCAATACAGACTTTCAATAGAATTATTTGCTTATGAGTTCCCAGTTACACTTGAGATTCAACACTAACACAAATGAAAATGAATCTGCACCAGTCTGAAGGAGTGGCTTGCTTTACCTTTGCTTCATAGCTGTTATTATTTCCTTCCTAAATGCAGTTATGTCCAATATATTATACCTCAATATGCACCTCCTTAGCATTATCTTACCAGTCAGAGGGGAGCATTGTGTCACTGGGTTGTGTTTCCTGATCTTCATCTGACTCCTTCAGTTGATCTGTTGCTAGGCAGGAGGACCTCCCTGGTGTTAGTGTTTCACACAGCTCTTGGAGTGAATCAACCTCAACAGTTGCAGCTCCGTCCATGACGGCCTGGAAGGAGGAATGTGAACTTCTGAGAGACTAAAATCATGTAGGCCCTATAGCTTTCTAATCTTTTCCCCGAAATCATTCAGGTCGCCATGCGGCACAATCAGATGTTAATGCCATGTTGTGGAGTTAGGACAAATACCTGTTGCTGTAGCAAAGAGTCATGGTCAGTCTGGTCATTGGCTTCGTGCAGAGCGTTAGTTTGCGTTTCACATTGCACAACAGAAGAGGAATGCTTTCCCTCTCTGATCTTAGACCACAAGATGGGAACAAAAGCGGCCATTTCTCTGCGTACATCCTGAGTGCACAAACAAGGCCTGGTTATAATGGTATATCATAGCTGTTAAGGCTAAAGTTAACCAGCATAATACTGAATTAATTGGGCTCTTTTGTTATGAATGTGTGTTACAGGATAACTCCAAAAAAGTAAGATATTGTAAGTAAAACAGTTTTAGGATCAATATCACTCTTATTTCTACTGGATGTATAACAGTCTACTGTGTACAAAACCCCGTCATACCTCCCACTGCTTTCTGACAGAGTCAGAGAGGAGCATCACGTCCTGGAGTTGGGGCCCAGTACAAAAGGCCCCAAAACCCTCGACAGCACCCAGGAACTCATCGAGGATGGCAGGCTGCAGGATCTTTAAAGCTCTCTGCACAGAAATACATACAGCTAGACAAACGTCCACAAACAAAACTGGAAGCTTCGCAAAGCACAACACCACCAGACCTTTGACGATTTTGTCCTAATTCTGAGATTTTGTTTCGAGTTTCCAAGGTCTGGGTGTTGTAGCATGACAAGCATTTGATAAATTGGAAGAAAGCTGGTTTTACAGTTACTTTGAATGTCTCAGACTTATTTGCAGGCGCTTAAGTGGATTTTTGTCAAATCCAATGAATAATCTGAAAGTAAAGACTTTGAAGTAGGAATATATTATTAATTCAAGTAAATCACTGTTTGAATAAATCAATTCAGAGCTTACACTTCTTTCAACATTTGGGTTAGTGATGCCCATATTCTCCATCATTCACTGTTTAAAACTGTACCTGTTTCCTCTTGGCCTGCGACTCTGAAATCTCTTTGCCACCGAATAACTTGATGGCTTGCTGGATGCGTCCTTGCAGACGAAACCTGGCCTTCTCCAGTCTGCTCCTTGCCATTGACTGGGCTTTTGAATGAACCTCACTGCGGACCATAACCGGTGGCTGTGGAGATGTTTTAGCACTCTGTACAGTGTTTGGCTGCCCTCTTATTCTAGATATCGATATACGAGTTTGTGAGGGAGCTGGGCTTTCCTCCTCCTCTGGGACTGGACTTGTCACATGTTTAGACAGAACTGGACTTTTTTGACACTTTGGTCCAGCAGGAGTTTGGATGAAAGCAGGTAGAAGTTGATCATATTGACTCCGACTTGAAGCTTGAGCGTGACACTTGGAAAGTGACTGAGGCTGGATCATGGGCTCGGGTTCAGCTTCTTTTACAGTTTGAGCAAGAGGAGAGTGAATATGAGGTATTGGTTCCCTCAACGGCCGGGCCAGCATTTGGATTTCAACACGGGGATTAGCAATGGTGGATTCATCCTGTGTGTTCAGGTGCTGCTTTTTAGGCCAAGCGTGAAGAGCTCTTGTCCTTTGTTGAGGCGAAATCTCCCGTGAAACCAGATTTGGGTCCTGGGTTAGCATAACATTCCCAATCTGGTCTACATGTTTGGTTTTGGCCACAACAAACAACCCTGCCTCTGGCTGTCTCTGTGTCTGATGGGCTTTTTTGACATGTTGCAGAAACCCAAGGGAACTAAACATTACAAGAATCTCCTAAAAAATGAAACAAAAAAACATAAAAATACATACATGAAAATATGAGTAACTGTTGAAGAACTGAAAGCTACCATACACTGATTTATCTCACCTGGCAGTGGGAGACTGCCTCTGAGATCCTGTCCTGCGTGCCAGAGGTACTGAGGTGCTGCAGAGGAGAGGTTTTCTGTACTCGTGCCACAAGGTCCTGCAGATCCCGTCCCTCAGTTACAACCCCGTTCTCCAGCTGCACACCTCGAGAGATCAGCACCTGGAGAGGATTATATAGCCCACATTGCATTATCTGTACTGAACCAAACATTAGCATAGTTTTACAACTTTAACAGGACACATGTATGCTTTATATTTGCCCCAAAGTCACACCAAAGGCACGCTCGAGTGGCCCAATGGCTTCAGCCCAAGTCACTCAAATCCAGTTTTGGCTCCATTTCAGTCTAATGTTAGGGAATGTGGAGATGCCCCTTTTTCATCAAGTCCCCTGGCCCATTCAGAGTCTAGCACAAGTTTATGTGCATATCTGGCAACACAGTCAACTGAAATGCCATGGGAAAAACGTGTCACACTACTACAAAACCCAAAGTAATTACTGGGAAACACAATGTAAAAACACAACAATGAGCCCATGAGATCAAACATGAGGACACAAGACAGTGAATTATCATTACAAACCTGGGGCCTATATCACTAAATTGTGCAACAGCATTGACCCCATTTGCTCTTGCTAATTCAGTTTCACAAATCAAAACAAACACTGTACTTAAGATCCATGAATGACCATGCAAAAGACCTGTAGGCAATTTGTGAAAGTGAACAAAGTTTTGGTTTGCTGACTTTGGCTGCAGATTCCAATGCAGAGCGTCCTCCGTGCCTTTTCTCCCTCAGGTGCTGGTGACAGTCCATAGCCTCTGTGCTCCAGCGGTCCAGCTCAGCCAGACGGCCCTCCAGCCTGGATGCAGCCCGCTGCAGCTCTCCACAGGTCCTCTCTGCGTCATCAAGTATCTGTCATGCAGATACAAGAAATCAGAACTGAACCCTATCCTTGGTTTGTCATACTACAACATGAAGAGCAGCACTATGTAAACAGATAATATATCAATAACAGATCGTATGAGAATGGTGTATTTGTAACAAGGGCTACAACTGCAGTGTTTCCTTTCTGTAGTCTGGTAGAAATAAATTGGACAGCACTGGACATGTGTTCACCTGTGCACTGGTTTAATAAAGCTTCAAAATGGGTTAAGTTAAAAACTAGAAGAAGGAACGAGGCCTGTTCAAACGTATCACAGTCAGTCAGACAGAGAGTTTTTGCAGCAGGGTACCTGTGGGAGATTTTGCTGGAGGTTCTCTGAGTTCCTTGTTTGATTGTATGGGGACGGACTGAGAGATGAAAGATCCATCCCGGCCATCTTTTTACTCAGTAGCTGGTAAAAAGTACAAGAAAAAAAAGAGAGTCTAGCTAGGGCATGGATAGATTTAAAAATCATTCTTATATTTTGAAGCTGATTCTCATCAGCTCATCAATCAATATATTTGTAGATTTTCCAACCTGTAGTTTCTGCCTGTTAGCCTTCAGTGGGACTGAGGCCACCTCCAGAGGCTGCCTCAGCAGCCTGCTGGCCTCCTGGGTCAGTGAATGCACCATTTGAAGGCACAGGGGACCAACACTGGGCTCCGATGATACTTCCTAAGAAAGACATGTTCATGACTAGCAGTGTTGGGGAGATACTGGTTACAAGTACAGAGTTACGCAATTCAATTACAAAATACATTTAATTGTAATCAGTTACAGTTACTGAGAACAAACTTATATGTAATAAAATTACAGTTAATAAAAAATGTCTGTGAATTCAAACGGGTTATATTCTTGTTAAATTTTGTGCAGAACACAATAATCATGCTAAGGCTCTGTTCCAATCTTAATTCAAATTATATTGAAGACATTCTAATAAAAGTTTGACAGTAATCAGTGTTGAGTACTCTGGTGAGGTTTACACTGCCTGGTTTAAGTTATGGTTTTAGGACATTAAAGATGTATTGCCCACTTTTAAACATTTGTTCAAAAAGTAATCAGATGTAACAAGTTACATTACTTTGGTGAAGTAATTTAAAAACGTTACATTACTTATTACATTTTTAGTAACACTGATGACAAGCAACCATTATTTAAATGTGTATGTCCCGTTGTCCCAATGTTTAAGCTTTTATGTCACATTTTGTCTTGTGACATTCAAAATAAAATAATAAGTGCTGATCCTAACAATTTGAGATTCATTTTGTAAATACAAACATTTAAAATCCTTTGTTTGTATTTAATCTGAACTGTACCTTCATGCACAGTTTGTGCCATGTGTGAAAAGAACAGTGAGAACATGCATACTTACAAACTTTGTCCTCTTCATGCATTCAGCCCACTTCATGTTGACCTTGCCGAGTTGCTCGGCCAGAGCGAGGCTGGTTGACGATTCTGTCACTTCAATGAGCACGTTCCCCGCCTCGTTCAACTTGGCCTGACATGTCGTCCACTCACTCATGTCCTACGGTAACCACACCACAATCATAATTGACTATTGCAGCTTGCAAACACTGGACTTCCTAGTGAGAGTCATAAATCAAATCTTTTTGAGTTATTCATTGACAGAATTCCAGACAAGAGGTTACCTGTGTCCCCACAGGAGGAGACTGAGCGTGTGAAAGTGTCTTCTGTGCCAGCCATGTCTGTAGAGAAGTAAGGCACTTGTTGTAAGCTTCCCAAGCAGACACCGCTCTCTCCATCATCCCTCTCACAGCCGTCACAGCCTGTGTGACCAGCTCAGCTTCACTTTCTGCTTCCTTCACCTGACGGGTAACAAGCTGGGAATCCTCACCTGAGTGGGGAGTGAAGAGTGTGTGGAGGTCAAGTCTTAAAATCTTCGCTACATATCAAAGATTAGGCTAGGGTGTTATGCACAGAGACTCATCTCATACCTAGTGCTGCCTTACTGGTGTAAGTATTCGCCTTCTCCTTCAGGTTCTGGAGAGCGCCCATCAGAATTAAAAGCAGCCCATGGCGCTCCACCGTTTCCTGGTCAACAAACCAACAGAACTAACTTTAGATGGAACTTTAAATGGACATTATTTTTAACTAAATGCCAAAAGTATATATTTTTCCCCAAGTGCTTTGAGAGTTAATTTGATATGATGTCATTCCTCGTTATCTCCAAATAATGCGGCTCACATTAGTATTAGTTTCTGGAGCTGGTGTAACAAGGTTTTATGTCCTGCTCTTTCAGATACGTACATGCCAGTCCTGCAGAAGCAGAAGCACCGCCTCCTGGGATCGGTAGGGAGCTTTCCAGGTCAAAACCTTCGCACTGATGTGGCCCAGGAGATCCAGTACAGTGTGACGGGTTTCCTGGAATTCCAACTTGATCCCTCGATACTTGGCTGTGACTCGGATATTAGTTAAGCTGTTTTCAAATACAGGTGTTAATGCATTATTATTTCATTATTTTATTGGAACCAAACTGCAGATAATTTAGATACAAGGGACTCAAAGATGTTTGGCTTTAAAAGTCCATGTGTGGATATAGATGTTAATAAAATTCTGCAATAACAGAAGTTGAACAATTGTGTCACGCACCGTCTTTTTATGTCATCAAACTTTTCAAGGGGCACGACTACATTTCCGAAGTCATCCATGTTGTGGAAGGTATCAAGGATAGTGACGAAGTGGCTCATCTCCTTAATGAAAGTCTGAAAAAACAATATTATTAGACGTTTCACGTCATGAACATGAATGGATTCATGTGGACATGAATCTGTTCATGTCCACAACTGCCTCATTCTCTCACAGTTGCTTCAGGGTTTCAGAACACTAGAAAATTGTAATTGTTTGATATTTGAGAACAGGACGGATCAAATCTGTTCTGCAGCTTCAACATAAAAAGAACCTTTTGTGTGTCTTGTTGAGCTCTCGCTTCTTTAGCAGCATCTGCATGATCTTTCGCTCTTCCTCCCTCTTCTGTCAGCGATGCCTCCGCACGCTGCAGCCACACAACGACTGAGTCCAGAGGAGGAGGAAGGCTCGAGTCCAGATCTAATTTACATCTCTGCAGCTGGGGAATGACATACACACACACACACACACATACACAACCTGGTATAAGGACAAAACCTGGTAATTGTAACGAGCGCTCTGCAAGAATGTTTCATTCATCTAGAGAGAGATGAAGGACATGAATCAGCTGGAGCCATTTTCCAGACTGAAAGCAAACTGGGAGCAAACGCTAGTCAGATTTTTCCTCTTTAATTCCATATTGCATTATGCTAAATACCAAATAAATAAAAAACACCACAGGATGCAATAACAATGGATTTCCTCACCTCCTTTTCCAGACGATCCCACGCTGTCCTGAGCGCACACTGCTCTAGGCTCAGCTCAGGGCAGCGTCTTGTGGCAGCAAGGAGGGTCATCACTGGTCTCCTTTGCTCAGTGAAGGAGCCAGCGAGGTTCTGAAACACCTGACGAACAAAACAAAGTAAAACGTATATGATCGCTGCACAACAATACAAAAATAAATACACACTAATGAATGTTTTCTTCTTTCAGCTCTCGACCTTTGTGTTTACATGGTATTTTTCTGCATAGCTTGATTCCTCTGTAGCCGTCCGTGCCTCTGACAGTTCCTGGTAGGCTTGCTGCAGCCAGGAAGTCACCTCTCGTGCTCGCTCACTTGAAGAGACCTACACTTACACAATTTGAACTGTCAGTTCTGTGTTAACAAAGGTGAAAAACTATTTTGGAGCTGCACAATTAGTACAAGAAGTATGAACCACACTCATATAGATAACAGTTAACTTCAACTGTGTTTCAGCACTATAACAGCAATGACTTTTGACCCCTATAAACCATTTTTTTTCAAATTTAGAATAGTCCTCTGCAGGAAGAGCCATGCATCTTATAACAGCTATCAATAAAATGTGTATCATTAATGCAAATTACAGTAAGAGAGAGAAAAGATTTGAAAACTGTCAAATACTAACTGAAGGACTTCTTTGCTCGGTGTGTAGCTATACCTGACGTAATGGTGAGACAGCAATTGCTGGAGTGAAGTGAGCGGGCAAGTTCACAGGTGAGAGAGATAAGGGCTGGACCAGAGGAAACAGCTACACCACCGCCACCAGAAGAGAAACAGGGAAAATAATGAACACCCCTCAGTTTCATGCAAGAGATTGTGGGTTCAAGCTTGAAAGAGGGAAGCGAAGCAGCATGAAACAGAGTACTAGTACTATGCAGTTACTCAAGCTTACGAGGGAAGATGCAGACGTGACTGAAAGCAATGCTGTCGTCTCTGCAGTAAAGTCTTTAGAAGGTGTGACACCGCCTACCTGCAGATGGTCATCGGGTGCTGGCATGTCATTAGAGTACTGTAGAAACTGGGCCACATAAGTCATAATGGACTTCTCATCGGGGTCTTTAACATCAACATCTGAGGTGTAGAGAAACACACAGAAAGGCTTTATTGTTGTTCAGTATGGCAGCAACTCAACTGTCATTTTATATGGTGTTTTCTTAAATGACATTCAGCAAAACCAGGTTTGTTTTTAGGTTTATATAATATATTAGAAAATAATACACTTTTTCTCTGTGCTTCCTTGGAGCAGTAATTGGTCCATTTGCTTATTCTAACTATTCCATTACAGCCACAGGTAATACCTTCTTTGTACAAAAATCAAGTTAACACAGTTATGTCTGGGGTAAAATGGGTGAACAAAGTACCATTCCTGTCATAACTACCATAGCGAAATTAGTCTTTAAAAAGACATCCATGGCAACTGTTTTTTTATGATTGGTATTAGTAATTTGCGAAACATTATTTAGAACTTCTCAACAATACTACTTCGTAAGCCTCACCCTGGGGCTCCAGCAGACGGGGGATGTGGAGCTCCCTCTCAGCGAGGTGAAACGCCTCCTCCAGGTTCTCCTGGTTGCTTCTTAGCTGGACCAGTGAGAGATCAGCCAGCTGTGGTCTGAGGGAACACAGGATGGCCAAGAAGGCCTCTCCACTTCTCCAGCTCGACTTAAAGTTCTTCACACTGATGGAGCAACCAACCCTAGAGCAGAAAAAACAAAATACAAAAGTGAAAGAAAGAAGAAGGGAAATGAATGAAGTGATGCTTAGGATTAGTGGCGTCTGTGACACTTTAAAGGGGACATATATATCATGCTTATTTTCAGGTTCATACTACGTATTTTGGGTTGCTATAGAACATGTTTACCTGCTTTAATGTTTTAAAAAAAACACAATTAAAGGCTTCGTTTTAGCACCTGTCGCTTTAAGACCCCCCTCACAAAATTGCCCAGTCTGCTCTGATCGGCAAGAAAATGATGGCGCACCAATGCAAAGGTAGTTCTCAAGCCGTGAGTGGAGATACTCAGATGGCGGGCGGAATATTCTAGTGAGTCTGCATGTGACATAGGAAGGAGAGCCAAATCTAAATGGCCTGTTGAATGACATGTTTTCTGATCCAGGCAGCTCAAAGAAAATGTACTAGGTTGTCTTATTTCACCGTTTGTGGGTTGGTAGGCATTTCAGATACCCAAATGTATGTGCACAAGCACTGAAAAAGTAAGTTGTCCCCATTAATGAAGTCCAGAATATACGACAAACCAATCAGGCGCTGAACCAGTCTTAATTATAACAACTGCAAACCTAGGCACATCAGTGGATAACTCACTTTAGGCATTGGTCCCTGACCCACATGAGCAGGGCCTTCTTGGCAGATAGTCGAAAGCGTCTGTGGAGAGGCGATGTCCGGCCTGCAGGGGCCGGACCAGGTGGGACTGGGCTGCCGGACCAGGAGTCCAGGCTGGCCAGAGAGTCGAGGGAGGAATGACAAGAACTGTAGGAGAGAGTGCTGGCCAACTCTTCAATCTAAAACAGAGATAGTGAGACAAAATATTGGATATCAAATTATCAGTATCTTTAAAATGGTTCATACATATGTAAAATCTGACAAAAAAATGTACAATTTACAGTCAGTACAGGCTCTAAGTATTAACGATGCATCACAAGATGCTGCTGCCTCTGTTTCTTCTTCTTCTGTTTCTCCTCCTAAGTTAATATGTTTTTGCCACTGGTACTTACATGACAGTGGAGGATGATGGTCCATATGAGTCCGAGGATGATGGAGGGTCGTCCATCTATGATATCTGGGATGTTTATGTTCACCAATTTGATCTACACCGACCAACCACAACAAAGTTAATACAAACACACTGCAGATTCAGATGCCTCGTCGGTTTTGTGGAAACTTACAGATTTTTTCTTGAGAAAGTTCAGTGCTGTCTCAATGTTGGCCCTCTGCTGGAAAACCCCTCGGCCCCTTTGTCTTTTCTGTGGAGACAAATTACAAAGTCAGCTTTATTGTGATAATAATGTTCATTTTAGCACAGTTTTGTGTGTGTGTGTGTGTGTTGTTGTTTTTTTTAAACCACCCCACGCTGGGATGAATTTGTAATCTATTTATTTCACTGATAACAGAATCACATAGTAGAACCTCACCATAGGTTGGCTACTCATCACCTCCAACAAGTCCAGCAGCTGTGATCCATCTCTGAGGTCGGAAAAGAGGTCTGACACAAATGAGGGGGGGCATCTCTGGAAGAATGCAGAAAAATGAATCTTAATAATACATCAAAACAAAGCAGTGGGCAAGTTCAATTAATTTCACCTGTTCCATCGACTACAGTAAGTGTCATTGTACTGATACTGAGATAACCCACATGTATGCATAGCCTAAGGTTGTATGCTTAAAATATACAATAAAATGTATTGCCTCTCTTCCCCTGCATATGTCAGCAGATGAAGGCTGTAAAGTACTGGCTGAGTGGTGGAGGGAGAAGACATGGAGGTCAGAGTAATCTTCACCCAGTGTATGGTTTAGTTGTCACACAAACTTGAGTCAACTACGGTAAAACTCAGGCTACACCCATGGCTACCGGGCAGCTACCGGGCAGCTACCGGGCAGCTACTGGGCAGCCACAAAAGTCAGAGACTGCAATTTCTGTCTTTCATCCAAAACCTGCTGCAGTGAAACTTGAGTCATTGAAAAGTTTCTGGGTCAAAGCTTTGGGTCAAGTCACAACAGTGAACATTGTCCTCTAGACAAACAGGAAGTAAATCCTCCTGGGTGTTGTCAGTGGAGTCAGATTGGTGTAACAGGTGGCAGGTTACGAACCAGTGATTTTAGAGCTCAGTCATAAGGACATGAGGTCATGAAGAGGTGTGTGGACTCAGATTACATGCTGTCCTGCTTCACTGAACCACTATTTATACTCCAGCCAAGTCTCACAAGCAGCTCAACGTCTTTTTCCAACAAGATCCATGGTGAACTGCTTCACTGCACCTCACTGTCTGATCAATGAGTCAGCATGTCTACAGCCTGCTTCATTTAATTCACAGCCCTACCACAGCATGACGTCATTTGTCAACTCTGTCTCTCTAGGTATAGACTTCTCCAAAATATTTAGTCATATTTGAATTATTGTCCAAATATTGGAGATTGAAAAGCATTCAAAACTCCAAGGATAATATATCCACACTTGTGATCGGGTTTTGCTTGCAACATCTCCCAAATTAAAAGCAGGTTTTTGAAAATATAGAGGACAAAATATCTCAAACTTTTACTGAACTGTACGTTAAAAATAAAAGGCCAACCGGTAGAGTATTTAAAAGGGACATATCATGCTTATTTTCAGGTTCATACTTGTATTCTGGGTTTCTCCTGGAACATGCTTTAATGTTCAAAACACACAGTATTTTTCTCACACTGTCTGTCTGAATATAATGTACCTGTAGTCACACTCTGTCTGAAACACTCTGTTTTAGCGCCTGTCTCTTTAAGTGGGTTGGTTGGCTCTCAGATACCCAAATGCATGTGCACAAGCACAATATGTCCCCTTAAAAATATTAAAAGTAAAGCCATGAAATACATGAGTAGCATATCCACCTGCAGTGTTGTGTAACATTCTCTCATCAGTCCCTTTCTGCGTCACTTCTCCAGCCTTTCTCTAACGTACTCAGTGATGTTCTCCAACTGCCACAAAGATAATCTCCAAAAGATATATCCTATGTGACAGCTGAATGTAAACCTTTGTGTGGGATATATTTGATAAAGCACTAGGTGTTTATTTAATTTTTTGATAATACATAGAAAAGAAAGGCTTTGAAAGGTGTGAAATAAAACCTTCCAGCAGCTTTTTTGACTTTTACAAATATATTTTTTCATCAAAATCGGTTGTGATCTGTTTCTTGTTTTCTTCAACAAATGCAAAGAAAATGTATATTAATGTATCCTTTAAGCAAATATATCTCAACTTACCTTAGCCAGTTGAGCATTTATCCAGTTGGTGAATGTTCGTCTCTGAATCTGCTCATGCTCCACTGTCGAGGAAACAGACAAACAAATTGTAATCTATACACATTCAGAACCACATGTATTTAAATGAGGTGGTTTCTGGCGACAGTTATGAAGCACTGGATACTAAAATCCTCTTTCTCAGTTATTTGATTTCTGTAACATATGAAACACATACAGTATATATGAGTATTTTTTTTTAATGGATTTTTGAAGCTTGTATTTAATTAAGTAGTAAATTGCATCCCTGGGTTGTTTCAGTCCACTTAATATGACAGTCTACGTGTCACACAAAGCACTTCAATACACTACAGTAGATTCCTCAAAAGAAACCAGATTTTCTCTGACGTTATGCTGCTGTAAAATGAAATGCTAATGCAGAAGTCTCAGAAGAGCAGTGGGAACCCTGGTCTGAGCAGCGGGTAGGTCATAAGCTACTCACCGACATCAGAGGACTGGAGGACTTTCCGACCCTCCATGCTCATGACTAATGGTCAAAACACCCCATCAACATATTGGGTGAAGATTCTACTTCACCAACATATGACTGCCTTCTGCAACAGTTAGATGACCCCGAGTGGCAAGCTTCCTCTTTAAGCTAAAGTAAGGCAACAAGACGGGATGGCTTCCAAAACCGTGACACACACACAGCAAATATACACTGAGACACACTCACAGTGGTGATGAACTCCCAGACAGACTTATGCACACACACACAGTGAGGGGATTTTGGGCATACATGGTTCTGAAGAGGTACCAGACTCGATCTTAAGCTTCAGTTGCCAAAACATAAACCTTTCACTATATAAAACATTATCAAGGCGTTCCTTGTTACGGTATAATTGCCTGTTTGCCCACTTTAAGAGTGTGCCCAAGCAGGAAATTCCTGAGTGTTTTTAATCACTCTGTCTCCACCCAGTTCACCTGACATGCCCACTGAAAACCACAGTATGAGTTTTCACCACATTCATAATAACTTCCTGATCCAAGCCATTGTAAGTTGGCATCTGTCAAATATTTTTCTCAGGTCAAATAAAAATCATAGATCTTAACACATGTTTATAACAAATATAATGGAAACACAATTTAATGTTGTGAAAGTATGTTTATAGTATATATATATATCAGTTTTTAAATCAGTTAGGTTTTAGTTAAAGTTACTGTGAGGAATGAAACGGTCTCAATTTAATACTAATGACTCTGTTTGTCCGTCATAAGTTAACTACAAATTCAGAGAGAAGCATTGCTCCAGCGGGACGAGGAGAGGTCAGAGCACGGCAGCAGCGTTTTCAGCCTTAAATGCTTCATCTAATAAAAGTTGGAGCCACATGCAAGTTTATTGTTGTGGACCAAACAAATATTTCAGAGACTGAGTAAAACTAAGAAGGAGAATTGAAATTCAGCAAATACAGAAAGATAGATATTATGTAAGTATTTGTAAAGATGAAGACTGATTAGTCCAATATGTCTAAGATGAAATCTATACACATGTGAAATAGCAAACAAATAGCAAAATACAAATTGTTAGTGCAAGTGTTGTGTCTACAGGATGTTTTCATCACTTTCATTTCCACTTTTTAGGAACTTCTTCAGGTTATGAATTCATAGTAGATGTTGTATGTCTCATCAGAGAGATGGACGCCACATTGAAGTTGTATCTCAACGCTTTTCAAAATGTGGCCCCCACTTCAGCACATCACATGTCACAACATCCACAAAAGTATACACTGACCTTGGAGGAGCATGTGCACGTTGTCGATGTCCAATGGAATGCCTCCATCGTCTTCCTCTGCTCCGCCTGAAGCCATGAAGCCTCCAGCCACAGCAAGCAACCTCAGGAAGGTCCAGGAGACATGGATTTGTAAATCGTCCACTCAAGAGAAATCCACAATGCCAAAAAAGGGAGAAAAAAAATGCCACGGGTGATTACTGCAGTGTCAGTGTTTCGCTTAGCTGCGTCCACTGCCTGATTATCCACGCCCTTACATTGACACACACTCAGATACACGTACACACATGCAAACGCTCAAACAAAGGCGCTCAAAGAGGAGGAATAACTGCTGTATGGAAAGAGCCACACTGTCATAACGTAGATATACAAAAATAGATGGCCTGGTGACAAATCTTCTGCATACCTGTAGCAGGGCTGTAGTCACTGAAGACAGCTCTAGTGCACACTGGATTACAATGAAGTAGAGTGTGTTCCGTGTGCAATAAATGTCCTCAGTGGTGTGCTTTCATATTGGCACAACGCTGCGCTCTGTGTGAGCACAAACAATGCTGGAAAGTCCCGCCCACGCTCACTGCAGGCCCAAATCACTCCTGCAGGCGCTCATACCTACTAACTTAGTAACCTTTGGGCTAAAAAGTAATCACATCCTCACAAACCCCAGGGAGTGTTTGAAATGCTGATCCTTGTTATTTGTGTTTCTGGAGGCAAAAACACAACAAGCACTTCAACTGATACCTCCCTTTTCTTCTTTTTGCTTGTGAGCTAGTGTAATAATAGCAACAGTTGAGAAACAAGGACACTGAGAAAGACCTTCGATTTGATGCATTAATGTGAAACTGTTTCAGGTCCCTGGTAGGGTTCACACTAACTCATGACTCTGCAATATGCAGTAATTAATAAAAACATTCAATTCTGCCTTCACTCTCTCAGTCAGTTTCCTGATGAGTTATTGCGATCTTTTATGTATTTTCCTATTCACCAGAGGACAAAAATGGTGCACCAACAGCAGAGCAAGTTCATCTTTACCCTTGAGAGCAGTGCCAATGTTTTATTTGTTGTTTCACTATGGTGAGCCGGCTGAGCTGGTGGACAGTCTGTATGCCACATAGCAGCTGCACCCTCACCTCAAATTCCTACCTCCGTCATGGCAGTGGCACAGGTGCCAAAAAGGAGAACAAGACACGTGATTTAATTGTTCCACTGCTAAGTCTAAACCTGTGCAGCATAACATCAAATTGGGGGGAAAGGATCATGCCATGATAACAGTGTGTAACAATGTGAGGAGTGTACTTAATGGTAACAGTTTGAATTTTCAGATGGCTGAACAATACATCCAATTTTACACACCTTTACTTTGTATTTCTGGGGACCATGTCAGATTTTCTTTCTAAACATACTGTCAGCTTTGCTCAGTAATCATCAACAGAAGGAATCTTGAGATATACTAAAATTAGCTTCAAACCCACGATTCTTCGTCTCATCATTATTTCACTGTTGTTTTTTTAAGTGTTAACTATAATTATTGTAAGTAAGCTTTTAAGTCAGGTATAACATTACATATACAGTATCTATTGACTGTATTCAAAATAAGTTGATCAATTAATTCTGAATCTGTGAACAGCACATTATCCCCAGATTTCAGATTCCATACAAAACTAAAAAACAAGATCACTCTGTTTAGCCATTATGGTAAAATCCTCAAGGTGGAGCCAAGACAGAGCCAGACAGGTCACCAATACGTTACTCGTGTACCTCCAGCTGGTGGCGCTGCGTACCAAAACACGTACGACATCCTACACAATATGAGAGTAGAAGAAGAACTTACCACGACTTTGACGTTTAGCAGCAGCGCTGTTCCTGACCTTCTCACTGCAGCGTGACAAACTGAAAGGTAAGAGAAGAGTTAATACACTAACTTAGCAAAGTCACGTTGGTAATAACAGAAAACAGTTGTTGCCTTAAACTACAGCCATTTAAACTGAATGGTATCTTACGTACTTACTGTGGTGTTATGTGCAACCTGTGCAGATGTACCCAGCTAGCTAGCTAGCTTCTTGCTAGTTTGCATTCTCTCTACTTGTACAGCAGAGAAGACGCTTAATACGCCAGCCAGGGTCCATTCATTGATAGAAGTAGTTAGCTGGACAAGTTACATGACCGCAGTATAGACATCAGCTATTTATTTTACGTCTGCTTTTAAATATTCTCTTCTGTGCTGTAATGCTAACGATTTGGAGGTGGTACTGTTAGCACCATGAATGGCGTTAGCAAAATATGTTACCTTCAGTTATGTTATTGGACACGTCAATGAAATAACGATGTCTCTTATCACACAAACAGTAAAGAGAAGGGAAGTGAAGTTATCGCTTCATTAACAGTTGCCTGTTGTTTTGATCAGTGTCTCCTTGGAGTGGATAGCCATTAGCTAGGCCTGACACAGCTGAGGGTCAGGGTAGCATTCAAGCAACCAAGTTGACTTTATGTTGAGTGACCACATTGTCTGAATGAAGGAACCCAGTTTCTAAAACGTAGCTTCAGTCTGTATTAGTGCAGCCTGATTTATTTATTTAAAGGGTTATGTCAGAAGAAGAAGCTCTAAGGATGAATTCAATATCCAAACGTAGTCCTGCAGTTAAGCTTAAGAGCAACACAAGCTTTCTCTGTAGATAATGCATGACATTTTGGGCTAGGTCTTCTGATGTTTCAGTCATGCCTTCACTGAAATGATCTTTTATGTCATTGCTTTACCTGAATACATGAGCACTGTTTTGAATCTATGCTTGTTGCTTTCCTCCCACAGATGGCCGGACGCGTTTTTGCAAGCTGGTGGTCCAAGATGAGCCCTTACTACACTAAGGCCTACCAGGAGATGTGGGTGGGCGTTGGCATCATGTCCTACCTGTACTACAAAGTTTCCTATGGAGGTGTGTTCAAGGCCCACTAATGTGTGCAACATGTTGAATGCAAACTGAATGTGGAGTAATGGCGTTGTCTAGTTGACATAAGGTTAGAGGTTTGAATAGTCAGTCTTTGCACGTCTTTGTGCTTGGCGAGTTGGATGAATCTGCAAAATGCACCAATAAATATAGCACAACAAAGGCAACTGTATAAGTCAGTTTGTCTTCCAGTAATGCTGCTTAAATTTAAGTAGATGTAACTTAGATATAATTAAAATGCAGAGTGTCTCAGTGAGTAATATCTGTTGTTTCTTTCTATTCTAGGCAAGAAGGCTGTGGCAGACAGTAAGTAGCCAAACATTTTATTTATTCATACTATGTAGTTGTAATGGGGCAATTATTATATACTGCAACACAATATACATTTGTCTACCATCAGACTTTGCTTTATCATTTGGAGCTGTCTCTAATTATCCCAGACCTCTTGGTGCATTGGCCAATCAATGAGCAGGACTGATGTATGGCAATATTGAGTTTGTTTCCATCAATGTATGAGCTATTTAATAAGCTGTTTACAAAATGGAAAATAAAGATGTTAGTTTCAAACACAGATGTTAGAGTGATTACCTGATTACCTATGTTCTGGGATTCTACAATCAGTTGTATGGAGACAGGGTGCAGCAGTGAACATGATTTTAAGCTGCAGGATAAAATGTTGGATGTGTCAGATGTTGTGCAGCTGCATTTCCTCTAGATGTCACCGACACACTGACTTTACCGGCTGATTCATTTTGGGGGGTTTTTTTGGGTGCGGGAAGACATTCACTATGGTCTGCCCATGCTTAGGTGGACAGGGTTCATTTAATTGATTCGTATTATTAAACATGTCTCTTTTTTTGTTGTGCTCCTCTTCTTTTGCAGAGCCTGCCCATTGAGTTTTCCACCATGCCGACCACCCCCCCTCCACCTGCTCTGAAATGAGGCCCAATCGTTAGTCCAGAAGTCCAGCTTCATGTTTGAATTTTTGTTAATAATGAACAAATAAAGTTGCTATCTAAAAAACAACAACTTTTATTTCATTGTTTGCTTTGGAGTTAGCTGTGCATTGTTGTGACTATAAAGTAATGCCACATAAAACCAAATTATACAGCGATGACTGTAGAAGAAAAGGATATCAACAAAATGGTGTAATCGTCAATGATTTAAAAAAAGATAAAACAGTTTAACTACCTAATGCATGCCAATTATGTGTCTTGCTCAAAAGTACATCCGAGGTTTAGGGTGCAACAAAATGATATTCAATAACTATGAATCCATTTTATAATCGGTCATTGTAGCTCTTTGGTTCAGTCCAGATTATGTGCTCCTTTTTTATTTTCATGTCTGCCATATCCAGTTGTGAGAGAATGGATGAGCCATTAATAGCCAATGAATCACAGTATGGATTACGTTTTAACAGAGGGAATAAACCACAGCATTCCCATATGTGGTGTCAGGGGGGGAAAAAATTGACAGCAAATGAATCCGTTTGTGTTTACAGTTTGGTTCACTGAACTGAGAGTGAGTCGACCAGAGTCCTGCCCGGGGCCAGAAGTTTAGTGCTGGGTGAAGAGGTGGATAAACTGATTCCACTTCCAATACAATCTGTGTGTGCCAGTGACTGCACTATATGGATATGAACAATAGTTTAAAATCATATGTCAATTCTATATTTTACTCTTACTGCTTTTATTAGCATTATTATTCTATTTTATCCACTGTGGCTGTTATTATTAGTCATTATTTTTCATTATTGTGTTTAAGCTAAACATAAAATCAACCCCGAATTGAGCTTTGCCGACTCCTAAAATATGACTCTTTTTTTTTTTTTTTTTTTTACAACTCTTCCAAATCTAGAAATCATACAACTGTGCCTATTGATGACATCATACTGTAGCTGCAGTAGTCTGTGCAGGATTGCTCCCGTGGGACTGAGATGAATCGATAGCTCTTGACAGAAGGGATGAGATACTGGTCCGGTGTGTGGGCATTCATGAATTTGTTCTACCGTAATGCTACATCATTAAATAAATGTCTGGCCCGAGTGTCTGGGGGAGCTGTCACGGTTACTTCCTGCTTCTAGTGCCAGTTATCCTGCCACGGTTGCCTGAATATACAAAGTACATCAAGTGAAAAGTAAGTAAAAGCACATGAGTACTGATGGTCTTTAAGGGATTGTAACATCCAGTCACTGAAGTGTATTTCATTGGATTGTTTTTGCTACTAAGTCTCATTTTAATGTTGCAGTTGTCTACTTTAGACCCAGCATCAAATGGGATGAGTTTTGAGTAGTTCCAAGAGGGTTGTTTTTTTCCTTCTAACATTGTTTCATTTGAATATTTTTAATAGATCAATGTTGATTTTGTATGCAAAATCCTAATCTGCAGGGCTAGGAGTAATTGTGAAATGAATGCAAAGCAAATGCAGTGAAATCGAGGAGTAAAGTTGAACAAAAAAATAGAAACACTCAAGTAAAGCACAAGTTCTGCATCCCAGTACATCACATAAGTACATAAATATAGACAACTGCCCATTCCATACAGAAAATGTCAAATGAAATGACTTGCATACCATCTCATTTGAACATTTGATCTTAAAATGAGCCCACAGCAGGCCAGGAAAATGTTGAGCAATCATGCCTAGACAGAAAGTCCCCGCATCTATCACTTCCCACCCACGCACCAGTTCAGATGTGGACATAGTGGTGCAATAATTGATGGGGAAAGCGTGAAGATAGAGGGCTGCTTATCAAACAGTAAACTTGGGAAAAATAGAAAGCAAGCTTCTTGACGTCTACACTGGATATGTGATCTCCGATTATAATGACACCTAATAAAAATCTAACTTCGACTGACTGCTATGCAGTTTTCGTGTGTGTGTGTGTGTGTGTGTGTGTGTGTGTGTGTGGGTGGGTGGTAGCGCTGGACAAACGCTGACGGACAGACAGGGAGAAAGAGAGAGGGCTCGCGCTCCCTCCCACCGCTCGTGCTGTAACTGCGCTCCGTCTTTCCCACATTCGAACATGGCGAAACTCTTTACCATTATACCACCACCATCACCCTCCTTCACCTCATCGTCATCACCACCACCACCACCACCATTATCTTCCCCATCATCATCATCATCACCATTATCTCCGGTAGCGTGATGACCCGGGAGGATGGAGAAGCTGTCGGCGAGCCTGTCGGAGATCACTTGGAGCCCGTTGGCGCTGCCGCTGGACGCGGTGGTCAGCAAGTTCCGTCTGCCCACTCTGGTCCGCCTGGCGCACGGTAAGAGACGACCGTGACCAGGGGCCTCGAGCTCCAGCACGACCGGTGGAAACTTTTGCTGCTGTTGTATTTTGATGACAACAAGTCTAACGCTCCACCGTCGTTTCATAGCCCAGGAGTTTTTAGTAACTATGACAGTAATGATGATAAATAACGCTAAATATAGTTTTCCGGTCAGCAAAAGAGGGTAAACTCAAACTTTCATCGGGGGGGAAGTCTCTTTCAAGTGTTTTTTTTTAACCAGTGTAACGACGCTGGCGGTGTAAGAACAAGTGTAGCAATTTACTGAATAATCTCGACGGTGTCAAGAGTGACAGGAAAAAAATACCACTTCCGGTCACATCCTTTCAAAAATAAATACTTTACCATTGTTAATAAGGGGAAAAAAGCTTTTACAGATGAATTAATAAAATATATAAAAAAGATGTATTCTATTATAATTTTGTAATCTATCACCAATTTAGAGGGTAACTTAAAGGAGTAATTTTAATCCAATTAAAATGTGTCTTTTTAAGGAAAATTGGACAAATAAGTGTTGCATATATGCTTGTAGATGGTGTCTCACTAACTAGATGTTGTTAACCTACTTTGACATCTTTACAAGTTAATGGCTGATAAATTGATACTCCACCAACCAGAATTGCTGAAAGGTGTCTCTAGTAAACTGCACACAGTATTATCGTGGCGTGAGGCTGGTGATGTTCTATATATATAAATGAACAGAGATTAGAGACACTCTCTGCTGTTATGAGACAGTAATATAGTTAGTCTATTAATTAGATGAGTTAATTAGTTCCTGCAGAGTCACTTTCATCAATAGATCTTGGATGGGCTTTGCTATTTTAGCACCACTTTTTTATTTTTGCTGACGGGCTCAATAAAGATGTGGCTCAGATTTGGTTTGAATTAAAGTAACTAATGAGTGCACACATTAGTCAAATTAAGTTTTTACTCAAATTAGTTGTGCTGTCAAATACAGAAATACTCAAATTAGATTAGATGGAGTATTTATGGATTTAGACAGCATTGCTTCCAACGCAACTTACTTATAGGCCTTCTCAATCAATCGTTTGTGTTTTTGTTCATCTTGTGCAACATTATTGGATATTATTGATGTAGTTTGACAAAACTTTTGGGAAGCCACTATAGTTTTTGGGACACAAAGTATGGAATATATTGACACGTTTTACTGACTGGCCCAGCTGTGTGGGCACATTTGGTGGTCTTATTTTGAAAATAACGCCGCTCTATTTCCGTTATTATTTTGTTAAAATGTGGCTACCTTGATGCGGCTGCAGCATTCTTGTTCTCTTTTCTGATCACACCAACCCACTGACTTTCATAAGGGCGCCATTGAGTCGCATTTGTGTTCACTTTTCTATTATTTGTTGCATGTTTTTGCCGCGAACATGATTCTCTGCTTCACCACATTTGGTGTCTTTACTTTGGGAGCGGTCGATGGGTGTCATCATGGCCAAAGTTGTTCCAGTCCAGCGAGGCCTGGAAAGCCACAAAGTGTCTGTTGTGCTGCTGAAGTGCTGCTCAATTCTTTTCATATGTAAATGATGTAATCTGTCGGTGAATGTGGTGAATACTAAGGAGCAGCGACGAGGAGGAAAACCTCAAACTTTCCTTCCTCGACAAAAGCGCGCACCCAAGCCATGGCTCCCCGAAAATCACGCACCTTACTTCTTTACGCGCGTGCATTGTATTTACAGAGAGAGAGAGAGCGAGAGAGACCACCCGTAGGTGTTTATTAACTGCACTGTAGTTACTCCACAGAGGCCTAGCTGCTTGTTTGCACAACCAGCCAACACAGATGGTGGTTAGTTATTTACAACAGGGCATGATGTCAGCATTTCGTGCTGGTAATTGTTTTGTAGTCTACTGTTAAAGATGGGACTATTTGTTTTTAAGTATTTTGACCTTGTGGTATTGCCACTTGCACTTAGAGTCTGGATTACTCAGGATGATTCACCTCACTGTTGACAGTTTTGAGTAGGGAATTGGTCCAATGTGCATTTCAGACATCTGGACTGTCGCAATAGTCAATACATAAAATACACGCTCGGTACCACTCCGAAATCCCCAGAATGTGCACTAATCAAACTAAAAAGGAAAAATGCAGATCTCACACTCATAAGAGAAATGGTAGACCTATCAGCACTCTCAGTGTTAAATTGTCCCAGACTCTTCAATGTGGAACAGCGATTTCAGAAATGTGGGACACTGAAATGTCTCGGCCAAAATCACCTTAATTCCTGTAATAAGGAATGCTCTTTCCTGGAGCGATTCTTTGGCTGCCTCTCTCTCTCTCCATCTGTGTCTGGTGTTCTCTCTCTTTCTTATTTCTCTCCTTTGCCATTCTGAAATACATCTCATTGAATTAATCAATAATATGCACAGAATGAAGTAGAATTGTTTTAATAAATTCTTATGAATGTTTGAATATCTGTTATTGAAATCGACTACTATCCACTCAACTCAGACATGTGTCTCTTCCACTATCCCTGACTTTAAAAAGACAAGGGTACTCCCTTCGTGCACGCATACGTCCGACCACAAAAAAAAACCACGTACCATTTTAACAGAGGTGCAGCCACCCCCAATTATTGAATATAATTTGTTTTTCGACTTCAATATCTAAAGTAAATAATGCATAAGAAGACTAAAACCCTGTAAATAATCCAAATGTACATGAATGACTCAATAACCACGAGGAATACGAGGGGAAAAGGTGTCCTTTTGCGATTTGGGGCGAAGTGACCCTTTAACGTGCAGAAAACCTTTGACATCTCATCTCATCGTGTGTCCCTGTGTCTGTACTCAGCCGTCCGTCATCGTGGTTGTTCGATTAAAAGGCTCGGTACAGCAGCAAGAACAAAAAAAAACGTGCATCCATGGGATCGGTGTGTGAGTCTGTGAGAGGGAGCTGTGTGTGTGTGATGTGATTGAATTGTACCGCTGTGCTATCAGCGGAAATCAATGCTGTTGTGCTACATGATGGCTCTAGTGAAAGCTGGAGAGCTGTGTGTGTGTGTGTGTGTATGTGTGTGAGGGGGCTGTGTAATAGTGGGTTGTCAGTTGCATAGTGGGATCCTGATGAGTAGGTTAGGGCTGGTGAAACGTCACTGATAGTGGTAATTATGGACACTGAATCCTGAATGCATGTGTGTGGGAGGAGTGGTTTAGTGTTTTCCATCGCTGAGCTACTCAGTGTGACCATAGAATTAAGACAAAGTAAACTGTTGTTTCATCAGCCCTCAGGCCTGGCCAGACTATTTGTTGATCCTAACCCATTTCTGTGTGTCAATGTGTGTGCGCTCCAGGTGAATGTGTGGAGGGTCTGTCGGAGGAGGACGTGGTGCTGTTACACTCCTGTCGTCAGTGGACCACAGTGACCGCCCACAGCTTAGAGGAGGGACACTACGTTATCGGACCCAAGATAGACATCCCTCTGCAATACCAGGGTGAGCGTGCGCAAACACACACACACACACACACACACGCACACAAACACACTGCATTTCTACACGAGGAGATGACACGCAGGGCACCGGTGCCAAGGACTCTAACGGGAGCCCACAATCTTACCGGGTGAGCTAGAGGTCGCCCCAAAAAATGTCTTAATAGTTAGTCCAAATGTCATCCGTAACCTAAAAATATTTCCCCGGAAATTGTCCATTTCCTCTGAGTAGGAAATAAATGTCATAAACATTTTTGTCACAGGGCCAACATTTTTTTCACTTGCTCTATTTATGTCAAATGTCTCTTTGGGAAAACAAACACACGAAATAGACACAGTAGCATTAGATATTGGCAAGTGATGTCTGATGGGTGTTTATGTTCTTGTTATGAATAGCAGGATTGGTCACCATGCTCTAAAGATACATTTGTGTGTCAAATGATGCACGAGACAAGAGGATTTCAACAACCTGAAAGTTATTTAAGGTTGAACTAAAGGAAGAATTAACTCCGCTCAGCTAGAACCAAAACCCACATTCACACATCCAATCAGCCGCTGTAGATGTGACCTTCCCCGTGTCCTCGTCTCCATTGACCTGTCGTCTTCCTGCTGAATGAGTCTAGTCAGTATGACCTCACTGGTGCTCAATCCACACAATCCCATAGTTCCGACTGTCCTGCCGGTCACATCATTCGCTGTGTAACTGGATCCTAATGCCTCCTCTTCATTGTTTCCTCCACCGATGGAGTGCTGATGTCACTTCACAGTGCTGCCGCCTCTCAGGCTCTTTTTCGGAAGAATGAAAGAACACTTGAGTGGGAGGAGGGGGGGGGGGGGGGGGGGGAGGAGGATCCAGTTACGGAAGGGGAGGGACCCTAGCTAACAAAAGA